GCGCGCGTGATCTCAATGAAGCCAGGGAGCAGGGAGCGTAGGAGGGAAGGACGGAGTCCAGCCTCACCGAACCGGTCCTTGCAGCAGTCAGATTCTGCAGCATGTGTACGGCTTTGTTGACATTGTATTCAGTCAGTACGCCCCGGCCAACGGTGCAACGGCGCGGTGGTGCTGATCCTCATCGGGTCCCTTAGCTGGGGACTCGGCTCGCGGGCCCTGGCCCTCCCTGGACGCAGCCGGTCGATGGCAGGTCACCCAGGCCATCCCAGGCCACGAACGGCCAGTGATGTCATTTAATTCCTATTGCATCACCGCCCTGGCCGTGGGTTGCTTTCCTCACCGACGACGCACCCCATACGCTGCAAGAGCCATTCACTCCGTCATTCCTCCAGGAAAGACACTGCCTGCCTCGAGCCTCGTTCGCCGGTTCGCCTGATCTCGCCGTTGCCCTCTCCTGTGCCCTAGACCTTCTTTGCCTGGACGTCCTGGACTTTGCTCGATCTCGCGCCCTGGCCAAACCGTCCCGGCTTCGCGCCAATCACGCCGGCACCACGGGCCAACTCCACATGTCAGCGACAAGTGACGCTCCCCCTCCTCGTGGCCATTCAAGGTTGCGAATGAGCCAGACAATCATCAGGTCCCAAGGTGACTTCACCGATTCCTGCGATCCGCTCGCTTCAAAGCTCTTGCTTGCTTTGCTCCTGAAAGTCACAAACATTCGGTCATTGTCCGTACTCTCCGCACTCTCCGGGAACGGGGGGACAGATGTACGGCAAACAACCCGGCGACCAGCCACCGCCGTGCGCCCTGTGTGTTCTCTGCAGAGCTGTGTTGTGTGCTGTGTACCAGCTCCGAGAGTTGTACTGGTCCGCGTCCGGATGAAGGCTTTGGGGCAAAGTCCTCAACTTAGTCCGCGAGCTTATACTTCCATGTGCCAGGTTCTGGGGCCAGCTGCCCATCTTCTCGGAGGAAGGCCAAATGTCCAGCCCCTCGGCGCAATCAGCCGCTGCGTGGGTATGCACCGAGAAGGGGCGCAGCGATGTGTGAACAGAACGAGAGCGATCACTTCCACACAGCGTCTCAGCATCGGCGTCTATCCCATTGGCTGACGTACGGGCCCAGCACCGTAGACGATGACGAGTTTAGTGTAGGGAGCGGAGGAAGACAAGAGTCTCCGCTCTGGAGAGCAGGAGTGGACTGCCGAGTCCGCCCAGTGCCCGCCTTCAATCCGAAGCAACGGACACCCAGTCCCGATATCCGACGTATCCGACGTATCCGACGCTCTTCGGCTCATACGCAGAAGCTAGTTCTGACGCTGTCCCTTCGAATGTCATTTGCAGAGGGAAACTAGAGGGTTTGGAGGAGGGTCTGCAGGATGGCCAAGAAGGCCGGCGCCAGCGCGCCAGACGGTTGCGTGTGCATCTTGCAGACATGGCTCGTGTATAGTTCGCACCCGATCGCCTCCATATCTGCCTGAGCAGGCCTGACAGCAGAGGGGCAGAAGGAGAGGAGGCGCGAGGGCGTTCAGGCGTCCACTCAGGCGGCGCACAAAGGTGAGACAGTCCTTTCATCGCCTCCACTTAGCTCGTCTTGGGCGCTCTGCTTCCTGATACCTGCTGGGCATGCTGGGCCATCTGCATTCCCCGGCTCCCTCCAGACGATCCAGACAGATCAGACACTGCTCGGCTTCTACTGCCTTTTCTGCGAATTGGAGCGTCAGATCTCAGAGCGTCTGTGCGGCAATGCGGCTCAACTCTTGACAATTCGCTGATCACCTGTCTGCGACGCTAGTGAGTCGTGGAGGAGGGGCTCCCGGCCACTGACATCACTGGGCGCCATCCATCGATTATCTACGAGGCATTATGCGGTATGATCATGTACGACGCTGCACAAGATCGCCTCATGCTCCAGGTCGCTCGGGGCCTGTTTACATAACTCTCCGGCAGCTGCTCCGTCGAGGAGCAACGCGCCATCAGCCGGACTGAGAGAAGCACGACTATCTCGAGCGATCTCCACTTCGATCTGATCATGAGCCCTCAGACTGACTGAAGATCAACCACTGACGCCCTTCCTCGGTCTACATTGTCGGTGTAGAGCCAAATACTCGGATATCCCGTCCCCTCTACGAGATCAAGGGGCCAAGCTTAACTGGTCAAGCTCTCTACTCGGCGCGCGACTCCCCTTTGCAGAGACAGGCAAGCCGGCCACTTGAGATGTTCGGTGGTACATTCGGTGATACGTCCGGTACTGCCATCACTGGGAAGGTACGCGTAGGTACGAGGTGGGGCCGTGAGTCATCTGCACACCCTCGACAGTGCCTTGCATCTGTCGGGCCTGGACAGGAGGGCCACAGTAGGGCCACAGTAGGGCTCACAGGAGGGCACGCAGGGATCTGGACGATCGTGAAGACCGCCTGCTCAGCGTAAGAGTTTCAACGCGGTCCAACGCGGTACATCATCCCATCCAGCGGTCCAACCGCTCGATCACCTCTACACGCTGCACGCGTCGCGAGTCCTTTTGACACCCACATACCCACCCACAAACAAACAAAGGACGCACGACCACTTGACTCGTACCTGCCTTCTGAGGCTTCTGGCTCTGAATGAGGTCCCGACTTGCCCCAATGTTTGGTACGAAAGTTGGTAGGGGCGGGCGGGCGATGGGCGACGCAGACCCCCCGTTCCTTTTCTCTCGTGAACCGAACCATGTAATTTTGACGCGCCTGGGTACTGCTCGTCTGACATGCTTGCCTTCTGGTCGCGGCTGAACTCCGACTCGAGACAAGACGGCACTGATTATTCACGTGCGGGCACACTTGCCGATTGATCATTCTCTTTATCATCTGTATGCTGCTTGGCCACGACCACGCCCGTGTTAGCGTAACTCATAAAGCGTGCATCATCACCTAGACAACTAGGATGGGGTATACACATCTACGCAAATAATGGGATTGAAACCAGGAACCCAGCAAACCGTAACAGGCATGTTTTCGCCCCCAAATTAACAAAAATGTGATTCAATAAAAATGTCGTGGTAGTGTAAGGACGATGCTGTCGGCCGCTGGACCAAGACCGACAAGAGACAGGGATTGGGGGGTTTGCTTGATAATTAGGGCGATGTTGAGGAGCACCGAAGCACTGTCCATGGCGGTTGACACCATGTTGCAACTCATGCCGTCCGCTCGGGTTCTAGCCGTTGCAGGCGACGCCGAGCGGCGGCACCAATACACCGGGAGAGAAGATAATTAAGGCGCAGCCGCTCAAACGGCGGCTGATGCAGAGGTGATGCACGATGTGAGGGGGACATAGAGGAGAAGCCAAACTGCCGAGAGAGAGAAAGCGAGAAACCGGACCAAAAGAAATAGAATCGTCGATGTGCGTAATATCGTGTCAACTGCCTTAGGCTTTCGTACCCTTGACGTTCTGCGAAAGCCACTGCAATCCCTCAAACAGTCCCTCACCGGTCGTGGCGCAGCTGCAGGTGTCAGTGGACAGCGTTCTGCTGGTGGTGCTCGATCATGACTTACCTAGGGTGGACATACCACGAGCGGTCCCTCATCTTGTGCAGGCCAAGCTTCTCAGTTACCTCAGCGGGTGACATGGCTGCACGTTAGTACGTGCGCGCGCCCTTGATCGAATGAGAACCCACCTCCCTGGATGTCCTGCTTGTTCGCGAACACCATCAACAGACAGTCCTTCATTTCCCGGTCCGCCAGAATACGCTCCAGCTCCAGACGCGCCTCGTCGATACGATCGCGGTCCGCAGAGTCGATAACGAAGATAAGACCCTGCACTGTCAGCTCGCGTGATCTCAATGAAAGGCTCCAGCATCGCGGATCGAGAGTGTCCATCCGGGTTGGCCGAGTGGGTGCGCGGCTCCTCCTTACTCTGCTCCCGCACACACGCATACGCACCTGAGTTCCGGTGTAGTAGTGCCTCCAGAGAGGACGAATCTTGTCCTGACCTCCGACATCCCAGACATTGAACTTGACGTTCTTATACGTAACTGTCTCGACATTGAAACCGACAGTGGGGATGGTGGTAACAGACTGGTTGAGCTTGAGCTTGTAGAGGATAGCTGTCGTTAGATCAGGCGCTATCGCGTGCTGATATCCGCTTACTAGTCTTTCCTGCAGCATCAAGACCAAGCATCAGAATGCGCATCTCCTTGTTGCCGAAGAGCTTGCCTGCTTAGTCGTAAAGCACAGATATTGAACGTCCACAAGACCAGGAGGATAAGAGACGAGTTGGCATCGATGGCGTTTAGCACGGGTAGGGAGACGGCGTCAGCACCAGCATCCTCGCGTGAGAGAGTGAAACCGCGTCAGCCAGGCGTTGCCGCCCGCGTCAGTCGTCCCAGAGGACTTACCAAGGGCCTTGGAGAGAGAGCCACCCATGTTGGAACGAGTGAGTTGCTTTTGGGAGGAAGGTGTGGATCAATGTTGGAGGGCGGAGAAAGCAATCCGGGTTGAGGTGCTGTGATCGAGCACGTCCAGAAGGTCGGATAGCGGAAGGAAACGAAGAGGCAGCTGGTCGTGACTTGCGCGGGCCGTCGAAAGAGTTCGTGATCGGGTGTCGTTCGGGGCGGGTAGACGAGAGACGACGCGTCGATTAAGAAGAAAAGAGGGAAGGTTGAACGAGTGTTATGAGACGACAATCGCGCAAGGTGTTGGATAGAGGCAAAAGCGACCGGAGCTGGAGGCTGCAGAGAAGAGAAATGGTACGAGGTGAGAGAGGGTAGAGGGGGATGAGATGAGATGGAGGATGGCAAGGTGGAAAGGAAGAAGGATGATCGAGTGGATGGGATGGTTGAAGCGAAGCAGGGAGGGAAGGATGGAGAATGGGATGGGATGGGCCGTGTGGGACTGGCTGAATGGGCTATGGGCCGGGTGGATGCTGGGCGGAGGACGTGTAGCAGGATTAGGCTCTAAGTTGGAAGACTAGACCACACGAGACACTTAGGACCACTGGCGGCAGACGTGCCGGACAGACAGGGGGATACAGGGTGTGGGGGTAGCCTGGCTGGCTGGCTGGCTGGCTGGCTAACAGCCTGAGTGTGTGCAGGCTGGCGGGGCTGGCGGGGCTGGCTGGCCTGGCTGGGCAGTCGAGTTGGTCAACGGGAAACAGGGACGGTGGCCCAACTGGGTAAGACGACGGAAGGAGATGCAGGGAGCAGGCGCAGGGAGGTAGGGAGCAAGGGGAACCAGGCAGGGTACGCCAGTCAAATCGCTCGGCAGGCGTTATGGCGCACTACTCCTTGCTGCACTGCGTAGGCTGGCTAGGCTGGCGCGCTGGCACTCTCTCTAGCACTACTCCTGCACAGCGGCGGGTGGAGGTAAGTTCCGTGCGCCTTTCGTCCCAGGTGCGCGATCCTGAGCCAACGAGCGCCAGCACAGCGATTAACCCGGCCCCCCGGGAGAGTGAGGAGCTCAAGCCCTGAATCACTCTTGCTTCAAGCTCTTTCACGCGCACGCTCACATCACCCATCGCTATCCTAATCCGGACTAATCCACCTCATACAACACGCCACCCATCCCTTTCCTCATTTGAACCTTATTCAGGTCCAGGTCCGGCTCACCTATAACGCCGTATCGGCGACGAGTGGCACTGTGCGGTCACAGCCACGTGGACAAACCTGATCAGCTTCGGCTCCGAGCGGCGACGACCCTGCTATCTATGTTCAACGAGTCCGACGTCAGAGCAAATCTAGCCGAGTCCGCTGTCTTCCTCGTCCGCTTTGCTCCTTCTCTCCTCACGCAACGCTCCCAACTCACAGCCATCATGACAACTAACGACAGTGCTACCTCTGCACCGTGAGCTGAATTCTTCCCTTGTCACGGCTCGATCTGACCCCTGCAGGCTTCGTCTGCCGGCCATCCTCCAGAACCCGAAGAATCATGCCCTCCGTCAAGTAGAGGCTCATAACCAGCAGCAGAGAGAGAAGGCGGCTGCCAGGAGGGAAGCCGCAAAGAACAGGGGTGATGACGTTGCAGCGTCCTCATCAACGCGGGGCAAGAGGGTCGTCCGTCGCATGAACAACGGTGAGCCTGAGCCCCAGCCGGTATCGGCACCGCACGCATGCCCAAGGCTAATGTAGCAGCGGCTTTCGTCGACAACCCCTACGCCGTTGCGCCCAGGAGGTCGGACATGTCGCCCAGCGTGCCTCTCCACCAGCGACCCCTGAAGCCGTCCTTTCCATCAGACGCAATCGAGCGTACCGCACAGATCCCATCGGTTCCAGGTACCAAGGATCCCCTGGGTGCGAGCAGTGTCAGTGGGGCCTTTTCGACCTCTCTGAAGGGCACGCGAGCCCTTCTTCGGAAACGAGGTAGACGCGCAGAGACTATTGTTCCTTCGATCGAGAACGCCGTGCGGGGCTGGCTCGGCGGCGAATACGACATCGCCCCGGGAGACCTGGGGTGGAGGGTTATCGATAAGACCCCTGTGGAGGCTTCGGCACGTGCTGCCAATGGACATGCTGGGCCCAGCAACGGACGCCGCCTCCCGCCGCAGCATCAGATGAACGCTCTCCCGCCACTCCCTGTCGAGAATGGCTCTGTGCCTGCTATTCTCGAGGTGTCGCGGAGTGTGGCACACCTCTCGTGGGCAGTGCCTGACAGCTTCGACCGCCTCGTTGTTCACCTCGTTGCGCGATACTACGAGCTGGTGTCATGGAGTAAGCTTGGAAGCATAGTAGATCAGCTGACATGACAGGCGAAGACCAGTCGACTATCAACGGACAGACTGTGCGGTTAACGCACCTCGTCCGCCCGAATCTCGTGAAGGCGCGCGCTCCTCCGCCGTCCCACGCTCTCCTGACCCCTGAGACGACCGACGTCAGTGGTCCTTCGGCCGGCGAGACATCCGGCTCGGGAACTGAGGGCGAGGACAGTGACGCCGCGACCGAGATGGGCCAACACTCGGACGTTGAGGAAGACGCCGACAAGACGTTCACCTCTCTAACAGAGCGCTTCGGCACGGAGTCGGACTCGGAGGACCAGCTGACAGATCTGGGTCTGACGCACGACGCTCTCATGGAGCGATTCGGCAACATGGATCTGCACCGGACCGTCTCGCACGGCAGCTCGGCCTATGCCTCGTCCGAAGGCGGGTTCTCTGAGTTCAGCGTGCCCGAGGCGCATGGCATCTCCACTGGCTGGAACGGTAGTACGGGTTCCGAGAGCGTTGCCTCGTCGCCGATCGTGTCCAATGTCCGCCTCCCGCCGACCCGCAATGGCCCGCCGCAACGCCTCGGAGGAAACTCGGACTGGAGCGACCGCCCGACGTTCTTCGAGTACCTGTTCGGAGAGTGAGATGCAGGTCAGAGTGTGTTTGGTTAGAGGGATAGAGATAGAAACCCGATGCATTACCAAACAACAGAAAATGGGAACAGTCTAAGCGAGAGAGGGAGAGCGGGGTCGGTCGGGGCTGGCGAGCTGGCGAATTGGCCGGGTATCCTGCCTGGAATTGGGAAGAGGAGGGAGTGAGTCGAGTTGGGAGCTGGGAGAGTTGAAACAAGGTGAGCGTCCATACTTTGGAGTTTTGATACAGTGCGAGCTCAGCAAGCCGCCGATCGGCAGCCTAGAAGTCGAGCAACTCTTAGAGACGAGTGATAGCCTTGCGGTCGAGGGGCGTTCCATCCGGCGCAATCCCATTCTTGGCCAGGATACGGTTATGCCTGATGAGGCGGGCCTGGTCGAACGTGCACCGCTCAATGGCCATGATGCGGCGGACCTCCTCGACACCAGCCTCGTCCAGGCCTTGGCGGTTCTCGCCCGACCCCTCACCAATGTTCTCCTCGAGGTCGAAGTTGGACGACGACATGCCCCCCTCCCGCTGCTCGGCGAAGGAGTAGCCCTGCAGCGGCTCGTAGTTTGACAACCTCGCTACCAGCTGCGAGGGCAGGTACGGCGCCGCGAGGGAGAAGAGGCGGATGCGGAAGTACCACGCGACTGGGAGTTAGCTCGAACCACGCCCGTAGAGAAGCAGCTGATGTCCCACAGAAGAGAGGGAAGGGGACGGGCACACTCACGGGCAACAACCAGCACGACGAAGAAGAGCGCGGACAGATGGAAGATCATGATGACGTTTGAACGAGGGACGGACGGTGGCGGCGGCACGGACTGTTCGTAACAGTCAAATGGGTGGCGAGCAGGCAAGCGCTGTGCTCGCGGTCGAGAAGGAGAAGGGTGGGTGAGGGATGGATGAAGGAGAGATAAGATGTGGTCGAAGCCGACTGACGCAAGTACGCAGTGCGAGAAGCCCGACGGCACGGCGCGACGGCCGCCGCCATCGACGACGTTGGCCTGGCAGGGCACTTGGCAGGCTGGTAGCGGCATGGCTTGGGCTTGGGCTTGGCGGGAAGCAGCCGATCTCCGCCCTTACCTGGGTTCCCGCTTTGCGTAATCGCCCCTATCATTGAATGTCGCCACCGTACCACCTATCGGCCGTGCCCGAGGGGTATAGAGCGCTTTCTTATTCGCACCCCCATGTAGGGTTTCGGACCCGTGCCTTGTTCGCGCGACCTGCCAGCACCTGTCGCAGATTGCGATGCATCGTCGGTACCCACTACCAGATTCCCGTCAGCGCGCGATCGACGATCGAACGGCAAGGAGTGCTCAGGGCCTTCAAGGAAAAGACGAGGGGTATCTAGCTTTTGCATAAGGAGCGTGAGTGCATGAAACCACAAGAGAGCGTGAGGAGCTACGTCACTAAACTGCTGATTGTCCATAAGAGGGGTGGTGACAAGGGTATGCGGAGAAGTCTGCGGTGATACGGTTGATGTACAGCTTCGTCTCGAACTCGAGGGCTATGCCCCGTCGAGCACGGTTTGAAGGCATGGAAGCGGTGCAGCTGAGACTAGAGGGCATACTGCTGTCCCGGGCGTGCAGAGGGCTTGTAGACGCACGCCTGTCTACTCCCACTCGCGGTTCGGGAGAGCACGTTTGGACCACGAGTCTTCTCGGGCAGCGCTTCGCCAGGCGAATAAGAGTATGGGGGAGGCTGGTCGCTCGGCATCGAGGTCGGACTGACCGGACTCTTGTCCTTGACCACCCTCTGCTCCTGAACCACAGGATCAGGGATCTGGGGTAGAGGCGACTTGGGCTGTGTCGGCGAAGACAGAGGGGGCGGCACGGGCAGCGGCCTGCTGATGCTGCCAGTACTTTGTCCCGTCGTGGCGGGGATGAGTGTCGGCGTGCCCGGTGTCGCCGTCGGCGTGCCCGTTGGTGTTGCAGGCGCACTCGTCGGTGTGCCGGGAAGCGGCCGTCCGCGGACCGGGGGCGTGTTGGCCGGATCATTCAGCGGGGTGGGCAGTGGCCAGCTAGAGGAGGAGATCGAGCTGCCGCCAGGCGAGGGCGTACGGGCGGTCACGAGCCTCAGACCTGAGGGAGACGGCGTGCTTCTCCCCATCCTGGCTGCAGCGAGGAGGTCCTGCTCCGAAGCCCGGCGGACGAGAATCTCCTCCGACCCCCGCTTGTGGCGGTCCGAGAGTCGGCCGGGACTGGGCGTGCGCGCGGGTCTAGCGCCGAAGGGCAGGCTCTGGACCGTCGTGCTCTGTGTTCCGCGGGCGGGTAGCTGATCTACCGAGTAGCGCTTGTTCGGGTACGCCGAGGGTGGAAGAACGCCAAGCGGGGCGGGCAGACTGAGCTGGCGTGGGGGGGGAGGGCCACCGCCGGGCGGAGCGAAGGAGGGACTGGTGCCGCGAGAGGGGTAGTGAGGACTGGGGCCGCGGGGCGCAAGTGGACTGGGACCGCGCGAGCTCGGAGGAGTGTAGCTCGCTACACTGGGCGGGTAGGAGAATGGCCGCGTTGAGACGTCTGGATTCTGGCGGGGGATAAGGAGCGGAGATGCGTGCACTGGCTGCTGCGGCAGCGTGCGCTGCGGTCTGGGCACGGCGGGGAGGGGCTGATGCGGAGCACGCGGCGAGAGTTGAGGCGGCAGCGGGCCAGTTGACGAACGGGGCGTGTGAATCGGCGTGCCGACCTGTGGCGTACCAGCCTGTGAGCACGGAGGCAGTGGGCCAGTGGACGAGCGAGGCGTCTGCAACGGCGTACTGCTGATCGAAGCCCGGTCCATCTGCAGCGAAGCACGCGCGACCTGTTCCAGCGACCGTCTCTCTGAGGGTGGCCAGGGAGGCAGTCTCACGTTCTCGATCGGAGTCAGGTGCGGACTCTCAGTGTGCGTGCTGCTCGTCGGCGAGCCCAAGATGCTCGGCATAACGGGCGGGGGCAGGTGACTGCGCCTCCTCCCGTTGTATGGGGTGCTGTCAATGGTACTGTGACGTTGTGCCTGCTTGAGCTCGTCGCGCGTGACGAGCTCGGTGCTCGCACGCTTTGGCTGAGGGCGCGTCGCAGCCGGACTGGAAGGGTAGCCTAGCTTCCCCGTCCTGTCTGTCTGGAGGTAGGCGAAGGGCTTGGCGTGGTGCGCCCCGGGACCCGGGTCGGAGAGGTGCGTTCGCATAGATGTGGGCGGGGAGCGAGGTGGAGAGTTTGCGGGCTCCGACATCGGGAACGGCGTGATGATTACCGGCTGCTCGACGGTGAGGGGGTCGCTGCTGTCAGCCTTGCTGGAATAATAGCAGCTGGGGTGAGTCGATGAAGGCAACTCACCATCGAGCTTGCTGCCGCGCACGCTCGCGGTTCCGACGCCTCCTCTGTTTCCAAACCATGTACCAGATCAACACTAGTCCACCGAGGAGCAACATGCCCGCGCCTGCCGCAGTGCCAGCCACAATCTTGGTAGTGCGGCTCTCATCCTTGTCATCGTGATGCCGTATGTGCAAAGTTGGGCCGGACGAGACAGGATCAGAGACCGAGGTCGAAGCAAATGCCGGCAGGCTACCCGACGCCGAGTTGTGCGTGGTTGTAGTGCGGCTCCGGCGGCTGTCGGCGAAACTTGACGTCTCACCAGCTCCACCAAGCTGTGCACGTCGGATGCGACGGACGCCCATCGCTGCTTTTGAACGCACACTGAGATGTGCGCAAGTCGCCGGTAAGAATGCGAGTGACGAAAGTAGCGAACGGAAGAATGGGAGAGATCTGGCGAAGAGATGCTGCGAAAGAAGTGACTGAGCGTGAACAGCGTGGTGGGGAAGAGCCACTAAAGCGTGTTAAAGCAGTGTTGCAGTACGCCAAGTCGTGCTGGAGCTGTTGCGCGTACGTACCAAACTTCGGAAAGTGGTGGCTGGTGCGAACGCCGATCGCTACTCGTGCAGTACAGTCGGGGAAAGGCCTGACCGAGCTGGGCCAGACATCAATGCGTCAGTGAGTGATGGGCGGGGCGTTGTTTGACTAGCTTGTGTCAACAGCATTGAAGCTGCATTGAACAGACAACAACATCCTCAGTCCAATCGATGCGGACTAAGTGTTGAGGGGTGAAGGGGCATTTTGGCAAATTCCAGCAATTTGGCAAGATATTCGAGAGATTTTGCATCCCGAGCGTACATATGGAATCGAGGAAGGCAAGGTCGTTCTAGAGAAGGGGGAGAGAAAATGGCGCAGTCCAAGCACCGCATGCACGGGGCGAGGGCGCGGCCGCCGGCGCAGGCCAAAGGACTGTTGAGGCGCAGCGATGCGCCCGCCTCAGACCTCGCCCATGGCGCGTTTGATTTGCCGCTGGCGGCGCCTGCGCACGAACCAGAAGAACGCGATGATGGCGATGAGAACGACAACAAATGCAACAACAATTCCAATGATGATATCGACGTGATCGTCGCGGATGTGCTGGGGGTCGTCGTCGTTCATGTCCATGTCGGTGTAGGACGTGACGTGCAGCTGGAGGCCGTCGGGGAGCTCTGGTCGGTCAGCGTGGCACCTCCACCTCCACTCCCCACTGAGCCATCTTCGGCTGTCATACTCACGGACTTTGCCAGACTCGAGAGGAGGCAGTGAAGAGCTCATAGTTGAAATCTGGATAGGCGGGTAGTGTCGATCGGCTAGTTTGGTTGTCGAAGTTGTGGAGGCAGTGGACCGTGGAGAGCTCGCTTTATACGTCCTTGCCATGAAGGCTCCGTTGTTATAAGCTGCCTCGGCGTGTGTCTTGAGCTGCATTCTGCCGTCCGGAGTGCCAAGAGGTGTGAGGCCAGTGGGCGATGTCTTGGCAGAGACAGCGCCGCGCTGGTATAAGTACCGGAGCATGTGCTGCAGAAAGCCAAGAGGGAGGTCATGTGTCTCCGTGTCGGAGGTAATACCAGAAGCTAACACTAAACCGCGAGGTCCGTTGCAAGGAGATTAAGGGGGCTTCACAACGGTGAGAGGAGGGTTACCTTCGATGGAAGCCATCCTAGGCGTGGTTCAGCGGTCGAGTCCGAGACAGGTGTTGCTGAATGGGACAAACACTCCCTGTGAATGTCACAAAGTGAGCCTCATCCGCAAGCAGTCCACCATCGTCTGACCATGCGAGCACGAAGGCGCAATGCTCGTAGACTCCCCTGGGAGTTCGGTTATTCCTCGGAGCAGACGGAAGCGGCGACAGATCGCCGGGGTGTGTCATTACAGCCCATCAAGAGCCAAAACTTCTGCCACACATACGGCAATGCGAAAGTTGTGGCGGAGACTGCGGAGCTCTCCGGACCAGTACTGGGCTCCGGAGAGGCAACGAACAGCCCTGCGCCCTCACCTTCCTGAACACGAAGCGGATGAGTCGCTCAATTCACCAGGTGCCTTCTTCCCTAAGGAAGTCACAGTATGCATCGTGACAAGGTCCATCTGCTATTCACAATGCCCGTTAAATCGTTGAGTGATGGTATTAGGGCCTCATCATCATAGGACTGCTGCTGAGCATGCTTCGCTCAGCTGACCACCGGGGATCATACTGTGGGGGAGCGTCCATATCCGTGTCGTCAACTGCAGAGGGGTGAACAGGCGAGATGACCGACTCTGGGGCATTTCCTGGCGGTATCTTCGCTGTCGATGTGGAGCTTGCAATAGTCTTAGGCATCATAGAAGACGATCCAGCGGCAGCCAGAACTTTTGAGGCAGACAGTGAGGAGCTTCCCGGGGTGGTTACCTCCCTCATTTCATTGCCCAGTGGCCGAGTACCGTCTACGAGGGGCAGTGCAGGCAGGGGCCGGTTGGTGTCGCACGACAGAGTCGAGAAGGCGGCCGAGAGGGGCCGTTCGACTTCAGATGGGCGGGGAGCAGTTTCAGTGTGCGGGGTTACGATGAGAGACTCGTCCACTTCGAAGCGCTCCTCCCTGTTTGTCAGTTTACCTCCGTGCGGTTAGCTCACGGAGTTGTGGGGCGCGAGCGGGGCCGAGCAGGCCGAGAACGCCAGAACAGCCAGGTCACAAGAGCGATCGCAAGACATCCGAGGATCACACCAACCGCGATGCCAGCTCTCGCCTTGGGAGACAGAGGGGCAGGTACCGGAGGAGCGTCGTTGAATGCCGATGTGGGACTGCCTGATCTACTAGAGCGGCTTGAGCTTGAGCGGGCTGAGCTGCTGCGAGTATTGCTGGAGCTTCTCGAGGAGGAACGCGTAGTGGACGTAAAGGTCTCGGTGATGGTTGCGTAAGAGTAGTCGTAGTAAGTTCTGACTTCGGTGATGGTCAGATCGTCACCAGAAGAGCTGGACCTTCTTGTGCTGGACCGGCCAGCGGTCGATACAAAGCCGGAACACCAAGACATGTTTAACACGGGGTCGTACACACAGAGGCCATCATTTCCAGTCACCGTTCTCTCAGCGTCATCCTCGCTTGAAAGCGACGCTTGCGGTATGCGGACTCCGCCCTGTCGAGCAACTAACTGGCCATTACCACTCGGCCAATTTGTGGGCTTGGTTTGCAGATGTTGAGCGGCGGTAGAATGCTCCTTAGTTGTGACCGTGGCTGGGCCAATGGAGCTCGTGAGAGACGGTGTGGGTGTTTCGCGGGACGTCATATAGAGCGGCTTGCTCAAGCGTGAAAACGTGAACTTGGGAAGTGGGCAGTCTAGAGCGAGAGGGAGGTTCAATCACAATGCTTGAGAAGCGTCGATGGGGATAGGATGCGGCAGCAGAGCCGCGCATCGGGAAGGTAGGTATCCCACTCCCTCCCGTACCGAGGTAAGAGAGAAGTCTCAGGGATACACGCTAGCACAGCCATGCGCGAAAGTCCGTTTCCTGGCGACATCGATTATCGTGTACGATGATCGTCTTGGTTCTCCTCTACCCCCTGCCCGAAGGTCTGGAGCCCGGGTCACGCGCGGCCGACACAAGCACCATCTGCAGTGACAGCTCAACAATATAAGGGACACATCACACGCGTAGCTGATTCCTGGGCGGCTTTCCAGTAAAGACAGGATGGTAACTAGCTGCTCCAGATGATCTCGATAGCACTGCGGGTCTCCCGACACCTGATAAGCGGCCACGTGGTTATCTGGCCACGGGACGGGCTTCGTTCTCGCAGCTGAGTGCTAGGCATGGGATGCATTCATGCTCCTGTATAGTTATTCGACATGATCCTTACGTCTTCCTGTCTCCCCCGTGAGTGGCGGGTTGGGCGTTCCACTGTGGCTCATACTGCGGGGCATGATGTGGACGTTTGGCGTATAATGTGCCGGACCCGCGTCGACGTCAGAGACGTAGACGTCGCAAGGCTGGAAAGGAGAAGGTCCCTTTGTAAGTGTCTCAGTCGAGCCGAGTGCCCCTGGGAAGTTGTTTGCGATGCCAGACAATCCGGTCGGGATCTGGTGCATGGACGGGGCGGTGCTGCTCGGGGAACTGGAGAAAGGGGAGCTGGCGGTCGTAGGACGAGTCATGTCGGTAAGCGAGGTCACCACGAGCGTCTCGTCGACTTCGAAGAGGTCGTCCCTGGGAATCAGTGGCTGCCTGAAAGTTAGACTCACTGAGAGGAGGGTGACGAGTGACAGCGGCGCGTGCGCGCGCGTCGCGAGCGCATCAGGAGCCAGATCAAGATGCCGATATTCCGATCAACAGGGCGCCCCCACCTGCGATGCCTGCGATCACCTTGGGGCCAAGATGAACCTTTCTAGAGGACGAGGCGGCGCTGACAAGGCTGGACGTGGTACTAGAGGGTTGTACTGCCTGAAGCGGCCGCGTCCTCTTGAGCAGAGGAGACGTAAGGTTGGGCTCCAGTAGCTGAGATGGAATTGGGCGCTTTGTAAGGGAGAGCCGGGGTTTGAGTGGGAAGCGGTTGAGAAGGTTGGAGGAGAAAGGAGGAAGAAGTCTGATAGTGAGCTGATGACAGGGTGGAAGTGGTTTGCGGGTCGGTGGTCGCCAACTCTGTCCTAGTCAGGAGCGGAACGCCCCAGTCCAGTTACGTTAAGAGCCTCTTCCCAAACAGAGTCAGTTGGGAGACCATAGTTGTAGTCCGCCATGATGGTGTGTTTTTGCTAAACGAAGGAGTGTTGAGGTGAAGCGACCTAGAACGAGTGAAAGAATGTGCTTAGTTTGGGGCTTTCGCAAGGATGTTGTACTAGAAGAGAGAAGCAGAATCGCGCAACTTCTCAGCATGGACTGGCCACATCAAGAGTTGCCTACGGCTCGACCATATCCCTTCCGGCTTGGCGTTTTACTCGTGCGGCTGCTGGCGATCAGAGGCTTATGGCGCGACATAAATCCAGGACTGAGTTGGGAACCAGATCGGCAGGGACATCCTGCGCTGCGCGAGTTATCCAGCGTGTGATTGAAGAGCGCATACAGTTGCTATCCTGCAAGCCTCGCGGCCACTGGCTACCTCAACGTCTTCGCCAGGCGCTCGCCCGCGAGTGGAGAGTGCAATATGCCGTTCTTCGATGACTGTTAGCTTCCAGGCTCCCTCAGATATGGGGAGCTATGCTGAGGGCGGTTCGGTTAACAGCTGAGCGAGACAACGAATGAGACGGAACCGTGGACCTGGGCAATTGCATGATCTGCGGGATCCGTGCCTCAAGCTTGATCGACCTGTGCTTGCATTGATCTCAGCGCACGGATTAAGGAGACACCGCTTTGGTGACTGAAGCCGCAAGTTCCTGTACGGCGGCACGGTAATGCGGCCTGCGGTGAGTACAGGTGAGCAGTACCGCCGTCATCGGTCTAAGATTGTCGGCCAGGCCACCTTTCCAACACTACATTGATGCAACCCCTCGAAGGGTGTGAGGATAAATTAGATGCCTATCGGTATCGTGAATGATGCGTTGGCCGCCGTAGGACATAACACGAAAAACCGACCTTGCAAAGCCATTGAATTTCCAAAGTGACCAGGTGTTGAGCATCATATCGTGGTTCCGTTCTGAACCAGAGGACCAGGTGTCGTGCTGACACTGGTGCGTGTCGTCCCGATCCAACCGGTTGTGCCAGCAAGCATGCCGAGGTGAGCAAGATTCAGAAAGTCATTCGCGCTAGCATCCTCCAAGTCTCTCGGTGAAGGTAGCCGGATTTGCTCCCGCTTGTGACGTTGACGGCGCCGCCGTTTGGTTCCGTGCCTCCACGCCGGACGAGCGAGGCCACTCACGCACGCGCAACGCTGTTGATGAGACCTTGGCCAACGATCGCACTCTTCAGCAATCCAAGATACCCACAATGGTGAGTCGACAGCGTGGTGGTCAATGAACTGAAGATTTACAGGCTGCGGCTCAGGTTTCCAAGGCCGTTCCGGTCGAGACGCAACATGAGGACATGATCGTGCGTATTGTTGTGGTGACGTGACGTATAGCTCGAGCTAATGTTCAGCACGACGCGCAGCTCGACTACTACGGCAAGAGGCTTGCGACTGGATCTTCCGATAAGACCATCCGCATCTTCAACGTCGTCAAGGGCGAGGCTAAGGGAGAGCCCGTTGTCCTCAAGGGGTGAGCTCCGACTTCATGAGGAAAGCTGACAGCAGACACACCGCTCCCGTCTGGCAGGTCTCATGGGCTCACCCTTCCTTCGGCTCTATTCTTGCCTCGTGCTCGTACGACGGACGTGTCTTCATCTGGAAGGAGGTCGGCAAGGGACAGGGAGCTGGATCAGGTGGCGAGGTCCAGGACGGCTGGGAGCGTATCAAGGAGCACACGCTCCACTCTGCTAGCGTCAACTCCATCGCGTGGGCTCCCTACGAGCTGGGCCCGATTCTCGCGTGCGCCTCTAGTGACGGCAAGATCTCGGTGTTGAGCTTCCAGAGTGAGTAGCTGTTATGGTACTCAAACAGGGCATGTAGCTGACCTCGCAGACGACGGTTCCACTGATGCCGTTATCTTCAACGCCCACGGCTCAGGCGCTAACACGATCTCGTGGGCTCCGTCAGTACTCGCCTCATCCTCCGGTCAGAACAAGGCCGCCCAGCCTGGCCAGCAGGTTGTTCCTCAGAAGCGCTTCGTTTCCGGTGGATCGGACAATGCCATTCGCATCTGGACCTTCGATGAGACTGCGAAGAAGTGGGTTGAGGAGGAAGAGATTAAGGGGCACGACAACTGGGTTCGCGACGTTGCCTGGGGACCCAACATCGGCCTTCCTGGCCAGTACATCGCTTCGGCGTCGCAGGTGAGTTCCAGGATGACGCCCATTGCTCACCAATAGGACCGCACCGTTCTCATCCACACCCGACCATCGGCCGACGTCCCGTGGCAGTCCACTGCTCTGCGTCCCAATGCCCCGGAGAATGACGACCCCCACTTCCCGGACGCTGTCTGGCGGGTGTCATGGTCGATCGCTGGCAACATCCTGGCGGTGTCGTGCGGTGACGGCAAGGTCAGCCTGTGGAAGGAGGGTGTTGGAAAGGGTTGGGAGTGTGTGAGCGACTTCTCGAGCTAGATGCGAGGTCCCTGATGGAAGATGTCATGATGCATATGAGTACAACGACGGAGAAGACCAAACGGGTATCGTCTATGGGTGTTGGATGCTAATTAGGACAAGATACGGACGCAGTTGAGGATATAATCCGTCCGTTCAGAGGTTCCAGTGTCCGAGGAACTCATCCGCCTGTCGTCAGCGTTATTAATCTCTAGAAGCTCACCTTCGTCGCGAGCTCGTTCCAGGGCGTTTCAGCTGATCCGTTCAAGACCAAAAGGAAGGAAGGAATATATGGGGGCTTGACGGTGGGTAAGGCTGCGGCGGTGCTCGCGGGGATGTTCTCAGGCTCGGGCAATGGAATAGCGCACATGAACAGGCGTCCAAGCTGTTGTCAGTGTCTAAGCGGCAGAGCATCACCTACCTCGCACTCTACTCGAGGGGACTCATCTTCCTCCCACTGGGAAGCAAGGCCGAGGAGCAACCTTAGTCGCTCGGGGCCCTCAAGGTACGGCTCGTCATCGTCTTCATCGTCTCCATCCTCCTGCTCGTCCTCGTCCTCCTTGTCTGCCCCATCCTCGTCCTGTCCCTCGGCGTCGCCGTTCTCGTCGTAATCCTCATCGTCGACCGTAGCTTTGGCGAGCAGCTGTCCCTGGGGCGTGATGAGTAGAGCGGTGTGCGGTCCGTCGGCGTCTGACGCGCCCAGTAGTCCACTGAGCAGCTTGTGCACTCGAATCGGAGAGACGAGCATGCCGTGCGGCTGTGGTTGTTGTTGTTGTTGTTGTCGTCGATGCACAGAAGCTACAGCTGGCCGGTAGACAGTGCGTCATTGCCAGAGATATGGACCAGCGTAGGGTGTTTGCCACCGGGTCATATCGCCGAGAACCCGAAAAAAGCACCCGCGTCGCATGGCTTCGCGAGGTGGAGGCAGCGGCGACAACCAAGCAGTCGACAGGCAGATTGTCGGGTTAAGTCATCAACAGTTGCTCGTCCCTGGCTTCTTGCATAAACAAAACCCGCGACACAGCAGCAGCGAGGGTCCGCCGAACAGTCGAAACGAGCCGACTTGCCCTCTGCTTCTCCGCGCTTTCGACCGACTCGACTGCCATCGACGAACGTCAACCAAAATGTCCGACGACGAGGCTTATCCCCAACTCGCGTCCTACACGGCGCCCAAGGACATCCTTGAGGAGCATGAGCGTATGGCCGAGGAGGATACAGACCTCACGGATGAGATCCAGGATCGCGCTAGTGTCCGGCAGATCGCCGCCCGCCAGTCCGACTACCAGCTCCGACGATTCAACAGGCGCGATGGTGTCGGAGAAGGCGAGGATGAGAGCTATGCCGATCGCATGCGCCGCGTTAACCTCGAGAGGGAGGAGGAGCGTGTGAGGAGGTACAAGGAGCAGCTTGCGAAGGAGGAGGAGGCGAAGGGAAAGGGCGAGATCCGTGAGCGTGATGACAAGACGCCGGAACGCGACCAGATTGCCGGCGATGCCACCCCTCCTCGCGGCGCCATCCGGGACGGAACGCCTGAGGCCAAGCAGGAGCCGATGGACGACGACGAGGCATCCAAGAAGCGCCGTTCTCGATGGGACATCACGCCTGCCGAGGGCGAGGAGAAGCCGAAGAAGAAGCGCTCAAGATGGGATCAGATGCCTGAGAACGAGACTGCCGTTGCTTCTGCGTCGACTTCGGTTGTTGAGACGAAGCCCGCCGCCGACAAGATGGTTGAGGACCGCCGATACCGTGCGATTACCGACGATGAGCTCAACGCTGTGCTGCCTGGACACAACGATGGTTACCAGATTGTCGCTGTTCCCGACGACTACCACCCGGCGCCGGCTGTGCGCAAGGTCGTCCCTGCCTCATCTCAGCACGCTGAGGGATTCATGATGCAGGACGAGAGTTCTGCGGCCCGCGCTGTGGCTGCTGCTGGTGGATTCATGGGTTCAGCGGAGCAAACGGAAATCGAGGGTATCGGAACGCTGCAGTTCCTGAAGGCGGAGGACTCGCAGTACTTCGCCAAGGTCCTCGGCGAGGGCGGTGGCGAGGAGGACGACGTGAACTACACGTACGAGGAGCTCAAGGAGCGCAAGATCATGCGACTGCTGCTCAAGATCAAGAACGGAACGCCACCAGTCCGAAAGACTGCGCTTCGACAAATCACCGACAAGGCGCGCGAGTTTGGTGCCGGACCGCTGTTCGACAAGATCTTGCCGTTGCTCATGGAGCGTTCGCTCGAGGACCAGGAGCGCCACCTGCTCGTCAAGGTCATTGACCGTATCCTCTACAAGCTAGATGATCTCGTCCGCCCCTACGTGCATAAGATCCTCGTTGTTATCGAGCCGCTCCTGATCGACGAGGACTACTACGCCCGTGTCGAGGGTCGCGAAATCATCAGTAACCTGGCCAAGGCTGCTGGTCTTGCTCACATGATCTCGACGATGCGTCCCGACATCGACCACGTCGACGAGTACGTGCGCAACACTACGGCTCGTGCGTTCGCCGTCGTCGCCTCGGCCCTTGGTATCCCGGCCCTCCTGCCCTTCCTCAAGGCTGTTTGTCGCTCGAAGAAGTCGTGGCAGGCTCGCCACACCGGTATTCGTATTGTGCAGCAGATTGCGGTCATGATGGGTTGCGCCATTCTGCCTCACCTCCGCAACCTCGTCGACGCGGTCGCCCACGGTCTGCAGGACGATCAGCAGAAGGTTCGAACGATGACCGCGCTGTCGCTCGCCGCTCTCGCCGAGTCTGCCGCGCCTTACGGTATCGAGTCGTTCGACGAGGTTCTCAAGCCGCTCTGGCTCGGTATTAGCCGTCACCGTGGAAAGACCCTCGCCGCCTTCTTGAAGGCTATCGGTTACATCATCCCGCTGATGGACCCCGAATACGCTGGTTACTACGTGAAGGAGTGTATGCCCACTCTCATCCGCGAGTTCCAGACGTCGGACGAGGAAATGCGTCGCATTGTCCTGCAGGTTATCAAGCAGTGTGCTGGAACGGAGGGCGTCACGCCGTCGTTCATTCGTGATGAGGTACTGCCCGACTTCTTCCGCTCGTTCTGGGTCCGACGAATGGCCCTCGACCGCCGCAACTACAAGCAGCTTGTCGACACGACCGTTGAGCTTGCCAACAAGGCTGGTGTTTCGGACATTGTGGGACGGATCTGCAACGACCTCAAGGACGAGAGCGAGCCGTACCGCAAGATGGTCATGGAGACGATCACGAAGGTGGTTCAGGCGAATGGCGCTGCTGACATCGACGAACGCCTCGAGATTCAGCTTATCGATGGTATCATCTTCGCTTTCCAGGAGCAGACAATGGAGGACAACGTCATGCTCGACGGCTTCGGCGCTGTCGTAACCGCGCTCGGATCGCGCGTCAAGCCGTATCTCCCTCAGATCGTGTCGATGATCCTCTGGCGTCTCACGAACAAGAGCGCCAAGGTTCGTATGCTTGCGGCTGACTTGACGACGAAGCTCGCCCCTATCATCAAGCAGAACGACGAGGACGCTCTGCTCTCCAAGCTCGGTGTTGTCCTATTCGAGCAGCTCGGAGAGGAGTACCCTGATGCTCTCGGTTCGATCATCGCTGCTGAGGCTTCGATCGCCAACGTTGTTGGTATGACGCAGATGAACCCTCCCGTCAAGGACCTTCTGCCGCGTATGACGCCCATTCTGCGTAACCGTCACGAGAAGGTCCAGGAGGCGACCATCAACTTGATCGGTCGTATCGCCGACCGTGGTGCCGAATTCGTCGCCGCGAAGGAGTGGATGCGCATTTGTTTCGAACTGCTTGATCTGCTCAAGGCGCACAAGAAGGCTATTCGTCGTGCTGCCGTGAACTCGTTCGGATACATCGCCAAGGCCATCGGTCCTCAGGACGTGCTCAGCGTCCTGCTCACGAACTTGAAGGTTCAGGAGCGTCAGAGCCGTGTCCTGTCGACCGTCGCCATTGCCATCGTGGCCGAGACCTGTGGTCCTTTCACTTGTATCCCCGCTATCCTCAACGAGTACCGCACGCCAGAACTCAACGTTCGCAACGGTTGTCTCAAGGCACTTGCGTATGTCTTCGAGTATGTCGGAGAGATGTCGAAGGACTATATCCACTCTGTCGTCGGACTTCTGGAGGACTCACTCACCGACCGTGACCACGTCCATCGTCAGACTGCCTGTGCCATCGTCAAGCATCTCACGATTGGCGTTGCCGGTCTCGGCTACGAGGAGGCTCTGACGCACCTGCTGAACCTCGTGTGGCCCAACATCTTCGAGACAAGTCCGCACGTTATTGGAGGTGTGATGGACGCGATCGAGGCTATGCGCATCGGTATCGGACCTGGTGTCGTGCTTTCGTACGTGCTCCAGGGTCTGTACCACCCCGCCCGCCGAGTACGCGAAGTGTACTGGCGAATGTACAACACCCTCGTGCTTGGAGCTGTCGACGCCATGGTGCCGTTCTACCCGGCGCTCGGATCGGCGGCTGACCTGGCGTCAGGACAAGATTACACCCGGCACCACTTGCTGATGTGGGTGTGATCGATCAGAGAAGACAATTTAGATAGAAGCCATTTTTAACCATAGGCTGGCTAGCCTGCTTTTGTATCAACATGTATGCATGGGGAGTCACAACGAAGACGGAGAAGTGCGGACTGCTCGGAGTTGCATGCTGGTTGCTCACTTGACGTCGGCGGCTGAAATCCGATAGTGGAGGTCGGTACGGGGACACCGAAGATAAGATCGGCGATGTGACGTCTCCCCTCCCGGCTCCCGGCCTCCACGCTTTCGGTCCCTAACTCTCCACTAACGACTGTCCACCATTTCGCGCTTCCAAACACAACCACGGCCCAAGCCCAACCGCCATGCCGCCCGCGCCAGGACTGAGTCCCGGCGAGCTGGACGATCCTTGGGCCGAGGCGAGCAGCCCTTCCGCCAGCGCGGCACCGTTATCGACGTCACCAGAGGAGGAGGGGTGGGGTTCTGGACCCGTTGCCGGACCAGGCCCGTCTACGACGAGCGCTCTCGAGGCGAGCCTGCGGGCGAGTCCAGCAGTGAGCTCGCCGTTATCGCCTGGCGGTTCCGGTCTTCGGAGTAGAGACCAGGGCGCCCGCTCCCCCGCCTCGTCATCAATACTGGCGCCGAAACCACGAGCCCGATCCGGCAGCCTGCTCAACTCGCTCAAGTACTCGCGTTCGACGAGCCAGCCGGTCAACCTCGAGAACCTCCAGGACATTGACCCCGATGTCTCGCGTCCTAGCCTGAAACGGCTCAAGTCCGAGACCGAGCGGCAGCTATGGGAGGACTCGACGGTCAGCTCGCGCGGAGGCTCCTTCGACCGAGAACGCGACAAGGAGGAGGAGGTAGAGGTCATTGTGCACCAGGTCGTGCCGAGCGACTCTCTGGCAGGCCTCGCATTGCGATACGGCATAGACGTGAGTCCCTCTCTCCACCTGCTCTCGGAAGAGTAGCTGTGGCGTGGCCTTCAGAGCTGACAACAGATATCAACGCTGCGCAAGGTGAACAAGCTGTGGCCGTCCGATCCGGTTCACGTCCGCACATCACTATACGTCCCGCTGGACGCGTGTCATCCCACATCAGGGACCCTAGTGCGCAGGACGGGGCACGTATCGCTTGTGCCGCATCGGAAAGCTGGCGCGAAGTCACCCAAGCGACGGCCGCCGAATGGGGACGCCGTCAGCGTGCTCAGCGACAAGACGGCACGAGAGGTGTCCCCCGAACCGCCAGAACGACAGGAAGTGCTCCTGGGCGAGGGCGAGGATCCTTTGACGTCCACGTCAACGCCGCCAGTCGAGGAACCAGGTACTATTGTTCTGCAGGTCGTCAAGCTACCCGCATCCAAGCTGCACCACTACCCGAACAGCCGGCGAAAGCGCGCAACCGCTAGCAGCGGCGCCGCGCCGCGTGCATCGATGGATTCGGACATAAGCGGTCTCTCAGGCGTCTCCGGGCTGAGTGGGGGATTGACTACGCTGAGTCTGAACGACGCAGCTGCGGATGGCGTCCCCCGACCGCAGTCCTGCCGGGAGGACAGCCGGCTGTTCGGCCTCTTCACGACGAGCCGGAGCGACTCGGGTCTCGTCCCGCCATCGCGCGAGAGGCAGAAGGATGAGGGCCGCTTTGCACCCCTCATGCCGCGCGTGGATGGGTTCGGGCCAGACGACGAGCCAGACACGTTTGGGTCGAAGCGCGGCAAGCGCGTCGTCAAGTTGCGCCCGCCCGTCGCAGCTCCGCACCAGGGCACGGGGCTTGTGGGGCGCATCTCCGACTTCTTCAACCCGCCCCCGCCGCCGCTCAACCCCTCGCCGCAGCGGCCCCGGCAGGTCACCCGGATAGTGTCCGAGCCCGTGTCGCGGGACTCGTCGCGGAGTGCTTCGCCCGCTGTCACGAGCCAGAGAAATGTAGAACTAGACGTCGAGCTCGACGCTAAACCACGTAGTTTGCGGGGATCCAAGTCCCGCCCCCGCTCGAATAAGAAGACGGACTGAATGCTTGTATCACCATTAAACATATGCATGTTAGCTCTATCCCTCCCCTGCACCCGGAGCCGCGTCCTAAGCGGCGCCGTCCTCGTCGCCGTCCTCCGGGTCTGGGACGGTGTACACTGGCCGGTCGAAGTTGCCGGACTCGTTGCGGAGACTGATGTCAGCTAAGACTTACACCAGGACAAATAAGCGTTGAGAGTCTCAGAGGATGTACGGCCGCAAAGGCCCCCCTATCCACTTACGACACGAATATCGTCTTGAAGCGCGGCCATCCCATCCCAGCGACAGAGAGGTTGGTCTCAAGCTTGTCGATGTCCTCGGGCCCGTCTGGCGTCTCCTCCCAGAGCTCGATGTCGTCCTCACTTGTCGGTGGCGGAACGGGAAGCGAGTCGGCCAAAGGCTTCAGTGCCGGGATCAGCTGCGTCTTGAGCTGCTCCAGTGTTCTGCCGTCAGCTAATGCAACGCAAGATGCGAGCTTACGTCCTCTCCGGCACCGTCAGGAGCACAGCGCACTTCCACAGGTGGAACGTGACGTGGTGAAGTGAGCTTGCCTGTACAGTCAGCTGTGAGTCATGACGTTATAGCTCACCATTGTTGTTTGATGGTTTGTTGTGCGAAAGGAGGAAGATCACGGTGGTTTGGTTCCAGATGAGTTTTGAAGGTGGAGGTCGCGTCGGCCATGTTGCGTCACCTGGCGGCGATACGCGTCGCAGTAGTGTCTTCCCAGTGCGCCAGTGCAGCGGCGACCGACCTATGCACCTGTGGGAACGTATTGGCTCACAGATTTGATACACTACAAAACACCTGTCCTCCGAGGGTGCCGGAGACGGGAGGCATGCAGCCGATCAAGTACACTGAGACCTGGAAGAGTATAAACAAACAAATACATGGTGTACAATGGAGATCTAGTGTCTACGGTCGTCCTCGTCCTGACTGTCAGCTGGACCACAACGGTGAATGTAGCTAACCTCCTCGATTACATTGCTTCTAAATCATCTCCGTTGCTGCTCTGCAAGGATGCTACTGGCGGTTAGTTGTTTCCGGGTCGAATCCAAACTACTTACAATCGCTCGCTTACAGGCCAATACGCTCCTGCACGGTACGGTTGTCACGCGGCGGCTGCTCCATGACCTGCCGCGGTGCGCGCTCCGTCAAGGACTCGTTGCCGTTGTCCCCGCGCTCGGTACGTTGGCTCTGCGTCTCCTGCTCCTGCGGCTGCTGGCGGCGGCGCTCGAGCTCGACCTGGAGGGCCTTGACGTCGGAGGGGCGGAGGGGAATGGCAGTGGGGTTGGAGCGAATCATATTGTGCCCTAAGCTTGGTCCGTAGCCTTTGATCTGTTTAGCAAGTCGTGTGCTGCTGGCGATAAGGGAAGGTCGGGCGTTGCAGTCGTCAAAACAATCGCCAGAAGCACCATGAGGATGGCAGCTTGTGTGGACATTGGAATCACGGTGCCTGAGATATACCTCCGCCCTGGTAGTCGGAGCCCTCCCAGGTCGATCCGCGCTTCGCCTGCGTCATTTCGCGCGCTGCTGATCCGGCCGTCCTTGTCACCGCACACCCCGCCAACAACATGGAACAGCTCAACCGCGTCACCGACTCGCTCCGCAACTTCAAGGAGACACGGCTGTCGGGCCTGAAGCCGCTGCCTGAGTTTGTGCGTACACACGAGGTCTGTGACCTCCACCACAGGGCCGCGTTCCCATGCCGTGACACTCCGAACTTTCTGAACTTTGATCCGTTTGCAATCTGTCTTCACGGAGCGGAGAACGAAAGAGGGAACAATGCATGCGCAACATAGCTGAGATTGGGCGTCTGGAGCTAACAGCAGTTCAACCACAGGCAGCTGTCGCGCCCGACGTCGCTCGCCGAGGCCAGCTCGCGTGTGTCGTACAACATGCGGAATTTCAGCGGGAACTACCTCGTGATCGTCATCATCCTCGCCATCTACGCACTGTAAGCTACCTGCTGTAGGAGTGATCTAACACGCAGCCTCACGAACCCGTTGCTCCTGATCGCGATCGGATTCCTGGCTGGTGGTTTCATGGCCATCAGCAAGTTCGGTAAGTGTCCCAACGCTTTTCCGTGCGGCGTCTTGCGGGATGCCCTGCCCGACCTCTTGCCGGGCAGTTGGAGCGGGATGAGCTTCGAGTCCTTCCCCGTTCAAAGCTGACCTGCAGCTCCCCTCGAGGTCGGCTCGCTCGTCATCCCGGAGAAGAAGCTGTACATTGCGCTTGGCATCATCGGCCTCCCGATGCTGTTCATCGCGAGCCCGCTGTCTGTCCTCTTCTGGCTCGTTGCCAGCTCCGTCATGCTCATCCTCTTCCACGCCATGCTCATGGAGCCTGGACTTGAGAGCGAGTACGGAGAGGTTGAGACTGTCTAGTTCTCCCCAACACCCTCTTCGCACCCCGTGTGCACCGCCTTCGTGGCGCCGGCGGCCGGCGGCGTCGCAGCAGTCCCGATATAGATAGAATGCATTTGGTTACCATCTAATCCTAATCCTAAAATGTACAGAATATGAACTGAACCGATGCGGCAGCGTGTATGTCTAAAGTCTCAAGATGAGTCTGGGTAGGCGCCAAGAATAGTCAGCGGCTTATCCTGCGTCGCCGCTTCGACAGAGAAGCGCCACTAGAGCTCCTCGTCGACACGCGCCTCGGCCTTGTAGTACGCGTTGTCGCCTGCCTCCTCAACGTGCTCCCAAGACCAGTTTGCCTCAGCCTTGGTCATGCGGCGCGTCTTGTTCACGCGGCCAGAACGGTGTTCCTGCGCCTTGCGCTTGGACGAGCCGCCCATGCCGAACCAGGAGCCGTTCGACTTCGGGCGCGGCATCCACGTGTTGTCGGGCATGAGGAGAATCTGGTACTTGTTGTTGCCGAGGAGCCAGGACTCGAGCAGGTTCAGGTTTTTCAGGTTGGACTTGAAGAGGTTGTCGAGCAGGTCGCCCACGAAGGGCACAATGCCGACGAGCACGTCAATGATGACGTTCAGCACCATGCGCATCAGGAGGTAGGTCGGCACGCCGAACACCCAGCACAGGAAGACCTGGTACAGCTGCAGCAGGCCGGAGACGAGGTCACCCCAGATCGGGATCAGGGAGATGAGGTCGTCGAGGCCGAACTTCAGGTTGAAAGGAAGGTTCAGGTCTGCGGCGACGGGGATGGCGTCAAGGTAGAAAGCCACGGTACGGATATGGTTGTACATCCTGTTGTCATGTGTCAGCGGCTACTCGATGAGACAGATCAACAGAATGCGAGAAGAGGGTGTATGGGTCAGGTTTTTGACTTTTTTCAACAAAGCAAGATCTCATGTATCGCTCAAAGGAGCCGATTGAGAGTGCGTTCAGTGTCTAATTAAAATTAAAAAGCATCATTCCCGAGCCGCTCCTCATCTGAGGAGGCGGCTGGTTGACTCAAAATAGACTCTGAACAGAGGTTATAGTGAGAAGGTAGGTGGAGATCTGGGTGAAGTCGAGGAGGATTGTGGAACGAGTGGAGCGGAGAGGAAGGACTGTGAAACTCACCTCTGGGCTTCTCTGTTGTTTTTTGGTGCGCGGTGCACAACAGGCGGGAAGTACGTCGCGGTGAATGCGCCGAAGCGCGCGGCTTTGGCGTCCTTCTGCTTGTAGCTCGCCCAGTTAGGACGATAGCTGGAGAGGAGCGGCCAGACGAATGACCAGACGGCCGATGCCATGGTGGTGTAATGAGCGTGTCGGGTTGGGAGGTAGCGTGGAAGGGAGGGAAAGTAGCGGCGAGATAAAGGGATGGAGGTGAGCGATGGGTTGTAAGGAATATCGATGTCGATGCAAAGATGCCGTGGAGTGATCGACCTTCCAGCGGATGTCCCTTTAAGCTCGCCGTCCCTTCCATGACGTAGTGGCGACCGCCAGACCCGCTCAAGCGGACGTGTCAGGACGCGTTCTTCCCGACAACACCCAACGCTTATGTCACCGCCTAGGGCCCAGGGTTCTGGACAACTTTCCGAGCGGGCTGTGCAGAGCAGATGTCTCTGTCTTGGGTACAGCTCATGGCGCAGAAGCCGGTCATGGGCACGAGGCGCACAGATGAACCGGATATTTTGCCATTTTTCGGGTCGGATCTGTTGCCACTGCCGAGCACCGTTTGCTGGCCTTCTAACGCCCGAAAGTGGGTTTGCCGTGTTGAGTTGGATAGACTGAGGCGCAATGTTCTCAGCGCGGTTTACCGGTCATCGTCGTTGTTGCTTGCGGTGCAGACGCAACGTCTGTCGTTCCAGTTGTATCTACAGGCTGTGCATGCATGAGGAGGGCGGGACAAATTTGGTCCACGGGTGCAGAAGGAGACTAACGCCGTATTCCCGGGTGCGAGTCGCAACACATCATTACATAAGCAAACGTTCGATAAGATTACCACGCGGCTGCAGGTGTGGTGTCGCCACTTCCTTCGCGCTAGCCTCGAGCGACCGTCAGCTGCCAGTCGCAAGCACTCTGGGGCGACGAGACCAGCCACTCCTCTATGACGTCTCTTTCGGCGACTCGTACATCTTGGCTAGGCGCGGGCTCCAAAGTGACCACCACTCTGTCTGTTTTCGGGTATGTGGTCCACCCTAAGCAGAAGAGGGACGGCATCGACTCCGTGTACAGCTGCCATCCGATCATGGCATCTATGCTATGCGTCGTCGTGATACCTTTTACCAGAACTGTCGAGACATGGGCCACTTCTAACCGAATATGGTACTCCAACTCCAACCAATCAATCACCATTTGACTGTCAGGCATCACCGCCGCCAATGCCCCCATACGTCGCTCTTGCAGAGCGTAATATCCGCTTACGAACTTGCGGCAGCCATGAGCTACTTCCATGCAGTCAAGCAAAGTCTCCTGAAGGGCAGGAGGAAAGGAGAGGTCGAAGGGTATTGGAGGCGGTCCTGTGATGGGAATACGCTGGCGCAGATGGCGAAGAAGAGTATCAAACGTTGCTGGCAGCGCTGGCAGAAAGGTAAGGCAAGGAGGGACGTTGACTGGGGGGATAACGAGGAGGTCTGGCGGCGTCATATTTTCGCAGGTAGGTGGGTGTGGGGGAGTAAGTCAGGCGTTCTAAGCCCATATTAAAAAAACAGCGTTCTCTGATCTAGTCACAGTTCCAGAGCTGCAAAAGCTGACAGGTGCGGGGAGCGCACACGTACCCTACCTATGAACGCATGGTCATATTTGATGGGCAATGGGGACGGTATCAAGGCCGTATCCTATTGTTCGCGCCGGGGCATTGAAGTTGGCGCGCCAGCCTTAGAGCCTGGTGCCCCTTCGCACTCATCAACGTGCACTATCTTACCTTATCGCAAGCACCCTCACATGGCAGCAACAGCGATCCAGTTACCGCTGGCGCAGCGGATGCGAGCGTGGGAGCGAAAACCCCAAACCCACATCCATAACCAGCAGCAAACAGCTGCTCACATCACGGCAATGCATCCAGAGCGAGCACTTCATTCATCACCGCAACTCGTTTACAGTACTAATACAATATTCGCCCTGCGAAAGATCATCGCGAAGTAGCCTGATCCAAGTGCGAGTAATCCCTTACGGGCCTCCACGTTCCGTCCACCACGAACCTCTGCACTTCATCAACAGGCACCTCCGGGCTCGGGTCAGACGTCACTCTCAGCCCCTCCGCCTCGAGCTTTGCGATACTCTCGGGGTCGTCAGGGTTGCAATCTGGCTCCTGGACTTCATAATTGTCCCACAACGGCGCTTGACCGATGGTGTACTCCTCACTGTCAGCCGATCCGGTAGCGTAGACGTAGGCGGGCCATCGCACAGCCAGGGGAGAGGTGTTGGGGTCATTGAGAGGGTGGCGAGGATCGTCGTCTGCGACTAGAGGCTTGACGTCCCAGTACTTCGATCGCGAGGAACCTGAGACGTACACCCACTCGCCATGTCCGGGATGCCTGGGATCGGAGCGCTCAACGAATCGCACGCGTGAACGCGCATCGGAAAGTCGCGGACGTGGAGCCTGCCATCGTTCCAAGGCTGCTGACGCAGCGGCGAGTCGGGCGCTGACTCTATCCACGGCCGCTGGTTCTCTTGAAACGGCAGCGACCTGGGGGGCATCGCCCTCTGTCTGTGAGGGTCTTTCGGCCGGGACTTGAAACCCGCGCAGAACAAGTGTGGGCCGCGGCTCGACCGCTGGCGCAGTGGGGATGCCAATCGGCCGGGTCGGAGACGGCGCCTGCGCGGGTGGCCGCAACGCCGCCGACGGCTCACTCGCCTCCTCCCGGGTACGCACGCCCGGCGCCGATAGCTGCACAGCCAGCTCAGCATCCCTCACTCGCTGCTCTTCGGGGAGTCGCCACTCGTCCAGTGCTGACTCCGTCACCAACATTGCAGTGCTGGGGTCCATGGCCGCAAGCGTGGCCGAGGAGATACCGGCCGAGGCGAGAGCGTCGGCTTCTTCCGTCCGATTGTCATCCCCACATCCTTGTGTGGAGGGACCTGGCCTGTCCGTCCGTGTCCGGGAGGGTAAAGCACGCTCAGCTGACCCGGCTAGACGTTCTCGCCCAGCTTCAGCCGCCTCCCTGCGCACCAGCGCCTCGATCACCTTCCTGGTCTCGACGTGTAGTGCTTCAAGTTGCGGAACATGTCCAAAATCGGGAGCAGCGTCGATGCTGAAGTCATCGTCTGGTGGAGCACCCCGCGCTTGGTCGGCATTGCGAGGGGGGTGGGGCCGGGGCCGCGGGGAAGACGGCTCCTCCAGCACGAGAGCTTGGATCATCTCTCTAGTCACCGGATCCATCGCCGCAAATGTAGCCTCATAAGCTTCGATGTCAACGTTCAATCTACTGCTGCTGCCCCCACCGCTGCTGGTGGAGGGACCAGCGCGGCCGGCGGCATCGGTCGCCTCGGCCCGTGCAGCCCGAGCTGCTCGGACAAGATTCGCCGCCTCTCCGCGTGCGATGGCCTCCACCAAGCTCCGCCTCTGCGAGTCCATAGCCGCAACCGTCGCGGGGTTGAATCCAAGTGCCTCGAGCGTCGCCGCATCGAGACCGAAGAGCGGGGCGGGTCCGTCGTCAGGCTCGACTCGGTCTTGTGGCCTGGGTCTGAGAACCAAGGTCGAGGTTTCGCCCGTGCGGTTGGGATCGGCGATCAGCCCCGGCGGCGGCCCGTCGGTCGGCTGGCCAGTGTTCCACACCGATCCTGCCCATTGCGCTTCCACAACCGGGGGCGGCACCCATGCCATGGGCGGGTGCGGCTGGTGCCTCGCCTCCATGGCGAGCCTCTCCCTCTCTTCCTCGAAGAACCGCCTGTCGTACCGCGGAAAGATGGCCCAGGCGCTTTGCGTGTCCCATTCGTTCTCGGTGCTGTCGACTGCCTTGCTGCTGAGACGGCAGCGACGCAGCCATGCGCGCATGGAGAGGTACTGCGGGGCATTGCTGAAGGAGCTCCGCTCGAAGATCGTCCGGTTTAGGCCATATCGCACCTCTTGCAAGTAGTTGAGATTCTGGATCTGCCTCTGTCGGTCCAGTTTTGGGTGAGAAGTGACAGACTCGAGGTTGACGATTGTTGCCGTGCCCGCAAAGCTGGACAGCAGGTGGCCCAGCGCATTGATGATGACCGGGTTGCAGTCCGAGTCCCAGATCTCGCCTGGCCGCGCGTTGAACACGATCGTGAGGTCCAGATTGGGTAGAGCGCGGAGCACTGACACAATACCGGCGTTAGCCATCTCGGTCGGCTGGCTGGTCCTAGCGTGTCTCCGCCACTGCTCGCCGGTCGGTCCCGGGTCCAGGACGAGGATGAGCCGGTTCATCCTGTCCAGGACTCGGGGGATCCAGATCTCCAGCGGGATGTCATCGAACACGAGCGACATGCCGCGCAGCACGACAGCGGAGGGAGCGAACCCGCATAGCGTGGGACAGAGCTGGCCCTCGTTCGGGCCGTGCACCGTTGGTCCGGAGTCCGTATACTGCACGAACAATCTCAGTGTTTCGACGTTGGGCATTGGGCCGAGACGGTTCTCCGCGCGGGCACCGCGGCAGTGCGCAAACAGGTGAGGCTGCACGTCTACGTCTGTGACTTAGCCTTCGGCTCCGTAGGCCGCTACGCTCGCCGGCGTGCTGGTGTTGTCGGAGACGAAGCCGAAGGGTCCCGTGCTGTCAAGGGACACTTGGGACCAGAGCTCGGGCCAGTTGGCCCTGTCCGCAAGCCGCTCGTCGGCGAACGCATCGTTCTCCCCATTGTCTACTTGCCGTCCTGGCGGAAGGGTTGGCTCGGCCTCGATCGTGTCGAAATCGAACGCTTCGTCCGGGATCTCGTCCGGCATCGCGGTGCAGTCTGACTCGGCGTCGGAGGTATCAGTCATGGCGGAGTCGCCATCCGATGCGTCTGACGGATCGGCCATGTCAGAGCCCCCATCCGGAGAGAGGGAGGAACTGACCTCCCACTCCGATCCAATGCTCTGCGTGTCGTCCGTGTCGAAGCCGACTAAGTCATCGTCCGTTTCCCATCCTGGTGGTACAGTCCTCATCGTTGACCACTAATAGTGCTGATATTGTCGGAAGAGAGACAGCGAGAGTTGCTTGCACTCATGACATGTGGTAAGTGCGGCTCGGATGGGGGAAATGCTTCATGTGCTCCGGTACTCCGAAACGTTCTCCTGGCTGGACTACTGGCCAGAAGGAGCAGGGGTGACGGGCTTACGGCTGACCCCGTCGTGCCTAGCTCCACCGCAGATTAGCCTTTCTGGGGCAATGCAACCTGTCTGAGCTGTGCGCAGTCGGTTCATCAACGAGTTCTGTATCTGATGTGCTGTGCAGGAACTTGGACAGCCCAAAAGGTCCTGCAAATCAGTAAGCTGCTCGAACAACCATGAGAGAGTGGATGGATTTGAACAGCGATCGAGGGGTTGCGCCAGGGTGTGAGATTGGGGCTCCAGATTCGCCACCGTCTACGAGCAGTGCGCACATGACGCATGTCCTCGGCTGAGACTTACGCTGACTGTCGCACGCTGGCTCAGCGCTCATGTCCGGGTCATTGGCGCTGAATTGAGGCGCCAAAGCCATGAGCTAATGGGCTGGGAACCAGTGTGCCCGCACCCGCACCGCGCACCACCACCACTGCACAGCGAGCTCATCACATGGCTGCACCCACTCTGCCATTCCTTCGTCGAGCGACCATCCCCCGCCATGGCTGACCTCTAGCAACGCTATTGTCACCCGTCCTCTTCTACTCTCTTCGGCACTATCCATCTCGGTTCTTACCACGCCCACTCCCGCACAGCGCTAGAGAGCACCTCCACTCTGCCTTATAAACACAACAAGAGGGTATTCAGCATCTCCCATCTGTCCACCATCTCACGACTTCGCCTATCTGGCATTCCTCATCACTGAGGAGCCGGCAGCGAGCTCATCTCCCTCCCAATCTTCGCATACTCACCCTTCATCACGCAACCTCATCTCCCTTCGCATCTCATCTAGAATTTATAGCACTTGCATACACCACTGCATCGCAAAACAACATGCCTTACCCTATCCCTATCATAATCGGCACAACCATTGCCGCTGTCGGCACCGCCTACTGTTTCAAGAAGGTGAGCGCAGACCCTCTTTCTTGCTGATACCAGTTCGTTTACGACCCTCATCTCGCTCCGATCGTCGAGGCTCTCGTCGCTCAGCACCGCGCCCAGGGAGCCCCAGGCTACAATCCAATCTCTTCGACGCCTGTTGCCAGCCAAGCGAGCTCCGGCCGGAGTAGTGCACTCGATAACGGGGCCGAGAAGCTGCGCCGCCGTCACCCGGCCGAGATGTATGAGCTGGACGAGACTCGCATCCTGCAAGATGAGCGCGACGCCCCGCCGCCGCCCTACGCCGTGCGTCGGCGTCATATGAGCCGGAAGCCGATTCCCACCCCGCCGACTGTGCAGCGTGAGACGACGCCCGTCGCCGCTGAGAAAGTCAGTGCGCAGCAGGAGACGGAGAAGGCCAACATTCTCATCAGCCTTGACACCGCTGCGCAGCCTGCTGAGCCCGCGGCTGTCGTCGAAAAGGCCGCAGAGCCCGCTGAGCCCCTAGTGGCCGCCGAAAACAGTCGCGACATGGAGAAGGGCTCCAAGGTCGAGCGCTCCCCAACTCCGGTGCGCTCCGGCGCCGCAAGCGAGCTTTTCATGCCGATGCCGCAAGCTGCTCGCCCCTCCATTCCCCAGATTCTGCAGGACGAAGCACTCCTCTCGCCGAGCACTGTGAGCTCGGTGCTCTCCTCGCCGCAGCTGCTGGGCACGAGTGAGTTTGGCGACGACGACGTCATCTCCCTCTCGGGCGTGTCGAACAACACGGCCTCCTACGTCGATGCAGAGACGTACACGCCCCGCACACTGTCGCCCATGTCGCCGAGCGACTTCAGTGTCGTCTCCTCGCGCGCGATCAGCCCCTTCATCTCGGAAACCGAGGTCGCGCCGGGCATGGCACAGGTCTTCTCCCAGAGCGGGTGGGACAGCGAGTCGCACCGCTCCGACAGCGAGTGGGAGGTGCTCTCCAACCACCGCTAGATCGTTGTATTTCGTTGTACTGTTGTGCAACATACATACCTATACTGTACTGTATTACACGATGCTATTCTTACGCCGACTCCGGCTCCCACTCGAGCAGGTACTGGAAGTAGTCGAAGCCTTCGGGCGGGCCGATCGTCTTCGTCGACAGCTTCCAGCCCGCCCGGTCCTGGAGGTATCGCTTGCGGAAGTGGGGCTGGCCAAAAGTGAAGCTGAGGTCAGTTCGCATTACGCCGTCGGAACTCACTAGACAAACTTGGACCCCGGCTGCTTCCTGAGCACCCGCAGACCCTCATCGACTTCGCGCGTGCAATTCTTAATGTCCTTCTCGGGGGGGTTCTGCTGTCAGCTATGCACCCAAATTCTAGCTTACCCATGGGTCACCCTTGGTCGTGAGCATAGCGCTGGGGTTAGTTTCGCCCGTTACAATCCGCTCACTCCATCGTTCCTGCCCGTCAGCTGTGCCCCGTTCTCTGAGCTTACCCTTGTCAACAACCATGTCGAACTCCTCATCACCGAAAGTGAGGTTCATAACGTCCATCTCGAGCCAGGTCATCTTCGGCCTGGCCTCGCCGTGTCGCTGCGTCATCTGCTCGATGCACGCGGTCGAGTAGTCGACGTTGACGATGTTCGTCCATCCAGCGTCGTACATGACCTCGGAGAGCTGTGAGTTGCCGCACCCCAGCATCAGGATGCGGGCATCCTTGCCGACCTTGATGTCCGCCGTCAGCTCCTCGAAGATCGGGAGGAGGTAGTCCGGCTTCAGGAACCAGTCAAAGTTGTGCTCGGGACCCTCGCTGTCGTCAGCTACCTCCCAGCATCCACAACTGTTTCGCCACGCACGCCGTGTACCGCTGCTCCCTGTTGTTAGCTTCAAGCCGCTGTTGTCAAAGCTCACCAGTACTCCCGCGTCCCGTATCCCTCGTTCGTCGCCGGAAGGTTCTCCTCGACTTTGCGCATTGTGCTTGGTGAAGTGTTGCTGAAGTCCAGCACGGATGCCCTCCACTTCGTGTTTCAGTGGTGGTTGGGTCAACTTTTCGAGCAAAACCCGGAGCCCCGATCGAGGCTTCCATGACCTGGGCAGGGCTGGACGCGGCTGGCCTCCACCGGCTTCTCGGTTGGCTGGCGGAAGCGGAAGATTACAGCAACCACACGGAGAAGGACGTTCGTCATCGGTCCTTGACTTCGCACCTACACCCCCATCCAAAGCCACCATGGATCCGAACGCAGAGGGCGGCCCGCCCAAGGCCGAGATCGAGATCGCCGAGGTCGAGAGCGACGCGCCCCCTGCTCCCCCCAAGGCGGACATTGAGATCAAGGCCGAGCAGCCCGCCCAGGCCCAGCCTTCCCCCGAGGTCTCGGACGAGGAGAAGAAGAGGATTGAGAGGCTGGAGCGGAAGATGCGAAAGCAGGAGAGGAAGGAGAGAAGGGAGAGGAAGGAGGCGAGGGCGCAGAAGAGACAGGAGAAGCAGGAGAGAAGGGAGAGGAGGGAACGGGAGAAGCAGGAGGCTGCCCAGGCTGCTCAGGCTGCTCAGACTGCTGAGTCTGCTGCTCAACCTGCCGCCGAGTCTGCTCCGGAGGTCACTCAGCCGGAGACTCAGGCGGCGCCCGCTCAACCCAAGCCTGACCCCGAAGTCCAGGCCGCCATCAAGGTACGCTCACTGAACATCGGCTAAGCTGACAGCAGGAACGCCTTCGCGCTTCAGGCGCGCCGGTGAGCGATATCCGGGCTCCGATGGCGAGCTCCCTCTTCCGCTCGGCGCGCGAGCCGGGATGGGACAAGCCCCACAACGGTAAGCTTTTGCTGCAACTTGAAAGCTGACGATGCAGAGACTGACCCCGCTAAGATCCAGCAGTTCCACGAGGAGGAGTTCCAGCGCCGCTTGAGGGGAGAGTACCAGGCGCAGCAGCTGCGAACTGGCCAGGTGGTGAGCTCTCGAACCCTTTGACGAGCTAACCCCAGGTGACCAACAGCATGGAGAAGCCTCTCCGCTTGACGTCGATCCGCCTCAGCCCTCCCCCGCCAACGACGCGCGGTGACTTCCTCTCCGGCCTGCTTGCGCCTTTCCTCTCCGAGGCCCACCCCTGGCTCAAGTGGCTGCACCCCGTCCCGCCCCCGCCCACCAACCTGCGCGAGATCCTGCAGACGACAAAGGCACTCGTGCAGCACGTCGACGACCTGGGCGTGTTCGACATGGACCGTGTCGGCATCCGTCTCGAGCCTGCGCCGAGCGGAGACCCAGATGAGGTCGAGTTGCTCCTGGCTCTGAGGGAGCGCGGAAGGTTCTTCCTCAAGGCTGGCACTGAGTTTGGCGGAAACGAGGGTGGTGCCAATATCACGGGCAGGATACGCAATGTCCTCGGTGGAGGCGAGACGCTCGAGGCTAACGCGGCGCTGGGTACCAAGACGAAGAGCGCGTATCAGGTGAGTGTCTCCCAACTCCCAGCCCCACCGCCATGGCGAGAGCAGTGGGAAGCTTCGACTATGGTGTCCAGCTGACGTGCAGGCGACTCTCTCGACTCCCGTCTTCTCCTCTCCCTATCTCTCCGCCTCGCTCAGCGGTTTCAGCCTGGACCGCGACAACACCGCTTTCGCCTCTCACCGCGAGCTGCAGCAGGGTGGTCGTGTCAAGCTCTCTGGTCTTACGCCGCTCGGCGCCCACGAGCTCGCGTACGAATACGTCCAGCGTGACATCTCGCACCTCTCGCCCAAGGCATCCGTCTCGTAAGCTGTCAGTCGATTTCGCACCAGCTGACATCAGCATTCGCGAGCTCGCGAATACGACGACGAAGGCATCGCTCTCTCACACGTGGACGAGCGACACGCGCGACAGTGCCCTGGGTCTCGGTACCTCTGGCCGTCTGCTCAAGCTGACCAACGTGAGTGTTCCCTGCCCGAGCTTCGCCGAGGACGGGCTCAGCTGACCCCAGGAATACGCCGGTCTCCCTGGCTCCTCGGAGCTCGCGCACTTCATCAAGTCGACAGGTGTTGCGCAGGCGTCGCGGCCCCTGTACGAGGGTTCTGATATTGTGAGTGCCTCATAGCTCGCCAGGTCGCTAGGCAAAGCTGACAGCAGCTCGTGTCCGTGTCCGGCTTCGGATCCATTCTGTACCCGCTCTGGGCGCCAGGCGGCTTCGACGAGCCTCGCAGGACGTACCTTGCTGACAGGACTTATCTTGGCGGTCCCAACTCGGTGCGCGGCTGGAAGGTCGGAGGCTTGGGCCTCAGCGACAAGCGTGAGTGGCATCGGTGGAAGGAGCTGGTCGGACAACGAGCTTTAGCTGACACGCAGTCGACTCGCTTGGCGGAGACCTCGCTTACGCTCTCGGCATCAGCGCCTTCCTCCCCATCCCCGGCAAGGAGCACTGGCCCCTCAAGATTCACACGTTCCTTAACGCTGGCAAGGTGTCCCGGTATGAGCAGCGTGAGTGCTATTTCTGCATCTGCATCTTGGCAGCTTTCGTCGAGCATTGCAAGCTGACCCCAGACCGCTCGTTCGTGGACAACGTGTCCAAGATGGTGTCGATGCCGAGCGTGTCCGCCGGCATCGGACTCATGTACCGCTTCGACCCACTGCGGATCGAGCTCAACTTCTCGATGCCGCTCGTCGCGCGGCAAGGCGAGCGCCTTGCGCGCGGATTCTCCATCGGCGTCGGAATCGATTTCCTGTAGAAACGTAGAATATATGCAACTACTCTTGCACGAAAGTTATCGTATGCGTGAGCCTCCCATTGCACCCTGCATCGACTGACCTTCATGCATGCGCGTAACTCCATACGTTGCAGAGCATGCAGAGCAGGCTTCAGTGATCAGTGATCGAACTCTGACACCGTCCAGCCGCCCCGTTCTGGTCCCGTTGCCACTCCGGTGCCCCGCCATCGTCATCCCCCGTCCGTCCTCCCACAAGTTCGCCCACACCGATCACCTTCCCCCCTTCCTTTCCTGTCTTCCCATCATTTCTGACCTCAGCAACAGCATGGCCGACCCCGCAGCCGACGCCAGAGCCCGGCGCCTCGCCGCGATCGAGGCCCGCCTGAACCCGCCGAAGGAGGATGACGGTGCTGCTGCCGCCGCAGGCAGTTCAGGCTCGAACACCCCTGGCCGCGAGCCGCCGCGCAACATGCCTAAACCGTGGACGCGGCCGAGCGAGCGCGAGCAGAACGAGAAGAAGCGCGAGCTCACGAGGTTACTGAACCGTACTATCGTTCGGGACTCGGGGTACAGGCAGGCGGCGGAGTGTGTCGAGGTGAGTGCGGAGTCCTCTCCTGTCTTCTACTCCGAGCTGCCCAGGGATGGAGGCGGTTGACCATAGCTAGCATGCAGTACAAGGAAGCTGAGCTAATACCAGACTCTCGTCAAGATTGCGACGAACATCCAGACCAACGAGGACCCGAAGTACCGCACGCTCAGGGCTGAGAACAGCCTGCTCAAGAACAAGGTGCTCGCTGTGCCTGGCGGGCGCGATTATATGATCCAGGTGCGCCGAGCGATAAGCTGGAGTGAGGAGTGGAGCTGACAACAGATGGGCTTCCATACAGAGAACAAGGACTTCACGCAATTCTTCATCCTTGATCAGAGCGAGAAGCGGCTGTGGCAGCTTGGTCTGGCAGCTGACGTGCTGCGCGAGGCGGTAAGTCCACTCTCCTGTTCCACTCCGCACTGCGCCGCTCTGCTCTCTACTCCCCGAATGAGAAGTCATCGCAATGCTGAGCAACCTGTATCCCGCCCTCCTACACCGTATGGAAACGACGCAGGACCGGATCCTCGATCCTTCACCACTTCGGATAGGATGCTCCTGCTGTCCCGCCGTCTCCTTTCTGCATAGCTGATATTTTCCGAGCTCCAAGCTAACGCCTAGCTCCCCGAGCTCCAGAAACGTGTTAGCGGCACGACCACATCTACGGCGAATGCAAAGGCGGAGGAGGAGCGCCGCGTCGCTGCGGCCAAGCGGCAGATCGAGGCGGACCGTGAGCTCGTCAAGCAGCGCGTTGAGCGTGAGCGTATCGTGCGCGAGGCGAGGGAAGCCGCCCGCGCCAAGGCAGAAGCGGAGCCGCAACCGCAGGAAGAACCTCACTTCCACGTCCGCGGACAGGGGCGTAAGCTCGACGGCTCTGCATCTACTGAGGGCGTGGGAAGTCCCCAGGCGCGTTCTCGATCGTCACAGGCGGCACAACAAGTCGGTCCTGATGACGACACAGACATGATCCCTAGCGATCACGAGGAGGACGATGAGGAGGGGGAAGACGACGGGGAGGAGACGGACGAGGAGGAGCGCGAGTTCAGGCGCCAGGACGCGCAGAACCGTATGGGCATGTTCGGCATGGCGAGCAACGCGCATCACTGGGGAGGAGGGCAGAAGCTGGGCGAGTAGAGTCCCGTAGGGGAATAGAAGCTAGGCAAGCAGTGGTAGGGTGATGAGCTGGTAGGCCGCGGCTGCGCTCCATTGCATTCCTCGACGTCGCATCCCTACGTCCTGATCATACAGTGATAGCTAGTAGAAGCTCGAGATAGGCCATACAGACATAGTGGTGTTCAGTATCCATGCACGGTTGTATCAATGCATTCGCGGTCTACATGCATTTGCAGGGAGCGTTTGTCCATACAGGGAATCGAACTCGAGTTACGTCACTCAGAGTGCCACGTGCTAATGTTCGCAGTTTTCGCTAAACGCCGCTCTGGCGTATCGCCGACCAGGGTTGTGCAGTCTGTTGGTTCCGCTGGGATGGCTCGCAGCCAGGCAATGTCCCACAAAGGCGACAGCGACCTCAGCTTCGACTCTTTGTCCACCAACACAACACCTTATCGTGAGCATCCACAAGGCGCAGCGCGAAGCCCCTCGAGCGAGTTCCTCAAGCCCCCGACCGACTACACGCCGTGACGACCGACACTCCGCTTTCCGACGTTTTCAGAGCGGTCCATACACTCTCACCCGACGACACTTCGAAACTTTTGTGAAACTCGCTCGAGGTCAAGCAAGGGCTTCATCAAGAAGCGCTGACGACGCGCCGACACAAAGCGAGAACGAACAGCAGCTAACTGGCCAGGACAAAATGACCAAAAAGAGAAGAGGAGGAGGACGCAACAAGAAGGGACGTGGACACGTTCGCTTCGTCCGTTGCTCGAACTGCTCGCGCGCCGTCCCCAAGGTGAGTCTACCTGGCGGTGCAAGGCTTGAGTGAGCGCGGCATCTGCGGCAACGGTTACTGCAAAGCTTGCAGACGCTGTGCTGTTCTGAGCACAGACCCGTGCAACCTTCGCAGTGACTGCGTGTCGTACTCAGATTTTACCCTCCGGCCTGTGCCAGCTATATATTGCCTGAGGATCGCAGCTGACCATATCAGGACAAGGCCATCAAGCGCAACACCGTCAAGAACATGGTTGAGGCCGCTGCCGTCCGTGACCTCTCGGACGCCTCGGTCTACTCCGAGTACGTCCTCCCCAAGCTCTACGTCCGTCTTGCGTACTGCATCTCGTGCGCCATCCACGCCAAGGTCGTTCGTGTTCGTTCGGACAAGCCCGGAGCCATCAACTCGCGTAAGAACCGTGCGCCCCCTCCCCGCGCCATCTTCCGTGACGGCAAGCGCGTCAACCCCGCTGTCGCCGCTGCCATCCAGGCTCGCCAGCAGCAGGCTTAAGTCTTTGTAACTCTCTCTTTTCAATCAAAAATAGAGGTTGCATGGGCTTATGGGTAGATAGGACTAGGACTGAATGACATGAAGTCCATTCCGCACAGACCAAAACTGGAGCACGCGCACATACTGACCCAACTCACCTTTGTCGACGAGGGATGTGTTGACGCTCTTTCGGACCCAGGTATCACCGAGCGGCTCTGAACTCGTGTTGTGAGCGGGGCCGTGATCGTGTGCCGTCGTGTCTCCTGAGCTGCTGCACATTTACAGCACTTGTAATGCTTCAGTTCACTGCGCGCTCGGTGTCGCTGCCAGGTCACTGCATACGCAGGAGCCAGCTGTCGAGCTGTTGAAGCTGCTCAAATTTATGAGGCGTCGACGGAGTCACATGAGAGGCGCAGATCTGCGCCCTGTCTTCGTGATGTCGCCGTCGACCAGAACTGCTCACACAACCGGAGTCTCCCACGGCCTCGAGCACGCTCTCGTTCTGCATCACACTGCTGCCATTATGCTTCCAGCCTCAGCTCGTCTAAACCAGTCCCCAAGCTGTCAGCTAGTCAGCTCTGCTCATGCACGCCCAGACATGTCTAAAAGTTGCATAAGAAATTACAAAGCGGCCTCCACCTCCTTCAGATGCGGGAGCGAGCATCCTCCGACATCAAACTTCTTCGTGCTCCTGTACTTGCGCTTCTCGTTGCATCCCTTGGCGGCGCACTTGGCGGCCTCGTCCTTATCCTTCTTCTCGCCAGCCTCTCGCGGGGGCCGCTCGGGGAAATCGAGCCACTTCTCGTTCCCCTCCATGACGCTGACGGCCATTGTGACGTTCTCGCCGTCGAGGCGCGAGACCCAGCGGATGCCGTTGGGGATGTCGAGCACGGAACGCTGTTTCGTTGGCGACGAGGCGCCGCTCTCGCCATCGGGGAGAGGCGTGTGGTCCAGCTTTGAACGCGAGCGGCCTGTCTGCGCACGCAGTAGACGGTTGATTGTTTGGTCCTGGGTGTCAGCTACCGTTATGAACTGGGCAGCTGGCCTGTCCTCTCGTCATTGTACCCTCGCGCATCCCATCTTGGCATGAATACTTCCAGACAGGCAAGACGTGATGGTGTGCAATATCATGAGGAGAAAGCAACTTACCTGCTCGTCCTGCAGCCTCTGCTCGTTCTGCCTCTTCCTCCTACGCGCCATCTCCTCGCGCTTCTGCAGCCGCTCAGCCTCGGTCAGAATCGGCTTGACCTTGACCTGTCCGTCGGGGAGGGACATGAGACCTTCATCGATGAGACCCTCGTCCTCGCCCATCTCCTTCTCGCGCTTCGCGCGCTGTCGTGCCGTCATCTTGGACGGGGAAGTGGCGCGGCTCTCGTCCTCCCGGAACTCGTCATCGGAGTCGGCATCTGCGTTGTCAGCTGACGGTCACCACGTTTCAGCTCGTAGTGCGCCCCGCTGGAAGCTCAGATTGGCGCCGGGCAAAACGTACCCTCTCGCGTGCGCTTGGCCGCCTTCTTGGCCGCCTGCCGCTTGGCTGGCCGCTTGTTGTCGACCCTCAGCTTGATCTTGACGGGCTGCGGCGTGTCCTCGTCATCGTCGTCGATCTCGTCCTCCTCCTCCTCGGGCTCATCGAGCTCCTCCTCCTCCTCCTCGGCTTCGGCGTCTTCCTCGGCGTCGTCGTTATCGTCGCCGTCGTCATCGTCGCCTTCGCCGTCATCGTCTGCCTCCTCGACGTCTGGGGTTAGCTTGGGTCTGAGAGCCCTGCCAGCTACGCGATGGGCCGGAGCCGACACAGACATATGGGCCAGTGCCGTGCGCCTGGTCATCGCCATCGTTGCACAGTTCAACGGCCCGAGGTAGACTCACCATCATCAAGCTCCATCTCCTCTTCCGGGGACTCAGAGTCGCTCTCGATGACGCGCTTCGCGCGCCTGGCGGCCGAAGACACCGCTGCGGGCATGGTTGCTGCTGGTGTTGATTGAGGTAAGCACGAAGCAACGCGTTCGTCACTATGTATTCTGAGTTGGCTGGCTTGAGCCCAATCTGGCCGATCTGGTCGGTTGAGGTTGCTTCCGTGCCCTGCAAGCCTTGAGTGCCGCCGCCGGATGAGCCGCGTGAGTGTGTGCGTGTGAGTGTACGGAGCCGCCGCCACTGGCCGCCCAGTGTACCAGTGTTTTTTTCGTGGTCCACCACCCTACAGTGGACGGTCGGCCGTACTGCGTCATATTGTCGCTCCGGGCTTTCCTTTCATTACTTCTTGCTTCCACAAAACTACACCCATTCTTTTCCTCCCCACGACCACACCACCAAAGGAAAACTCTAGCCCATCATGGACATGTCCCAGTTCAACGCCGCCGAGCAGGCCACCCTCGCCAAGGCCATTGAGGCCAAGCAGGTGAGTGCTCCGGATTCTCTGATCGCCGATGGGGTTCTACCGCCGCTGCTTTGCTTCAAGTCTTCCGCCTCCCGCTATTGGCATTGTATTCTGCTGCTTTGAGCATCAGTTTGCATACTGCTCCTCTGCTTGTGCCGAAGGAGTGCTGCCGGTAGCGAAGAGGAGGAAAGCGAGAAGCACAGTAATTTAACGACATGATCCTCGGAGCCGCGGCACCCGATCAGCTTACAATGTCCCCGGAAGAAGCTGACTCTCCCAGATGCAGGACTTCATGAAGCTCTACTCGGGCATCGTCGAGAGGTGTTTCCTCGCCTGCGCCCAGGACTTCACCACGAAGGCGCTGACCTCCAACGAGGTGAGTGGAGCAGTCGAAAGCTGTCGGGGAAGGAGTCAGGAGGCAGAGATGGAGAGTTATGACTCGTCGATCGTCGGGATCTCCTAGCGTGCGCTGTCTGCCTCTCCGTTCCTCTGTGTCGTGGCGTTTCCGCATGATGACTGGAGGGTCGCCTGCGTGTCTGTCGTACTGTCATGATAGGCGCTCTGGAGGCTGCTGCCGGTCGGGAGTCGTTGGAGTTCAACGGAGCGCACATGACATGACAGGACTGTAGACGAGAGGACGAGAGCAGATGAACGGCCTTGCTCCAGCTGATTCGCCGTCCAGATCGTAGCTGACAAACCCAGACCACCTGCGTCAACAACTGCGCCGACAAGTTCCTGAAGCACTCTGAGCGCGTCGGAGCCCGCTTCGCCGAGCACAACGAGCAGCAGATGAACAAGATGTAATAGGACCCGCGACCCGTGATCTTATGTATGGCTTAGCACTCTTCTCTTATCTCTGGCGAGCCTCCATTCTGACGGACGTACTAACTGTGTGCATGGTACTGTATGGCTTCGGAGATCGGTCTGGCATGAAGGGTGAGTAGTGGAACACTCGTCAGTGAGAGCATTGCAGAAGCGGGCACGACACAAACAACAGTCATATGCAAAATGCTATATGTACGCATTGATGATCTACGAAACTATCGTGCGCGGCATGCGCGGGGGGCTTGGAAACATATGCCTATGCTATATCAAATACTCCTCTCTGCGCCTTTAGTGTCGGCCACCAGCGGCGCGCCTGTTCTTCCAGCCGAGGTATCCCTCGCCGACGTCGTCGCCCGCCGCCCTCCGGCTGGGGCGTAAGCGGCGCCCACCGTGGCCCTCGTCCTCATTGCCATCGAGACCCGCCGCGGCGCGGCGTTTCTGCACGCCCTGCGTGATCTCGGGCCACCACTGGTTCAGGAAGCGCAAAAGGTGGTGGTCCCTGTATCCCCTCGGGTTGAGCCAGTTCTTGAACCCCTCCAGCTGCTCGAGCGTGTCGTACATTGCCCACTCGCCGGGCGCGAGCACATTGTCGCCCTCCTCCTTTGCTCGGCGCTGCGAGAGCTGCTCCTCTGTCAGCTCGGCGGCGGCGCGGTGGTGCTCGACGTCGAACTCCTCGGCACCCTGCAGGTAGAGACGGCCAGTGCCGTAGGTCACCTTGCCGCTCGAGTCGTAGAGACCAGCAGAGCCGATGCCGTCCAGCCACCACACGCGGTTGCCGTACCGGTCCACACCGATCGGCTTCACACGCAGCACCTGGTTGTTCCGCCGGAACTCGTAGTCGAGCTGTCGCTGTCGGTTCTCGAGGTCCTCTTCGGCATCGGCCAGCCGCTTCTTCTCCTGAGACATGTGCTTGCTCTCGGCTCGCTTCAGTTTGGCCTCGGCGCGTTCTCGAAGGAGTGCGGCTTGGCGCTCTGCCTCCTCTGCCTCGCGCTCCAGCGCCTTCTCCTTCATTGCCCGTCGGCGCGAGGCAGCGGTGCGGACGCGGTCAGCCTCGGAGGCGGGCGAGTTGGCACGCGACGTGTCGTCCATCATCGAGCCCTCGAGCTCGTCCCGTTCCGTGTTCGTCGCGGTGCCGTTCGCGTGTCCATTAGGTGATGGCGCAACCGAGCTTGGCACCTCGTCCTTGACGTCCTCGCCGTCCTCACCCTTCTCCTTCTTAGGTTCAAGGGCGTCCTGTTCGGCGTGGCTGCTGTCAGTTGCAAAACGGTATGCCATAACTCACTTCTTTCGCAGGTCTCTCCGGACGTCGACGAGATCCTTTCGCACCTCCGTGACAGCATTCGTAGACTCCTCGAAGAAATCGCGGATATTGGCCGTCTGCGTCACGAGGTCGATCAGGAAGCTGATAATGTTGAGCTTTGCCTTGTGGTCCAGCGATGTGTACCGCCGCTCAGGTTTTGAAGGGATCAGGCCATGTGATGAGGACGTGCTGGGTCCCGTAGACCATGTGGGTCGTGTCGGAGCCGGCTTGTCCTCGAACGTCAGGTGAAGGATGTAGTTGAGGTAGTCTTTTAAGGTGTCGAGATCAGCCCGCTCCCAGAGGCAGCCGACAAGGGCACTCTCCCAACCTTTACGACCGTCCTTGTACGAAAGTTGCCGTTTCGTCCAAGACTCGCCAAGAGGCTCCACAACAGGTCGTAACGTGTCGACGTTTGCGCCCTTTGTCCCCGTCCAGTAGTCCATGTCGTTATCATAGTCTAAGCCCCAGTGAACGATCGGCTTGACGGGCTCATGACCCTCTTCCAGGTCCTTCATGAGGGCGTTCAGCAGAGCTGCGTGAACCTCCACCAGGATCGGCGCAGGGGCAGTATACTCGTCAGTGTGGAGCAGAGACTGCTCATAGTCGTCCAACGTGAACGGCGACAATCCCAGAGGCTTGCCCATGACGTTGAGGAAGCTCCAGGTAAAGAGGAACTTGTCGAAGTCGTCGCCGAAGGGCAGCGAGCGTTCCGGTTTCGGTCGCACCTCGATACGGCCAGCCGTTGCGTCTCGGTCCTGAGAAAACTCGAGAAGAAGGTCTGCTGTTAGTCGAGCCTCTCAAGCGCGCAACTCACCCTCGCAAGGATACTTCAAGCCACGCTTCTTCTTCTTCTCCTCTTCCTCCTTCTCCTCCTCCTTGACCTCGGCCTTCTCTTCCTTCTCCTTCTCGCGCTCAGCCTTGGTCTTGCGCTTCTTCTTTTCGGGCTTGGAGTCCTCTTCACCCTCGCTATGGGTGATGCCCAGTCTGGCGTCGCGCTCGCGCTTCTTCCTCGTCTTCTCGCTGGACCGAATCTTATCAATCTTCTCTCGAATCTCGTCAGACATCTCTGTCGGCAGACCGTAGCGCAGAGCGACAGGCTTCTTCACGATCCATGGCGAGAAGACGGCGGCATCACGGCTGACACAGTCACGAATGAAGCGCTTGAGCATTGCGCGCGAGAAGTTGATACGGTCGCGGCTGAAGTCAGCTTCACTCCGGAGTATTGAGCTCACCTGATCTTATCGGCCTGCACTTCCATAACACTGCCCTGGAACTCCTCGCCCTTGCCCTCCTCCGTGTCACTGGGCTGGGCTTCGTCATCCCCGCCCTCCTCAATGAGGCGGACTTGGTAGAAGTACTTCATGGGGTCATCGCGCTCAACGACCACTTCCGGCTCGAGGTCGAGGTCGGTGGCATACGGGTGATAGGGTGAGCTCGCTCCTTCCGGGAGAACGAGGTCTTTCGGAGGGAATGTGCGCACAACTCGAGCCAAATACTTGTCTCCCTGGACATCGACAAAGACTTCTGTAGACATGTTAGCACTCCGCATACGTAGTGTGACATACTTTCGTCGTCGAAGAAGCGATTCACGAAGCGCTCGAAGATCTTGTCGGCAAGAGTTTCCAGCTTGCCTTCCACCTCTGTTGATGTCAGTTCTGTTCGGTACGATGGAGCTCAACTCACGGTACTGGACTGACTCCAAGACAGCCTTCTTCAGCTGCTTCGGGAATCGCGAGTGCAGCTGCCGGGCTTCCCGTTGCTCATTCTCTCGAGCTTCAAAGTATGACAGGCCGGACTTGCCGCTCACTAGGGCGTTGTCAGTATCGAACCATCCGTTAAGCTAAGCCCCACTCACCCTCGCACTGGAACAACGGTTGGTCGAGGAACGCTTGTCGCTGGGCGTACGACCTATACGTCAGCATCACCGAAGCTGGTCGCATGGCTTACTCGTAGTCCAGGAAGATTTCGCCCGTCTCAGGCAGGTAGAACACCTCCACGTTCTTCACGCGGTAGCTAGGGAGAGAGGTGGAACCGGGCGCCGCCGTGTCCTGAGTCGTCGACGCGCCGTTAACCACTCCATTCACCTTGTCCTTGTGAGACTTCTTGGCCGGCGCGGCGATAGTCGGATCGTTGAGAGCTGTCAGAAGCTTCTCCAGCTGCTCCTCCTCATCCTTCGAGTCCTTCGGCAGGTCGTCTGGCGGTGCTGATGGGGCCGATGCCCCGGGCGACGCGTCGCCGTTCGCATGTGTCGGTTTGTCGGTAACCGGCTGAACAATGCTGGACATGGACGGCAGCGGGTGCATAAGCACCGGCTTACGTTTGAGGAGCGGCATGGCCAACCGTTACCGTGGATCGCGCTTGCTGGATTGGAAGTGTCGGCGAAGCACGGTCGGGTTGAAGATTTGTGCGGTTGTGTCGGCTGTCAATAACAACAACAAACAACAACAGCGCTGGGTGGAAGAAGCTGCCACAACCACCCGCGCGTGTTGTTCAGATGTGCCACGCGTCTAACGCAACAGGGAGAGAGCGGCTCGAGTACAACGAGTCGGATGTGAGATGAACGTCTGGGTGAGGAATCAGGAATCCGAGGTCGAATGAGGAGGTCGGGCTGATGCACTGAGGAACGCGGTCAAGATTTGGTGGAGACAGCCACACCTTGGCGAAATATGAAGGTGGCAGGAAATGGGGCAAAGTCGAAGGGGATAGGGGGCAGGAAGGATGGACGGATGCCGGGCAATCGCGAGCAGGACAGGCAGACGGGGATGTTGAGGTGTTGAAAGATGACGGTGGATGGGTTTGTGTGGGAGGGACGGAGCGTTTGGTTGGATGCGCAGGGCCATATCAGGCCACCAGGAGCTGGAGAGCCATGGACCCAAGCAGGCGCGTCAAGGGGCGTGGCACATAAACAATCCTGCAACGGCTCTTTCGAGAGCGGAGATGGTCTTGGGATGCATGAGAACGACGGGGGAGCACGCCGAGAGGGTGCATGCAAGCGTAACAGCATGGTAAGCAATGCATAAAGGAGACCCGGAGTGCGGCGACGCGCGCAGGGGATCGGGTATCAACAGTGGGCAGGCTGGGGCTGAGGCCGGCACTGAGGGAAATAATGTACGGGCTATATGACGCGTGCTTGAGGGGCAACAAGGGCGGTGATTGCCACGTGTGTATCACCGAAACGCCGTTGGGTGAGCGGTCTCGCTGGGTGATGATGCTCGCTGTGGAGGCCGACCGAGTCCGGACCGTAGCTGGGCGGCGGGAGGCAGGCACAGCCAGGGAAGAAGCAGCAGCAGGGGGAGGAAGGCGACATCCGAGATGCTTGAGCCATGAGCCACTGGCTGGGAGCGGAGGCAATATCCTCTCACCCAGCCCAGCGTCCCCCCTCACGCGTGCGGTCCATGACATACCACTCGGTTCCCAACGACGACCGACACACGCTCCTCATCATCACATCCTCTCTGTACACCAGCGCACACAGCCATCCCCCCCTCTCTCTCCCACCCTTCCCCATCTCCATCCACCCCCCATACCACCTCCTCACCCTCCACCATCCCCCCTCCCCCGCCTCCCGTCTCCCTCGCTAACCTCCCTTTCGTCTAATCGAGCGGCGGCACTAGCGTTTGCGTGAGTACAAGTGTTGTTTTCCCTCCATCCCCTCCACCTGACCTTCTATCCTCTCGACGACTTCAATCATTCCTGCACTTTGGCATCTTCCACGCCCCGGCCGTCTCCATCAAACCGAACATCCTGCACGACCTCCCCGTGCTGTCCACATCCACCACCATCTCGCTCTCGACCATCCCGCCGCCTCATCAACAAATCCAACTTTTCGACCTTCCCCGTGTGACGCCATCGTCGTTCATCTACCTCACTTGGGACCTTACCACTGACAGAGATTATTGGTATCCGTCTGGAAAACACACTCAACCTTTCTAACGTTCTCAACCTACCTTCTCTGTGCCTTTGCACCACCAATGACCGATTCCTCCTCGGCCACAGCTAAGCGCCCCGCATCCCCTTCCCCCCTGTCCGATAACACGGCTAAGCGTGCGCGTGAGGCGTCCTCTGCATCCCCCACCAAGTCCGACACCAAGAAGGAGAAAATGGACGAGTCCTCAACGCGTGAGAGGTGCGTGCTACTGATGCTCGATGTGCGATCGACTGTACTGACGTTCTCAGCGGCAGCGGCAGCGAGCCTGGCCCCTCGACGGGCGCCACTATCTCGGCCCCTCCCACTTCCATCCCCGCCACCCCCGCCAAGCCTTCTGAGCCCCCTGCTCAGCAAATCTCCATGCGCGCGTTGATCGTGACGCAGGACGCGAGTGTTATCATCGGCCGCGCTGGTGCCCACGTCAACGAGATCAGAGAGAAGTCCGGAGCTCGAGTCACGATCTCCGAGTCCATCCCCGGCAATCCTGAGCGGATACTCAATGTATTCGGCGCGCTGGACGCCGTCAGCAAGGCATTCGGCTTGATCGTCCGTCGCATTAACGATGAGCCCTTTGACGTCGCCTCTGTTCCGGGCTCGAGGGCTGTCACCATCAAGTTTATTATTCCCAACTCGCGCATGGGTAGTGTGTGAGTAGGAGTGACACACACAGCGACGTGGAAGGCGATCACACAACTGACAACGCAGCATCGGCAGGGGAGGATCCAAGATCAAGGAGATCCAGGACGCTTCTGGTGCTCGTCTTAACGCCAGCGAGGTCATGCTTCCTGGCTCTACCGAGCGTATCCTCTCGGTCTCTGGTGTCGCCGACGCCATCCACATCGCTGTCTACTACATTGGAACCATCCTTCTCGAGTACCAGGAGCGCAACCCGGGTCCTCACTCTGGCATCGGCACCTACCGCCAGCAGCCCCAGGGCATGGCCGCTGCCCAGCCCTCGTTCACTGGAGTCGCCCCCGGTGCCGGCGGTGCATCTGCCCCTGGCAGTCAAACCCAGCAGATCTTCATCCCGAACTCGCTCGTTGGTGCTAGTGAGTGTGAGAAGTATGGCGCAACGCTGACCCCGCAGTTATTGGCAAGGCTGGTTCGAAGATTAACGAGATCCGTGCCCAGTCGCAGTGCCAGATTCGCGTCACTGAGCCTGGAACCGCGCCCGGTCCGGGGCAGCCCGTCAACCCTGACGAGCGTCTGGTCACTATCACCGGCCAGCCTGTCAACATCAACATCGCTGTTCAGATGCTGTACCACCGCCTCGAAGCGGAGAAGGCCAAGGCCGCCGGCATGGGAGGCGGCCAGCCCGCGTAATTGTGGAGGAGATCACGACACCATTCTGGTCACACAGGAAGTTGCTATAGTAATGCAGAGTATGTACTGACATGACCAACTGCTAGTGTAGCGACGGTCAATGTGAATGAGATTCCATGTGCAAAAAGGGCCAGGTGCGCTATCACGTGATGCATTATGTTATGACCTCATCAGTGTGTTGTTGTTTCGTGGGGAGAGGTTGGAAGTAGTGACAGTACATCTCCGGACGTAATGCAAACATGAGACACCACCTCTGTGTCTGTGACGTTGTCAAATGGGGATATCAGGAAACGGAATAAGGTAGCGTGGTGGCTTGGGCTCAACGGTACAGTCAACCATCGGCGTCAACAGGGCACGGTGATTTGTGTGAGCTCGTCAAGGAAGCTGTCTTCCTTTTCCTCTTCCTCCCCATCACTCTCACCTTACCCCGTCAGTCGACAATGAGCAAAGCGCCGCCATTACTACCATTTCACGCCGATGTGCTGACGGAGGTCTTCTTCTTCCTCGACCGCAAGTCAATGGCACGCTGCGCCCGCGTAAACTCGGCATTCTACACCCTCGCCGTGCCGCAGCTATACCGGTCAATAACGATCGATCTGGAGAGCGACACGGAGACGCTGGTGAACTACATGCGCGCGAATCGGGAGGAGATCATGGCCGGCACCGTCTCCATGGCCGACGCACCGTGGGTACTCGTGCCCACCTTGGTCGAGCTGGCCAAGCCCCGGCTGGGTATCGATCTCAAGTCCCTCGTGCGACATGTGGACCTGGACACGCACCAGATCTCAACCTGCGAGGGGACGGGCAACATCCTTCCTTCGCTCTCTGGACTCAAGTCGGTGCGTTTGACACTGCACCAGTCCTCGATCCTGCAAGACGTGCAATACTACTCCCTGCACCCCTGGGACTTTGCGGCGTGCTGCGTGCTCGAGGAGATCAGCATTCCAAAACTCGTCGTGCGCAATGTGCCCCTCCTCTATGCTCGGGCCTCGCAGAACCTTGCCCCCAAACGAGCGCTGAGGGATACGGAGGAGACGGTCTTCAGCCTGTTTCCCGATCAGGCCGTTGTGGGCACGAATATGAAGTTTGAGAGCGCTTCGTGTGGTCTCAGCGGAATACTACGCGCCATGCCGCCGAGCACGAAGCGGCTGACACTCATATTCTGGACGGACCCGACGAATGCGGAACACGGTCCCGGAAGCGTGTGGAAGCCGAGCCCCAGACCTCTGAAGGACGGAGAGGGGAGCGTGATCGAGACGTCCTGGGTCGGCCGGTTCTTTGCGCAACTGGGACGCTTCGCGAAGGTGTATCACACCACATTCACGATAGTCAATGTCGGAAATGTGGACCCGACCGCAATTCTGGAGGACGGAGACGAGGACCACAGCACCGAGCATGTGCAGGAGGTTGTGGAGGATTTTGTAAGGCGGAGCGTGGGAGAGGACAAGGTTGAGTTCAGGCAGATGAGAGGGTACATGCGCTCTAGGGAGGCGGAGGGCGTGTTCGACGACGAGGAGTTCAGGCTCTGGATGTAGTAGCATGCTCATTGGGGGACATTGGAGATGTGGGGAAGGCAGAACTGCCAAACTGACGAACTTTGGTCACCGACGTGATCAAAGGACCCCAACTGTTAGCGTAGCGGGGTGTTGTCACTCCGCTGTTTCGCAGGTCTGGTGTTAGTCTTTCATTAGCGCGGGGCCTTAGACCGAGTACTTCTCACACGGCGGCGTGAGGACTCCCCGGTCGCACTAGGAAGCCCGCTATCGGATCACATTGCACACGTTCCGCCTTAGCATCATATGACAAGATGACATGATCAAGAAACAAACCTACAAGACAACTAACCGTAATCGCACGTACACATGACCTAAACGTCCTAAACCTGAACTTGACAGCCTCCGCAAGCTCTGCACTAACCAGAATCCTTGGACTCCCCCACCTATGACTTGCGCTGCACGCCCTTGTCCCCGTAGCGCCAGTAGGCGAACCAAGTGACAAAGAACACGAACCCAGCAAAGCCCGAGCACAGCGCAAAGCCCATGATGTACTTTGGCGCCGTGTCCGAGGGCCAGAACCAAGACCCATAGACGCTTGCGAGGTTTCCCAGTCCATTGATGAGGGCGATGGAGACGCCGCGCTTCTCGCGCCCGTCAAACATGGTCACGGCCCAGGAGAGGCAGCACGGAACTGCTGTCCAGATGCCCGCCGCGCCGAAGCAGATGAAGGCGTACTTTGCGTGATCGTTGGGCACGGCGACGGTGATGATGAAGGACACGCACGCAAGCGCACACCCAAACATGGTGATCGGGCCCTTGTTGTGTGTCCGGTCGGCGATGAAGCCGCAAATGACACTCACGACGAGCGTGACCGTGTAGATCGGGACGGTCATGTACTGCGCCATCTTGCCCGTGTACCCGAGCGACTGCATGAGGGTCGGGTAGAAGTACTGGATCGTGCCGACCATATTGATGAGGTTGTAGATGATGACGAACACCCAGGTCTTGAGGTCCGAGATCGAGGCGAGGAACGCCTTCCAGTGGCCCATGTGCGGCTCCTCCTCGCCCTGCGACTCGGGCGCCTGCAGGCGCATCGTGGCGAGCTGGCGCTCGCGCGGCGTGAGCCACTTGGTCGTCGCGGGGTAGTCGGGGAGGACGAACACGGCCACAACGGCAACAAAGACAGTCATGAGCCCCTCGATCAGGAACAGCCAGCGCCATCCCGCAATCCCCGAGCGGCCGTTCAGGCTGCTAATGATGCCGCCGGCGAGCAAACCGCCAAAGGCGCCAGAGAGCAGGGCGGCGGTGTAAAACAGCGCAATGCGCTTCGACAGCTCGCGCGGCTTGTACCAGCAGCTAAGCAGGAGCATGACTCCAGGGAAGAAACCGGCCTCGATCAGGCCAAGAATGAAGCGGAACGCAACCATGCCGCCAAAGTTGTGAATGCCAACGGGGGCGATCGAGAGTCCTCCCCACGTAAACATGAGCGCGGGGAGGAAGAGCGACGGCCGTGAGCGCGCGAGGATCATGTTGGAAGGCACCTCAAAGAGTAGGTATCCGATGAAGAAGATGAGCAGCACAACAGAGTACTTTGTGCTGTCGAGCTGCAGGTCCTGCTCCATTCCGCCAACTTTCGCGTTTCCAATGTTTGAGCGGTCGAGCTGTGGAGGTCAGCGATGCGCCACAATGCTTTTGAGTGTCACGTGCAAACAAGCCGTGAAACGCCTCCCAACGCCACCCCCGCCCTGCCAAGCTCTCCCCACCCAAGCCTCCATGACGACAAAAGAGGACTGGACGTGCATGCCAGCACGACGTGCGTCACTGCCAGTGCTGCATTGCAAAGTCGTAGGCAGTACTTCGGCAGAGCGGCATGGAGTACTCTCGGAGCGATACTCGCGTCGCTCGCTCGGACAAGTCGGACGCGCGGACTCAGATTTTTGCGAAGGGCCGTGCCAAGATTCCATGTGACCGAGCTTCCTCATTCACAAAGCTTAAATGGCAGACGACTGCGACCAGCTTCTGGCTCGCCGCTATGGCCAGTCGGGTCTCGAGCCTGGCATATGGGAAGCTCGTGCCCGCCCGCCCGCCCGCCCGTGATCACTCGTGCTCGCCGTGTTGGTCGGAAGGAAATGACACTCACGTAGTTCAGAATGTACATGACCCAGAGCATGGGGATGAGGCGGATATCGATCTTGCGCACGAGTTTGCGCTCCTCCTCCGTGTCGGGGACGTAGACAAAGTCCTGTACCTCTGCTGAGTCAATTTGCGTGAGGTCTCCCTTCGTGTCCGATGCTGAGGTGTGGTCGTCCAGCCCTCCCGGTGCTGGAGCGGCATACGCCGGGAGTTTCTCTGCTGTCGGTTGCGCCATTGTGTTCGAGCTCTCAGTCCAGGTGTGCTGTCGGCCTGAAGCTGGAGCTGGTGTCCCGAGTGTCCCGGTGTCGGGAATGGGAGCTGAGTTGCGGGCAGCAAAACTTGATGGAGAACGAGTGATGTGGAAATGGTGACCGATCTTATATCCCCCGGCCGCTCGTTAGGTCGTTCTGCCCGGTGTGTCGGCCTGCCCGCTTGCCTTGGCTGGAGTCAGGGGACAGTCTTCTGAACGCGGCACGTCAGGGGAGGTCATGAATGCGGTTTTGCGGGGTAGACAACAGAGCTCCAGCGCTCCAGGTCCGCACCGGGAGAACGGGGGGTGCATTGCGCGAGTTGCCGACGATTATCGCTCTTTCTTGGTCGCAGGCGTTCTTCTGGTTGGCTGCCGATGCGAGCCGCACAGTCTTATTCGCCGGGCCGTTAGCTGCCGCTCTGGCTTGGGCGCTTTAGCGCCAGCTGAGAAACTCTGGTCCGGAGGCTTGGAAGGGGCCGCTTATGTGCGATTACCCTTGAGCCTCACGTCTGGATTCTCGTCAATAGTGGGCATTAACAGGGCCCTGAGCAAGCCCTGTGGCCCCAGATTGGTGACTTCTGCAGGCGTCCACGCTCGAGCGCCTGCCCCTTTCCTCACCGTTACACATCCTGCAGCACCTGAATGCCCGCTATGCATTGTGCTGGCAGATCCGCAGAGCCCCACACTTGTTTCCTGATTGTTGAATCGCAAGATTAGGCGCTCTGCTGAACGCTGCTGCATCGGTCGGACCCAGGTACTGCGCACAGTCTCCCCTCCCTGGCCCATGGTTTACGCTTCCATCATTTACTGCAGCCCAAACTCCGCCCACCCGCGACATCGGGCTTGTTCTGTGCCTTCTGTGCCTGTGGTGAGATCTGAGGGTTGTTTTCCAGCTCCCGAAAACGTTCGTCGGCCGTGCGAGCTCCCTTGCATCCGAGCCTCTGCGTGACGTCGTTTCTATTGTCAGCTGCCCGACGAATGAATTCGTACGGGACTCAGCGCAGCCTGCAGAGACTCCCGTGTTCTGTTTGGCTGGCGGTGACTTGCATCGGTGACCACTGCCACTCGGCCCCGCATTGATTAGCCAAGACATCGAGATTGCCGATCCGTCCCTGGCCTGGAAACCCTTACGACTTCAGTCTCTTGTACCAAGCACTCCGAATACTCGAATGACCTGCTTTCTGAGACTGCCAAGAACTCATCTTCCTTCGCGTACCTTCCTCTACCTCATCGTACCGCTTCAAAGCGTTACTTACCGGCCCATCTGTCTGTCTCACCATGGTCTCGGCGTCGTTGTTCCCCCACACCGGAATCGCAGGCTCCGCCGAGCCAAGCTCTGCAGAACGGTAAATTCTCCGAGGTATCGCCAGAAACGTACGGGGTTGCCATCCGCCTGAATTCCGCCAGAAATGGACTTCACCAGGCACAAAGGGATCACCAGACGTGCACGTTAGGAGGTCAGCTGGCAGCGGCGAGGTCGTGGCGGTGCGGACGAGGAATGCTCCACTGGCTTGCATGTTGCACGGTCCGCCCCAAAGGTGCAGAAGACCAACCCCGTACCAAAGAAGGTTAAAGGAGACATGAGTGCACGTCAGGTGGTATTCTAATCATAGCCGACTGTGCTCTCGCCCGATGGCATCGACTCTTGTGACCGAAAGTGAGGCTGGCAAAGCGCTCCATCTCGGTCAGTAATCATCCGCGCGCGGATGTCGGTCAGCCTGTTCTCTCGTTCGTGGTGGGGTATATCCCGCAGGGGAACAGGAGGAACAAGAGATCTGCGCCCGCATCGAATTACGCCAGCATGACGCCAATCCCGGGACGGCTGGCAATGCCAGTGGGCAAGTCTGGACTTCGGCATTGGAAAGTACGGCACAACACTGCGGATAAGTCGGTTCCTAGGGACCACCGGCCAAGCTGGAGCTCGTCATCAGAATGCTGCTCGTCACTTGCCCACATGCTGGACATGCCATATAACCAAGACCTCTTGGCTGCTTCTATCAACAACGGGCTTGGCAGATGAGAGCGATACCATGCGTTCCCACGACATGCCGTCGCGAGCCGGACGATGCCGGTGGACTGCCGGTATGCCGGACGATGCCAAGAGCTCGGAAGAGGTGGGGAGGCGAACGATGATCTGCGGCATGCGGTTCTTGACACCCCGGCGGCAAAGCGTGGTCTGTGACGGCCGCGACAAGAGCCCGCAGAGGACCGTTCGGGCTTCGTTCTCACGAATTTAGAGGATGGAAGGAAAGATGTCTCTGAAGAAAGCGTTATGCCAAGGAGTGGAGCAAGGCAGCAAGGGGATGAGGTTTCGCCAAGGGCGCACCGGCGGTGGAGGCGGAGTTAACCCGTTGATACTCTCCTGTACGATGAACTGTGACAGCGCTGTCCTGAGCGTCTCTCAAGTCATCTATCACCATGATGGTAAGTGGCTTAGCATTCTTCACTATCGTGCTGACGCCTCGGACATTCGCGATCCATGTCCAGCCCATGCCGAATTTCTTTGACTTCCGCCGTTGACCTGCTCGCAGCCAGTGGCACTGTGACGGTGCTTTTCATACAATGAGTCGCAAGGTGGTGAGCTTTCAGACACTTCCAGGCAAATCTGATCTCCAGAATGCGAACAGAGTCCTTCCGCTGATCTCAACTGACGAGACTTTTCAACCGGCGATGCGCTCGTGAGCTCAAACTGAATGCGTTGCCCGCACTCACCTAACTGCTGAAACAGCTCGACCCAGTCTCTGCAAGTGCCTGCTTCTGGGTTTCTCCGAGGAGTATCTCTCGTTCTGAATCCAGCCCTCAGAAGAGAAGGGCAAAAGCAAAAACGAAGCCTCGTATGGGGCTCGAACCCATGACTGTGTGATCAATCGGCTCTGAGCGTAAGAGTCACACTATCTACCGACTGATATAACGAGGCGATGCTCGAAAGCTGTTGACAGCGGCGCAGCGGCGTCGGCCTTGCGCGCGCGACCTTTCGGAACTCTGCGCTTTGGAGATTACGCTCGCTGTGAGTAAAACAGTATGCATTATAGTCAACTAATAAACCTGCTCCGAGTCCCTGGGATACCTCCCCTTCCCTGCCTTTGCGAGATTGTCCGGCCAATCAAGTGAAGTACCTGAAACCGGGCGTAAGGTCGTGAAGGTCGGTCGGCTGCACCTCCTGTCTCGTCTTGAGGGTGTCGACAGGCTCCTCATCGGCACGGGCGGCCTCCTCCCTGTCACGCTTCCTGTTCTGAGAGGCGTAGTAGAAGCTGAGATAAGCGGCGGTGAGAGCCGAGACACCGTTGAAAGCCAGGTTGAGCGCGAAGCCCTTGTGCCACTTCGGGCCCTCAGTCTTGGGGAAGATGAAGCTGGCGAGGATGGAGAAGCACTGTCCGCACGAGTTCATGAAGCCGAGGCGGATGGCGGCGGCCGTTTGGCTTCCGGCCGTGTTCGCGGCCCACGAGAGCATGAGCGGAATGTTGGAGAAGGCGCCCGAGACGACAAGGAAGGTTGCGAAGTAGCGCGCACCGTTGTTGCCCGGAACAGCGATGAGGATCGTGAAGCCGACGAGGGAGGCGAGCATCAGGATGATGACGAAGATGCCGCGCTGCCTGGTGCGGTCCGAGAGGTAGCTCGCGCCAACAGTGACGACGAAGGCGCACGCGTATGGCGGAACAGTCATGAGCTGCGCCGAGGAGTCGGTGTAGCCGAACGACTTGAGGATCGTCGGCAAGAAACCGGACACGGAACCGAGACTGAGGTTGAGGCCGAGGTAGACGAGACCGTTCAGGTACGTGGTGCGAGTAGAGAAGACGCGGCGGAAGGCGCTCTTGAGCGCGGGGACGTCGACGCCGTGGGCGTTGCTGACGCCGGAGTCACGGAGACGGCGCTTGACGAGGGCGCGCTCCTCGGGCTTCAGGAGCCACGACTTGGCCGGAGTGCTGGGCAGGAAAACGATGATGACGATCGCGAGCAGGATGGTCGGCAGGCCCTCGATGAGGAACAGAATGCGCCAGGTGTCGACATGCGAGTGGATGAAGGAGACACCGTATGCGATCAGACCGCCGAAGCAGCCCGCGAGCGAACCAGCGCCGACGTACAGCGAGATACGGGTTGCGATCTCCTCGCGACGGTACCACAGCGCGTAGTACAGCGACACGGCGGCACCGAAGCCAGCCTCACCGATACCAATGAAGAGGCGGCACACGACCATGCCCGCAAAGTTTGTGGCGCCTGCCTGCGCGGTCGAGGCGATTCCCCAAATCATGGCACCGGTGGCAAGTGCAAAGTTTGGCGGAACAACGTTGCTGAACAGCGTTCCTGGCACGTTGAAAACAATGTAAGTAATGTAGAACGACATGAGAACGATGCTAAACTTGTGGTCGGCGTTGTCGCCTAGGATGTCGAGCAGGCCTTGCAGCTTGGCATTTCCTGTGTTTCCGCGGTCCAGGTAGGCGGAGAGGTAAAGGATCGCGGTGAGGGGGAGGATGAGGGACTGGAGTCAGCCGCTGTAAGGGGAAAGTACTCACGTCGAGTTTGCGGATCAGCTTTCGCTCAGCGACGGGGTCGATGTCGGAGTCATCGATGTGGCCCTCGTCGAGCTCGACATCTTTTCTGTCGAGATCGGCGCTCATGGTGCTGCTGGAGTTTAGTGCAATTCCAGAAATTTAGTGCGTGGGGACCCGGCATTATTGCTTTAAGTACGCTCTGCATGGTCATGCGGGGCAGAGAGCTGCGACCGGCTATTCTTAGCAAGAGCCAAGCAGATGCCGTGGTTGCGGGCTGCAGGTAGTGGCTTTGGTGGGCATGGGTCTCATGACTCGTGTGAGCTGGGAGGCGGGAAGTGGAGGCACGCCTCCCGGGTGGCCCCACATGCACTTTTCGAGTAGAAGAAGAAGATGAAGGGGGTTTGCCGCTGCGGACGGAAATAGGCTAACGATCAGAGGCCAAGAAGGGAGGACGAGAGAGACGGACGAGGAACGCAGCGAAATCGGTCCGACCCTCCACCACATGGGGCCGGCTGAGTCCGGCAAGCCACGGTCCAAGGTGGGCATCCTACTGGTCGCTCGGTAATCGTCGACGTTCTACTCCGCCGAGACCATGCAGGTCGACTCGGCCGTAACCGAAAGCAGAATCAGCTGAGCCAGCAGGTCTTGGCATAGGCAGGTGTGAGTGGCATGTGCTGCCCCGTGCACAGCAGCTGGTATGGACAGGACAACAAGCTGCCGGTCTGATCACATCGGCCCGCGACACCAGTGACGATGTGTTGGGGAGGGCGGCAGCTGCACCGATGGTAGCGTGCACGGCCAGAGCTCCGTGGGCGATGCGACTTGGAGGTGGCTGAGCGAGGGCAGAGACGACTGCAGATGTGGAGCTGCATGCCGCAGCACGGTGTACCTGTATGACACCCGCTCTTTCTGATGTAAGAATAGGTGAAGAAAACCCAATCGAGATATCGCGATGATATCAAGTGATGAACTGACTGCGGCCTCGTCGAACAGCCGATGCATTTCGGTGCATGTGATCTGGTCGGTGTGCCGTGTGAGATAGTCGGGGCAGAGGTGGCACAAGCGTTGCAGTCGATGACCACGAAGAGCAGCGGTGACTGTCTCCAAAGATGGAGTGCACAGCAGAAATCACCCTCTGAAAGATACATAAGAGTCAAAGGCCTTATTGGTAGGTAAGTCTCAATGCCAACTGCTCTTCATAACAACCCAACATACACAGTGAGTGCCGTGTGGCTAGCATATCTTACATTAAGATAGCAAAGCCATGTTCGGATCGTTCACCCTCGCGACCTTCGTCAGCTTCAGCCTCCTGGCCGGACTGTCTCTCGCGTCCCCTGCCCCTCAGCCCGTGGGCGATGCCATTGCCACTCCAGTCCCCGAGGGTACTCAGAAGACCTGCATGATGACGAGCAAGCCGGGGCAAGACTGCAATATCGAAACGTGCCGTCAGGGGGGAGAGGGTGGGTACTGCTATGTCGACTCCGCTGGTCGCTGCAGAATCCAGCATAACGACATCATCGAGTGTAAGATCAAGTGCCGCTGCATTGCCGCTTATTCGAGACGAGACACCACATGTAGCAAGCTGAAACGGCCATACAAAGGTCATGAATGAAGTGAGGCTGAGGTATACCATAACAGTTCACTTGGCCATTGCACCGAGCGGTAGTCCAAGATATAACCACCGACACGGCGTCACCAATCAGCTCTCTACTTCATCCGATCGTCCAGCATGGGGCCGGTACAGCCTTTCTAGATCCGAGCTCACATGCCTCTTGCTGCGGGCTGCGGACGGAAGCTGTCACAAGGTGGAGCAACGCGGTGTTCCTAACGGCACACCGTCGCACACAAGAGTCAGATGAAGCGAGAGAGTTCTGAGCAGTATTGAATCAACGTTCAGATGATGCTGCCACCGCCACACGTGAAGCCGTGCCCCCGTGGCAGGTGACTCCCTCCCGTGCTCTTCGCGGATAGCCTGAACGTCACTGATGATTCGAGCCATCCGCCATTCGTGGCATGACCGCGATTTAAACGCAAATGACGGCGAACGACGACGCCGAGAATGCAGGCGGTCGGTGTTCCGATGGCCGCACGGGCGACGCCACGTCCATGTGACTATGGTAGGTGGAGTCGTGGGCAGCGCTGAGACTGGGAGGATCTCATCTAGTCGTCGGCGTTGTGGAGCTCATGGCGCAGCATAGGCGGCTTACTTAAGTGGTTATTCTCGTCAGACTTTCCTCAAGCGCCAGCACTGCTTCATCAGTGAGTGAGTCTGCCAACGCCCGCTGATGCCTGCAGACACGAAATGGTTCCTTCTTCCGCCATCACTGTCACCTTCGCCCTCTCCCTCCTAGCGACTCAGGTCCTCGCAGTTCCCGCTCCTGAGCCCGCGCCTTTCGATCCGGGTCCCGTGGGCGTCTGCGTTATGACCGGCACAGGTTGCAACGACCAAGCTTGCCAGAAAGAAGGCGGTTACTGCCACAAGATCATCCCCGGCCGCTGTTCCGTCGCCGGCCAGACTGGCGGCTCTTGCCAGGCCTGCGTGTGTCGCTGGAGCGGGTGATCGGTACCATAGCAACTTCGAAGTCTGGCATGCAACTCCTGCGGCGCCATCCTCTGTCCCACGTGCAAGTACAGGAGTCCCGGAAACGGCTATAGTTCTTCCGTTGCGACCAGTACTCTGCTCCGCCGGTCGTACCGTTTCCAACAGCACGGTAACCCTCTCATCGTCCTGCGCGCAGCTCACCTATCAGCAGGCGGTATGTTGTCCCGGCCCATTTGCGCTCGAATGGCTGGCGGAATGCCGAGTTTGAGCAGCGGAACGTCGTCGCGTCAAGATGTCCGCGGGAGCTCCATCGCAGGTCACAATGCCACGTGCCTGTTCAGCCATATCGAGGACTGGGGGTTCCTACGGTCAGTAGGCCCGTTAGTATCGCGTCTTATGGGCGGGAGTCGCCGAGTGTCGTCGCATGGGCTGGAAGGGCGGGGACATAAAGCTCGTATATAAGCATGAAGTTAAGGGTAAGCCTGTTCCGGATGGTTCTGGGTGAGATAAGCAGGCCTGCGACGCGTGACTTTGGAGTGCGTAGTGGTGCGGAAGCTCGAATCCGCACGCAAAGCGTAACATTGAAGCCGGCGCGCGGCGCAGTCGCACCACCGGGAGGGCTGTATGCACTTAAGCCGGAGCCGGATAATGCTGGCGGACGCTAGCAGCGCAGTCCGGTGTTCCCGTTGTTTGGATCTTGGAACCTTTTCAAGTGCTGGTGTCGATGGAAGCGCGTTATGATCCCAAAATACGACCTGCAAGGTTGGGATGTGTTATGAGCGTTTCACGTGTAGATCGCAGGCAGAGATCCCATCTGCGGACACGCCATTCCAAAGTGTTAACGCGTCAACGTGAGCAAGGATTGGATGGCTTCCAGAAAAGCGTCGTACGCACCCAAGCTGGGAATTCGTCGATGGCTCGCGGTTCTTACGGCACGCGGTGAATGGCTGACGGGCATAAGCTGGGTAACCGTCGCTGCGTACTGGGCCTGCAGTACCGAAGCCCTTTGCACCGAATGCAGGACGAGGAGGACGGCGCGACGCGGGACGCGCCAAAGTTGCGGCCATGGGTGGCCGCTGTTCTGGAAACCAATTCAAGGTGGATCGACGTCTTTCGAAAGGGAGGCCGCCGTTAAGTCGGTCCGACGGACCGCCAAGCCGCGGCCTGCGGGCGTGTACTATCCTCGGCTCGTACAGGCTCCACGGTGGAGCTTGCATTCAAAGGGAGGAGCTGGTGCGCAAAGCAGGCATGCATATTGCGGGCACGTTTTAGAACGGAGGAGCGGAAACGGGATCGACGGCGTGTTCCTGCTCCTGCTGGCGCTGCCATTGGAGGGAGCGCCAAAGGACGGGTCTATTCACACCCCACCGAGGCCCGAGGATGAAGGGGCCGCAGCGACTGGAGAGAATACAGAGGGAAGCTTTGGGCTCTCACCGGATACGGTTTGTGGTTTCATGACTGCAAGAAGGCGAGCTGGAACGAGGCGAGGCTTTGCAGAGGTTGAGAGGACATGCTCCCGTTGACATGCTTTAACAAAGCGTCTGTCTCCCCGCTGCCCTTGCTGGTTGCTGCCGCGTACTTAGGAGTGACTACCAGAGCGTTTTGTTGGTAGTCTTTTGTCCTGCAAGCAACTGCGGTTGGTTGTATTTGTAGTGCGCCAAGACATTCAGCGTGCAGGGCACTGGTGCGCCTCGCTGACGCCAGCAACAGACAATGGTCCTATTCAAGTTGCTGAGGCAATCGGCCGAAATAAGAGAATGCAGAAGTTGCTAGCGACTGCGCAAACATCGATATCCTCGTGCGTGCCGCCTGATACCTGAACGGCTGAGACTGGTGACTCTAGGCGTGCTCGGACGTTGCCCCGACCCCCCACGGCGTATCAACGAAGACCGATGAATGCACAGGAACAGAGGCAGGAGTTGCCAGGGTCCCACCTATCTGATTGCCGGTCAGCCTCAGCCGCTTGAGATCCTCAGATCTCCCGCCTGTGTACCTACTTTGGCTCCTCACATGAAACCTAATCCTAATAGACTCAGCGTTCAAGGTCGTCTCGGCCAGGTGCCCAACAATGCCTTCTGGTTGGCCCCTTGACGACAGACGGCGAGCTCAAAGCCGAACATGTCGTGAGAGGGGTCCCCAGACACGAATAGCAATAGGCGGCAAGAGCACAGCGCAGGCAGGCCGCTGGTGGAGCTAACTTTATCCAGATCGCTTGATCGCTTGGGATCGGGCGGTCTGCATAGCCTGCCGTGTCAGCACATCGGTTGGATCGTGCACCAGCCTGGCACTGGCTCCGCTACATCGCCGCGCCTCCCAGGACCCGATCAAAGGATCCTAGGCAGCGCAGTCCATGAGGCACTTTTAAGAGCCGGCACTAACCCGCCCCCTGTCTTACTTCGCCTCTCCACTGTTATCTTCCTCTATCTCCTCTTCCTTTTGCCTTCTACCTCTTCTTAGCCTGCTCGTTCAACATGGTCGCTCCTGCTATCTGCGCCGGCGGTATCGCCGCCATTTCCGTCCTCAAGGGCGCCTCCAACGCCACCGGACACGTTATCTTCACCGAGTCCGAGAAGGGTGTTCACGTTACTGGAACCGTAAGTGTCAGCGCTGTCAAGAACGGCCTGTTTGAGGTGCTCGATGCATGAGAGGCGATGGTGGAGCGGTGCTCCTGTGTAACACTCTTGCACCGCCGTCATGACAATCTCAGTGACGCAGCCAAGAACACCGCGCGGGCGCAGCATGGTTCATGAGAACGCCAAGCCAGTTGCTAACTTTCAGATCACCGGACTTGAGCCGTTATCGACCCACGGTTTCCACGTTCACGAGTTTGGTGACATCTCTGGCGAGGGCTGCCTCGCCACCGGCGGCCACTACAACCCGTTCAACCAGACCCACGGCGCTCCCGAGGACAAGGTCCGCCACGCCGGAGACCTGGGCAACGTCGTTGCCAACGAGAACGGCACTGTCATCCTTGACATCACCGACCGCCAGCTGCGCCTGCGCGGTGCGCGTTCGATCGTCGGCCGTGGCGTCGTTCTTCACTCCGGTGTCGACGACCTCGGTCGCGGCAACAACACCGACTCGAAGAAGACCGGCAACGCCGGCTCGCGCCTCGCCTGCGGTGCCATCGGCATCGGAAACGCGACCGCTCTCGCTGCCCTCAACTAGGCGGGAAGCTCTTCTCTCCATCTGTAAAGTAGATCAAAACGGTAGACTGTACTCCCATGCATGAGCGTGGATAATTCCCTCAATACTGTGATGACGAGATGGCTCGCCTACTCATGGCTCGGGGCCGGGATGGTGTAGAAAAAGTCTCAGATGGACGTCAGCTGCACATTCTACAGACGAAATGCCGCACCCATGCGGGCGCCAGAGTCAGAAGTGACACCCCCGAATGCTCGATTGCTGGCGCCCCAAGCGCCCAGCCGACGCCATTCAAGCCCGCCTGCGCATTGGTTGGAATGCTCCGCAGGCGCACGCCGTACCTGCCATCCGGTATGACGCTAACCTCGGCGTGAAGGGCGAAGGGACAGAAGGTCTGGGGGAGAAACTACAGAGAGCGGTCGAAAGGGGGAGCAGAGTTGCGGCCGAAACGCTTGGCATGGCGAATGGCAGGCCGTGGCGCACATGGCAAGAACAGGATGACGTTGTTTCGGACAGGCTTCCTCCGAGATAAACCATGTCCGGGTGGGTTTGGTCGTATCTGATTAGCGGAGCTTTCCTTGACATTTCTCAATCCCTCACCCGCCTTCGCCCTTATGCTCGATCACACCTTTCACAACACCGACTGACCCTCGAATGTGACGTTCACAGGTCTCGGACGTCGCACGAGCACGTACGCTAGTGGGTGCTGCCTTTCAGTCACGTTCACACGAGCTCCGTGGAGCTTTAGGCTCTCATCGGAACCCTGGACAGCTGGAGCATGTTGGCCAGTCGGAGCCCGCGCCGAGGCTCGCTTGACTCGGACATTGCTCCGAATAGCTAAAGTGCGACTTGGCATCCTCCGAGATTTGGGAGGCGAGTTGCCCACACGATCGCTAGGTAGAGCGGCTGACTGGGTGCCAAGGTCGATAGACCATAAGAGGCAGGGTTCGTACAGTCGTTATGGTGACGGTATGGTCTTGGAATTTCACAGAGTCCCAAGAGACTTCCGTTGAGGGCAGGCATGCTCAGCCTGGTACTGATCGATAGACTGACAGCTGTGCTATTCACGATAGGGTGCATCGCATCACCAGGTGATTTGTCGATCGGCGGACAAGATCTCCAGCGGCCAACGAGCGGCTCCCCGCCGACCGTCGCGACCAAGCGGCGGAGTAGCTAGCTCTCTGCGTTTGGGATAAGCGGCATACCAACATCACAGGCCTCTCAGTTCTCCCGCATGCGTGTATCCGCGTGGCCTGGCCTGCATGGCAACGGCTTCCACACGCAGTGCATACGGGTGAGCGGCAAAAAGGTATCCACTTACTGTCCCCTTTCGGGGGCGGCATTACCCGTCATTCAGTGTGCCCTACTGTCCCCTTTCGGGGGCGGTGGCCAGCCAGCTTCGAGGCGCGATACCCCCAACACCAAGGTGTTGTTGTATGTGGTGAGCGCCGGATAGCCATGGCGTGTGTGTGCCGGAAGATTAGCAGTGTGGATGTGAGGAGATGAGGAGCGTCGAGGTGCTGCTGGGCTACCGTACGTGAACAGCGGGATCTCTTGTGCATCTCTGATGAGTCCTAGGCCCGTTCCGGGCGCCTATTGTGTCCTGGGCCAGGATTGGCCCCTTGGAAGGCGGACTCGAACGCTAGAGCTCTCGGCGTGACGGGGAGAGGCGAGCGGGGCGAGGGAGCGGAGTCGCATGGCACACCGATTGTGCAGAGTGTGTGTTGAGTCCGTTGTGTGCACCTCCACTTCCGGTCGCATGCAATGCATCAGCACTACGACTATTAACCTGTCAAGTATTGATAGCGAGTTAGAGCTTCTCGTGGAGCTCGTCCGAAGTCTTCTCGGCCTGCTCGACGTCGACACGCTTGCCGGCGTGGAGGGCGTGCGCGATGTCGGGGCGCTCGGCCTGAAGGCGCTTGAAGTTCTTCTCGGCGCGCCAGACCCATGGCGTGCGGTCGGCGAAGAGGAGATCGATTTCCTCGAGCGTGCGCTGGTTGGTCTCAGGATACAAGCAGTAGATGATCGGGATCGAGATGAAGTTGGCGATACCGAAAAGGTAGTACGTCTTCTCGCCGATCTTCTCGAAGCAGACGGGGAGGAGCAGCGACAGCCAGCCGTTGCCGATCGACCAGCCAAAGACACCCATGGCGTTACCTTGCGCGCGCACCGCGAGAGGGAAGATCTCGGCGGGATACAGCCACGGTACGGTCAGCCACGTTGCACCGAAGACGGACGTAAAGATGAAGATCATGCTCGCGGCACCAATACCGTACGAGCCTGCCTTGGCCTTGTCGCCACGCGCATCGGCGTCGATGCCCAAGCGGGTGAGTCCACCGCAGAGGAACATCGGAATGCCCTGCATGACCGCGCCCCAGTAGAGCGTCCACCGACGGCCGATGACGTCCAGCGTGAAGACACAGATGAGCGTCGAGAACATGTAGAAGATGTTGTTAAGGCCCGAGATCCACTGTGCCTTGTCACTGTCGAAGCCCGCGAGTCGGAAGATTGTTGGCGCTGTATGTCAGCATAATCTCCCCGCGAGCGACTGTTCGTGACCGGTGAGAGGGGCGCGACCTTGGTGGCGCCGATCAGGCAATCGACGATCTGCACGCAGTGGCACCTCCACTTTTCCAAACATCCACGACCATCGCAACTGCACTCGACGCCGATCACTTACCGTAGATAGTGACGCCCGCGATTCCGACCTGTAGGAGTCAGCAGGAGCTTCCAAAACCCCATGAATCGCATGCCACTCACCCACTCCTGCAGGATCTGCAGCAGAATGACCAGGAAAGAGCGGCGGCCGAGGTGGAGATCGCCGGATCCGATGCCGGTAAAGACGGCGAAGTAAGATGTCGGAATGTGCGCCTCGTCACGGATGACAGCTTGGATCTCCTCATACTCGAGCTTAGCCTCAACCTGCCCCTCGGGGTCGGTACCACGCAAGCGGCCAAGGACGTACTGCGCCTCGTCGTTGCGTCCAACCTTTGCGAGCCAGCGAGGCGACTCAGGGAAGAACCAAATGGCAACGAGCAAAACGATCAGGGGGATGATCTGGAAGGCGATCGGGAAGCGCCATCGGAAGGGGCTGCGCCCGCCGTCGATGTATGAAAGGCCGTATTCCATCCAGTACGCCACAACAACACCTATGATGTCAGCGAAACACCATCAAAGATCGGCGCCTCTCCGAAGTGACCCCATCCACTTCTTCCTTCATAGCTCCGTCAAAACTTCTTCTTTCGCTCCCAAACTTCTACAGGAGATAGCCCTGACTCTTGCGCATCGATTGCAAGTTGTTTGAGTCCATTCTGACGACTCTTACCGAAGATATTAAGGCTAAACTCGACCGCTATGAACATCCCTCGACTTTTGTGTTCAGCCGTCTCTGTCGAGTACACTGGCACAATTGCGTTGAGAATGCCTGTTCCCCAGCCGTTGATGAGTCTTGCGCATATCATCCAGTTGTGGTTCATCGCAGAGCATTGGAGGGAAGCGCCAATAATCGCCACAAAGGCGCCAAAGGCGATTCCGCGAATTCGACCGGCCCTGTCGGCCAGCCACCCGCCTACAAGGCAGCCCACGAGCGTGCCGAGGTAGTAGACGGACACAATGCCTCCCTGGAGTAGCGAGTCGGTGACTACGGGGGTCGGTTTACCGTCTTTCATCTCGGTGTAGCCGAATTTCATCCGCTTGATGTAATCCTCGGCGTTGTTGACGCCTCCCATCATACCCCTGTTTTATCAGCGCTTGCGCCCTCTGAAATTGGATGGAATAGAGGCTTACTGGTCATAACCGAAGAAGAAGATGGACAAGGAGGCGATGGCATTGATGGCGACGAGCAGCTTGCCCTTCTGAAGCTTGGTCACGATGTTGTGTCGCGAGATGCCTGGCGGCTTCTCGTTAAAGTACGACATGGTGCTGGGTTGGAGCTAAAGTGCGGGGAAGACATCTGCGCGACCCGAACTTTTCCTCTTTATAAGTCAGATGAGAGCCCGCGGCTCTCGGCGTAGCGTAGCGCGGGTGAGTTCGCGGCCTCATACCCTTGCCCGCGATGTCGGCAAAGCCATGCCCAAGTTTAGCAGCTTGGGAACCCGGAACGGCCAGGCATGGAGCGCGATGGGGAGGGCCGAAGCCCCAGAGGGAAACTCAACCCCGCTGGAATCGCGCGCAGGACGTCATACGACCTATACGACGAACATCCGGATAGGCTGTTGCGCGCTTGTTAGGGGCTCAAAACGGCAACATGCAGTGAGCCGGAGGCCCCGTGCTGCCCCCCTCATGCAGACGGCGGGGGCGCGGAGCTCGCAGAGCCCCTCCCTTTAGCTTAGACCAGGTCCGGAGGACCCCATCGATCGTTGGGGAGAGGGTAAACAAGCAGAGGTTCGCCCCGACTTCTGAGAGTTCGAAACGCGCGCCCTGGCTCCGCTCCGGACCTGGCGCAGGGCGGCTCCATTCACGAGCCCCCAGCGCCTGCAGTGTCATGCACCAGCCCCCTCACGTTTGCATGGGCGACCCTTGATCACATGCCGATACCGGCGCCGCTTCGGAGTCAGCTTCGCGCAGCCTGGATGCTGGCTGACGGTATTTCCAGGGGTGATCCGGCAAAACACGGCCCGGCCAACATCCGGTGGCCCATTCATCGAATCAGCAAATGTATCGCTCGGTGCTGCCCACCTTCCAATCCTAGCGAATTGTTCCTCTGTCCTGTGCGCAAGGTCTGCACGCCAAGGCGTGGTGCGCGTGGGTGACGAAGAGAGACAGCGGAATGCTTGGCTCCGGGACTCTGCCCGACATCTTTCGCCACCCTCCACACCTCACCAGTCGCCCAACTTCCTCAAGGCTACGCTTTGTCAACTCTACACGATCGATGGGTCACCTGAGCATCCTACTTCCGGAGCGGCCGTGGAGCTGCTCCGCCAAGATTCGCCAAGTTCTCAAGGCGCTCAGAGAAAGGTCTTGCCCGTGATCCTGTATCAAGTAGAGGGATTTACGGGCCGTCCGGCCGTTAACAGGGCATGATGCGTGCTTCCCTGTGCGGCTCACGTTTAACGCCAGCTGACAACACTCTGACCTTTACTACGCTCTCAGCATGGCCCCTTGCGTCCAATGCAAGCTTTTTTCGACACTAGACCACTGACTGACGCGATATCGCACGAAAGCGCTGACAATATCAGCGTAGTTATCCTGAAATTCCTGCTGCGGTGAGATCTCGGACACCACCCTGCCTCCCTGCGGCATTCAGCACAGGACGCCGAGTCTGGCTGGATCCGAAGACCACCGCTCCTCCGCTCTCGGCGCCGCGCGCTTCCGGAGTCCAACGCTTCAATCCGAGAATACTCCGGTAAGGATTACCAAGAGGGCAGCTTAGACGCGCAGATCGGGAAGTCTGTCCGATGAAGTGCAGGGCATAGTTACAGCGCCCTCTCCTGAGTGTGCCTGCCCATCCATTGCTCCGAAGCCGCCGATCTGTTCGAAAGGCGAATCGGTAGTGGACAAGCCTTTCTCAAAGGCGGCGCCCTGCGCCTGAGACTCGTGCAGTGTTCGGAGAAGTCGGCTTTGCTTCAATTCGCCCGAGTCCGCTGTCGGGCAAGCCGAGGGGATGGGCGCCTCTGCCGCCATCCGTTTCCTGGCGGATCTGACGCCACCCCTCGTGGTATCGGAAGCGCCAGAGAACCAGCATCGTTCTTCGTAGCACGGCATGGATGAGTGCTTGATTATCTGGCCCGGTCATTCGGGAACAAACAACAGAATAAGTCTGAGAGGACAAGAGGACGCCCTTCGTCTGTATCCCTCGTGCTGGGCACAAGGCTTGCATTGACTGCAGTTTGGAATGGCGGCTCTTTAAAGCGCTGATCAGAAGGCAAGTGGTCGGCCAAAGGAAGCGATGTTCAGGAAGCAGGCGCCGGCGATGCGGATCTACGCGAAGATCAGTCGCCGTAGCAAGGCGACCGTAGAGCTCAAAGGACGGCACTGTACTTCGAGATCCGTGTGACGCTGGGGTTACATATAAGGGCCGGCGCATGTCCCTTTTCCTTTCCACGTTTTGTTCGCGCTCCAATACTTTTCGCAATCCGGGCAAGTGCCGCCAGGCGAAACTGCCAACGCCTAACCGCTTTCATCGACCACTACGGTACGGCTTGGGCTGGCGTTCGTCACTTCGGCATCGAGTCCAACCTCCTCCTCGAAGCCGACGTAATCCTTCCCACGGCCTTCAACGATCATGTAGTTGGTGTCATGACCAAACGGCACCCCTTTATCATCATCGACACGAGAACGAGGTTTGAAGGGAGATGGTACCACGAAAACTTCGTGCCCATCATCCAGCGACTTGTTCGTCACTCGTCGGTGGCAGTCGGGTCTAGCTCAACGTTCGGCCAGGAGCCCACAAAGTAAATCTGTTACGTGGTCGATTTCGACCGTGACGTCTCGATTGACCTCTCAGCAACCCAGCGCGGCTGTACTGCTGTAATTGCACCATGCGCATCGTGGCCGGTGTGCTTCCGCGTACCGGTAAGAATTGCATCATGCGCAGCCCGCTGGCACAGTGAATCGCGAAGGCCAAGGAAGACATCAGAAAATCCAAGACACCTCTCCGCCCTACTCCAGAGACCAAGCTGGAGTTGTCATCCTTGCGTCTTTACGCATTTTGGTTCGAATATCCCCCCAGGGAGCGGGTGCTCGGCCAAGCGCTCGGTATGCGGCTCAAGTGAACGCCTCTGATGAGCTGTCGCATGCAAGAGGAACGGCGGCCGCGCTACATCCATCATCCTGGCGACCGTCATTGCCTGGACTTCAGCCCGGAGGCTCTCATAGACCGGTGTTTGATTCCATCGTGCGCACTGTGACCCCCTTATTTGGTAGCGAAAAGGCTGGAAGTGGAGAATCGAACATGGAGTGAGCCGGCGATTGGGTACGCAGACATAATTTCGACTGTGGACCAGGTACAGGTGATGCATGGTGTTTTGAAGTTGAGGGAGGCCGAACTTATTCGATCCTTTGACCGTACACTGTACTCAGCATGCTACTAACTACCCCATAACTTGACCGATGCTGACTACTCAGATGTGTCAATCGGAATTGACTCGAATGAAGACAATGCGCTGTGGCCAGGTATTATTAGCACCTGAGCTGCATACTCGTCATGGAACCAGCTTGGAGATAAGATAACAGATCTTACGTAAACCGGATAGTTCCCTGTTGAAAGCTTTCGGAAAGCCGCTAGTGACACTCTTCTACGCATGCATCACAACCATTGGTACGACCGGGCGGATGAAAGTCCGAAAGTACATCAGTGATGTTCGAATACGAAGACAGTGTGCGTGGTGACTTCGCAAGCGATGACGGCCACCCGCCCCAGGACAACGGGTGGGGTGCCTTACCTGACTTGGGCGGTCCGTGGGCGTCTGTGGGTGGACGCGAGAACCACCGCCCGTCCAACGCTTGCGTCGGTGTGTTCGACAGGTGGGTATATACGCGAGCATGCATGTTGCTTCTTGACTTCTCCATCTGTCACCTGTCACTGCTTATCCACTCTTACTCTGACCCTCCTTATCGAACGAAGGTCACTCCCACACACAGCCCCGATCAGCGGCTTCTACATTTCCGACCAAAATGCGCATTCACTCCGCCCCCTCCGTTGGCAGCGACTGGCCAGCGCCTCCCCGCGCTGAGAGCACACTGGGCGGAAGCCAGTTCTAGTTCGGCGCCGACATCTTCGGACCCAACAAGCCGAGCTCATCCGCCAAGGCTACGCCGCGGCCGTACGCTGCCACCCTGCCCGAGGGGAGCCAATACGACTTTGGTGCTGATGTGTTCGGATCGGACCCGAAACACTCGATCGCGGACGACCAATCTGAGGCATGTGTCACTGGTGCGTTGGCTCTGTCTCTAGCACAGCTGACGGCAGCCCGCGAGTCAATCACGCCGCCAGGCGACAAGCTCTCAACGACACCTGAGCCTTCGAGTTCGCCCGCCCTCGCCCCCCTGTCCCCACCCCTCTCGCCAGCCATGCAGGCACTGTCACTGAAAGAGGCTGAGAAGCTGCGCCGTACACGGGAGGCCGAGGCTGAGGCCAGGCGCAAGGCGGAGCTGCGTGAGCTGCACTCGAAGCACAAGCTGGAGCGTGAGCGGGAGAAGCAGGAGGCAAAAGAAGAGCGTGAGCGCGAGAAAGAAATACTTCGTGCGACGAAGGCGAGGGAGAAGCTCGTCGCCCGCGAGATTAAGGAGCGGGAGAAGGAGGAGCGTCGAGCCCGACGTCGCTCCCGCGGAAGCCGGTACGAGGAGGACAAGGAAGAGAAGAAAGAGAAGGAGGACGACGAGTCTCTCTTTTAATTGTAGCATAGCCATAGTCAGTGTGTCATAGTCAGTGCAGCGGGAATTAAGATGCCACATAGATACATTATTGCTGTTGGTTGTGTTTATGCTTTTACTTCTTACTCTACTGGGCGGCGGGCTGCTCCTCACCCACACCGTCGAACAGGCTCTGCGCCAGGGGACGCGTGCACGGCGCCTCCTCCTCGGAGAGGCCGTTACGGAGACCCTGGCCGACCTCGCGCCACCACTCGTCCTCCTCGGGCTCGAGGCCGCCTTCGGCCTCCTCCACGTCCTCGACGAAACGTTGCAGGTCCTTCGGCATGATGCGGCGGGGTCCGGAGGGCACGCCCGTGACGCTGGCGACGATGGCCTTGGCGGCAGCCTCGTACTTGGCCTTGGCGGCGTCGTCGGGGATGATCTTGCCGGCGCGGACAAAGTAGCAGATGCGCAGCTCGAGGAACACGAGCGTGCGCGCGAGCAGCTCCATGTCCCATCCGGACGCGTGCGGGGGCTCGAGCCTGGTCGCAGTCGTCTCCGAGTCCTTAGTCGGGAGCTTGGGGAGGTTCCAGCCGAGCGTGTCGGCCGCCTTGGCGCAGTACGCCGAGCAGTTGTTCAGGAGCTGCTGCGCGTTGTTCTTGGCCGCGTCGTAGGCGGGCGCAAGACGGGCGCGGTTCAGAGAGCCCTTGGCGAGCTCGATGTACAGGTTCGGGCGGAACTCCTTCGGCGTCTGCTGCGTCGGCGGAAGGCCGGTCGCGGCGGTCAGGTGCTGCGTCGCAGCGGCAAAGTACGACCACGCCTTGGGCGCGAGGGCGGCGGCCTGGTCCGGGAACTTCTTCATGAAGAAGAGGGTGCGCTCACCGGCGGCCATCTCCGTCTCGGCCAGCGTTGTGAGGATGTCGGCGCGCGTCGTGCTGTCCTGGCCCGGTTGCGCGTCAAGGCTGTTCAGCAGCTTGGTGAGCGCGCTGATCGCGGCGTCCATGCTCTTCTCGATGCCCGAGTTGGGCGTCGTCTTGTCCTTCATGAGGTCCCACATGACACCGTCGTAGGCGAGGAGAACTTTGAAGTCGGCAAGGTCAACCTCAGGCTGACGCTCCGGCGAGGCGTACTGGCGCGCAGTCTCGACCATGCCGCGGACGGCCTCCTGGTTCTGCTCGGTCGGGGGCTGGAGCGGCTCGGCCGTCTCCCACAGCCGCGTGCCAATCTCAGCAATCATCAGGAGCGAGTCGACGACCGAGTCTGGCGTCGGCTTGTGCTCCTCGTAAACCTCCTCATCGCCGTCGACCTGCATTTCGTCGGTCTTCTCCTTCGCCTCAGCCTGCTTCTGCTCCTCAGTCTTGCCCTCGTCGGCCTTGGCCTTCTCCTCGTCCTCGCGGCGCTGGCCCTCAACCCAAGTCATCTGCGTGTTGACGACGGGCGTGAGGAGCGTGACAGCGCCGTCGCGCAGCTCCTTGGCGTTCTCTCCGACGTCGCCGACGTACTCCTCCATGAAGTCGGCCCAGGACGAGAGCACCTGCGCAAGGTTGAAGGCGGCGTCCGCCTTGAGCAGCGGGTCGGTCGTGAGCTCCATCGCCTGCTTGAACAGTCCGATCGACGAGGCGTAAACGTCAAGCACGGAGGGCGGGAGGAGGAACTCGGTCGCGAGACGGAACTGCACACGGGCGAGGTTGTAAGCCGCATCGTAGGTTTCCTTCTTCTCAAGCGCCTTCTGGTACAGCGCAGCCGCCTTCTCATAGAACCTCAGGGCCTGGAAATGTCAGCTACATGACAGCTTCATCAAGCTAACCTTCTCGCCGTCCTTGTAGCGCTCTCCCTTCTCCTCCATCTCGACGCCGCCGTCGAAACACTCGTCGTACGTCTCGTAGGTCGGCTCCTTCTGCTTCTTTCCGCTGCCGTGGTCATCCTCAGATGGGCGCTTCACGGGCGCTGATGGTTGGGCGGACATTTTGTGTGTAGTGTTGTAGTGTGAAAGGTGGTGAAAGAGAAGGATTCAACACGATGCGCCAGTCTCAGCCCTTTGTACCAACTTTTGCTGACTGCGACCGACGTCATGGACACTTCTGGAAGACGCCACGAGGCGCTTCGAGGATCGGCGAGGTTCGGGTTGCCTCTGCTGCATTTCATCATGCCAACGACGTTCCTCGTCATAACAAGCAGCACGCTCGCTGCTCCGTGCCTTGTGCTGATAGTGCAAGCTCGGTCTGCATGCACGAGGTATGCTGCATGGGTGCAAGAATGGAGTGGAGGGCCAGTGTCCCTCTCAGCATCGCTGCCAGCGGAAGCAGATCTTCACCGACCTTGCGTAATCTTGAGTGCCAGGCACGGCCTCCACTTTCTGGTGTCGAAGCAACGCTGATCTTGCGTCGCGTCAACCACCTGTCATCTTGCTTCCTTCCTCATAGTTTGCAACGCTCACATCGCAGCGAGATGCCGAACTTGACGCTTTTGACGCCGTATGCGTACTACAAGTCGACATGTGGCTACTGCTCACCGGCGGGCCAGCGCAGCAAGGGCGAAACGAGCCTCTCATATGGTAGTGAGTGTCAAGAGCTTCTGTCAATTGAGCCGTGTAGCTGACAGCAGTGATCGGAAAGCAGATGTCGCCCGAGAACTATGAGAAGATGATGGACCGAGGGTGGCGTCGCTCCGGATCTTTCACGTATCAGTGAGCTGCGCCGAGTGGAACATCAGCTAATTCGCAGCCCGGACATGGCTCGCACCTGCTGCCCGCAGTACACGATCCGGCTCGACACGTCCGCTTTTAAGCCAAATAGGCACCAGCGCTCAGCACTGAACCGATGGAACCGATATCTCGAGACGGGGCTGAAGCCGGGAGAGGAGGCAGCCGATGACCCGATGTCCGACAAGCCTACGGCGGGGAAGAAGGGCAAGGGCAAAGGAAAGGCGGCGCCGTTCGACCTGGACGCGGAGCTGCAGGCGTTCGTCGGTAACAAGGGAAAGCACAAGTTTGAGCTCGACTTTCGCCCCGCCAAGGCGACGACGGAGACATTCGAGCTTTATCGCCGGTACCAGATGGCAGTGCACCACGACCCGCCGCACAAGGCGACACGGCGGGGTTTCGAGAATTTCCTCTGCGACAGTCCTCTAGGCGTAAGCTTTGAGATCGTCCCGTAGAAGCTGACATCAGGATGAGTGCATAGAGTACACTGGCGACAGCGAGGGTCTGCCGAAAACGTACGGCAGCTACCATCTGCTGTACCGCATTGATGGGGATCTCGTCGGCATCAGCGTCATCGACGTGCTGCCGCACTGCGTATCGAGCGTGTACTTCATCTGGGACCCGGACTGGGCGTGGGCTGCGCTCGGCAAGTTATCTGCATTGTACGAGCTGGGTCTCGTGCGCCGTATGGCTGTGGCGGGTGCACCAGGTATGCGGTGGCTGTACATGGGTGAGGCTGCCTTCCGGAACGAGACTAAGCTGACAGCAGGGTACTGGATCGCGAACTGCCAGAAGATGGCGTACAAGGGCGAGTACGCGCCGAGCTTCCTCCTCGACTCGGGAACGTATGACTGGCACTCTCTGACGCCAAAGCTGTCGGCCTACCTCGCCTCGCATCGGGGCTACACTCCCTTCTCAGAGGTTGAGGGGATGGACGACGGACTGGTTGCGGAGTGGAAGGCGGCCGCGAAGCCACTACCCACGACCTCCGCCGAAGCGGCGGCTCACGAGGAGGAAGAGGACGACGACGATGAGGCCGACTGGCCCTCCCCGCCACCTCCTGGTTTCCTGGACCCAGACAAGCTCCCAAAATCGGTCGTCAACGGCGCCATGGTCGCGATGAAGCAGCGAGGCAAACTATTTGCGCTCCCGTTCAAGCAGTTTGGTGAGTTCCTCACGCCCGCTGGACGACGGTGTGTGCCCGAACTGCTCGCCGCGATGGGACCAGACATGTTCGCGATGGAGGGTAAGGGCGAGGAGGGGACGAAGGCGATGTTGTGCTTCGACTGAGCGAGCACTGCGTCAATCATAGTATCATCAGCAGGGGGTAGAGAAGAGGAGCAATGCATCATGCATCGGATTTGTACCAGTGACGACAGGGAGAGCAAGCGCCAGGTGTAAGAATAGCTCCCTTGCCAGCTCCTTATGTATTTTCGAATCAGCGTTTATCAGACGAGGTGCGAGGTGGGGCAGCACCAGGGTCGGAGGAGGTCCAGATAAGGGCGGACCCCGCCGCCGATCGGGAGCGAGGGTCCGGCCCGCCCTAGCTCCTGAGGTCTCCCCAAACTGTGAGGCGAGGCACCGACGTTCTCCACTGCATGCCGGTAATCAAAGACAAGGCGGGGGGTAGCGCCAGCTAGCCAAGAGTAGTCAAGTAGCATGCAACAATGCGGGTGAGAGCCGGAGGGGGTCGATGGACCGATGGCGCCAGGTAGTAGATGAAGTCCTGAGGGCTGGGTGAGACGACTGGGCACGACTGGCGACATTCTGGCGACATACCTCTCCCGCGTCGCGTGTCAATGGACGCGTCCACGCCACGGGAAGGGAGGCAAGCCACCTCGTAACCATTCAAGCAAGGACATTCCTGGAACCTGCAGACTTTTGCGGCCAGGTCAGCCTTAAGTTCAGGCCAGGTCAGGACGATCAGACCATTGCCTTTCCTGATTCCTGAACCCCAATATTTCGCACCCCCATGGATATCTGGATGGCTGTGCGCCTGGCTTGGTGCACAATCTGAAAATCTGGTGATGGGATATCTGACCTTTGCGGAACCTTTGCGGAGAAGGATCTGACCTTTTCGGGGGGGGAAAGAAGGTCAGATTAAAGCTCAGTTTCGGCGCCGCCGTCGAGGACAGAAATCGCGGAACGGAATCCCGAGATGGGATGTCCGAAGCGGCCTGCCTCTATTGCCTTACGTATCACAGCGTGAATGCAGGCACAACATGTGCTCTCTGCCGATCAGCTGGTCTCTGCATTGCCGGTGAGAACATGTATGCATGGAGTGGATGCCTCCACAACAAGGAGTGACGATCACATGCCCATCCGCGGCCGTACCCAGAACAAGGCTCGGCTAGATATCGTATCGCGAGAGAATGGTGGCGGGCAAGCCTGAAGGCAGAGCAGACATCGGCACTCTTCCCGGCCCGAGGTGGTGCATCATGCTCCGTAGGTTAGACTTGCACACTCGCTGCGCAAGAAATGTCGCGAGTCAATAGACTTTCCGAAAATGCATGAGAACAACACGGTCGTACCCTTTGTTTGTTTATGCAGAGATTGACGAAACTGGCGAACAGTGGACCTGGGATGTAGCCGCGGGACCGCCGGTGGCCGGTGGAGGCGGCAATGGCAGCCGCTCACGTACTGATTCCGGGTGCGGTCTGTAGTTGCCGCTTGTGCACTTGCGTTGGTCGTTCCATCGCTGATCGCGCTACGGGGCTGCGACGCGCTAAGCTGCTGGACGCCCCATCCCATCGTTCCATCGCTGTTCCACGGGGCCACGCTCTCTCTCATGATCATCTAATGCATCTCCGTTACCTTCGCACCCCCCGTTGACTTTGACTGGGTGGCGAACATTGTCGCTCCGCTGCTCCGTTCGGCACACCTCGTATGGCGATAAGTGGGACGGCGGGCCCAAGGTGTCGGTGCGGAGTGGGCAAAAAGTGGACTGCTATTCGCTGACTGGGGCTGGAATTTCCGGTTGTGGGCTCAGTTGGGCGGTTTGAGGGTGTCCTATCAGTAGTTTGCCTGATTCGCAAAATTCCCAGACGCAGGGTCCGCAGGGTCCGATTGGGATCGTGTGCGTGGCCATTGCCGCAATGCGAAATCATCCCAGGAACAGGACATGTGGGGAGACAATGGCTCATTTCAAAACAAGACTAATGGGGTGGAGGGAGGTGGAGGCGGGTGGAGGTCGCCATTGCTAATGAGCCATTAGAACCGGGAAGGGAGTTTCCGCGGTGGGGAATGCGAGTCGCGTACGTGGGGAGAGGACAACGCGACGACCGGCATTCTTGGGGCACTGAACCGCAGTACGAGGCAAAGCTCGCCCGCCCCCGCACGGCCAACCCGCAGCCAGTGCATTCTGCGTCGGCGGGTCAGCGGCGGGCCTCGCCCCCCTCCCCCTCTTACTTTGGTATCTGCCCCAAGGGGACGTGGGACGATAGCCTCTCAGCACCCAGGTCTGATTGTCGTGTCCACCGTCGCTCGCTCGCGCGTCTCACACCCAGCCAAGCCGTGCCCAGCCTCGACTCTCACCGTAGCCTACGCTGTATAAAGACCCCAGCTCGCTTTTCGCACCTTTTCTTTTTTCTTTTCTTCAGCTCTTCTGTAGCTTTAGTGTATTAGTCCCCCCCACGCTCTCTCCCTCCTCCCAGAGGACCCTCCCCCTCACCCTCTCTCTCATCTCTCTCCTCCTTCTCCGCTCCCGGCCCGATCTTATCGTGAGTACCCACCCTGCTATAATCTTCGGGCAAACCTGAGAAGAGTTGCACCGGATTTCCGGGTAATCCATCTACCTCCCCTTGACCCATTGTTATCTCGGTCCTGCACATCGCTGCTGCTGCAACAACAACAACAACAACAATGGGTGTGCATGCTGGCCATTGCTGCTGGTACCACTAGATGCACTCCGCTCCACGAACCATGCAAAGCTGACTGCCAGCCCCCTACTTAGACCCAACCCCTAATTTTAACGAATCACAATGTCTACCAAGGGTGAGTGCGAGCTTCCTCGCCCCAACAAGTCGCCCCTGTCGCACCACTCGCTGCACCACTAGTGCATCGCTCGCAGCATCATGCATCGCGCGTGGCATCTCATGACGTTCGCGACGTCATAATGATCGTCACGGCGCCGTCCCGAGGTTATTGCCGAGTTATCATCGGCTACACCTTCATGAGCTGCTCTCGGATCAATACCTCTTGCATTCCGCCGAAGATAACCATTATCTCTTCTCCGCGCTCGGCTTGATCGCCAGAAGGACACTCACTGACACCACAGCCATCCGCGAGTTCGACGCCAAGCAGCTGGTCAGCTACTGGCTCGAGCGCTCCCCCACCCCCATCCCCACCATCACCAAGTCGACTGCGGTTCCCGTCCGTGTCGCCCAGGTCGAGTACGACGATGAGACTGGTTCGGTCCAGCCCCCCATCAAGCCCGGCGGCGGTCTTCCCGACTGGGTCTTCACCGAGAAGCTCGTCGGCAAGCCCGACCAGCTGATCAAGCGCCGTGGAAAGGCCGGCCTCCTTTCGCTCAACAAGGGCGCCGACGAGACCGCCGCCTGGATCGAGGAGCGCGCCGGCAAGCCCGTCAAGGTTGAGTCCACCACCGGCACTCTCAAGACCTTCATCATGGAGCCCTTCCTCCCCCACCCCTCCAACACCGAGTACTACGTCTGTATCAACTCGGTTCGTGACGGTGACTGGATCTACTTCACCCACGAGGGTGGTGTTGACGTCGGAGACGTCGACGCCAAGGCGCTCAAGCTCTTCCTCCCCGTCCTCGGCCAGTTCCCCAGCCGCGAGGTCCTCATTGAGACTCTCCTCCCCAACGTTCCCGAGAACAAGAAGGACGTCCTCGCCGACTTCATCATCCGCCTGTACGCCGTCTACGTCGACCTCCACTTTGCGTATCTTGAGATCAACCCCCTCATCTGTCTCGACCCCGTCGACGGCAAGCCCGCCGAGATCCACTACCTCGACATGGCCGCCAAGCTCGACCAGACCGCCGATTTCATCTGCGGTCCCAAGTGGGCCATTGCTCGTGACACCTCGTCCGGCAAGACTGCCGCCGGTGGTCCCGTCAAGGCCGACCGTGGTCCCCCCATGGTCTGGCCCGCTCCCTTCGGTCGTGACCTGACCCCCGAGGAGGCCTACATCCAGAAGCTCGACGCTTCCACTGGTGCCTCGCTCAAGCTCACCGTCCTCAACCAGAACGGCTCCGTTTGGACCATGGTCGCTGGTGGTGGTGCTTCCGTCGTCTACTCGGACGCCATTGCTGCCGCCGGCTTTGCCCACGAGCTTGCCAACTACGGCGAGTACTCTGGTGCCCCCACCGAGGGCCAGACCTACGAGTACGCCAAGACCATTCTCGACCTCATGACCCGCGGCGAGCCCCTCCCCAACGGCAAGGTCCTCATCATTGGTGGTGGTGCCGCCAACTTCTCCGACGTCGCTGCTACCTTCAAGGGTATCATCCGCGCCCTCAAGCAGCACAAGGAGGGCCTTATCCGCCACAACGTCCGCATCTGGGTCCGTCGTGCTGGCCCCAACTACCAGGAGGGTCTCAAGGCCATGCGCCTCTGCGGCGAGTCGCTCGGTGTCCCCATCAAGGTCTACGGCCCCGAGGCTGCCATCACCGCCATTGTCCCCATGGCTCTTGGCCTGAACAAGCCCGAGGGCGACCTCGCTCGCACCGCCTCCCAGCAGTCGATCGCTGCCGCTGTCGAGGCTGTTACCGCTAACGGCAAGAAGAACGCTGTCACCGAGAAGGGCCCCGACCGCGTCCCCGTCGGCACCATCAAGCCCGACGGTGGCCGCGAGCAGCCCGGCGACCAGATCGTCCACTTTGACACTGTCGAGCGCACCTCGTCGCGCCCCTGGTACCGTCCCTTTGACGAGAACACCCGTTCGCTCGTCTTTGGTCTCCAGCCCCGTGCCATCCAGGGCATGCTCGACTTTGACTTCTCGTGTGGCCGCAAGACCCCCTCTGTCGCTGCCATGATCTACCCCTTCGGTGGTCACCACATCCAGAAGTTCTACTGGGGCACCAAGGAGACCCTCCTCCCCGTCTACACCACCGTCGCCGAGGCTGTCAAGAAGCACCCCGACGTCGACGTCGTCGTCAACTTTGCCTCGTCGCGCTCGGTCTACCAGTCGACCCAGGAGATTCTCGAGATCCCCCAGATTAAGGCCATCGGCATCATCGCTGAGGGTGTCCCCGAGCGCCACGCCCGTGAGATCCTCCACATGGCCCAGAACAAGGGTGTCATCATCATCGGTCCCGCCACCGTTGGTGGTATCAAGCCCGGCTGCTTCCGTATCGGAAACACTGGTGGTATGATGGACAACCTCCTGTCCTGCAAGCTCTACCGCCCCGGCTCGGTCGGCTACGTCTCCAAGTCTGGTGGTATGTCGAACGAGCTCAACAACATTCTCTCGCAGACCACCAACGGTGTCTACGAGGGTATCGCCATCGGTGGTGACCGCTACCCCGGTACCTCGTTCATCGACCACATCCTCCGCTACGAGGCCGACCCCGACTGCAAGCTCATCCTTCTGCTCGGAGAGGTCGGTGGAACCGAGGAGTACCGCGTCATCGAGGCCGTCAAGGAGGGCAAGATCACCAAGCCCATCGTTGCCTGGGCCATTGGCACCTGCGCCAAGATGTTCACCTCCGAGGTCCAGTTCGGCCACGCCGGTTCCATGGCCAACTCGGACGCCGAGACTGCCGACGCCAAGAACCGCGCCATGCGCGCCGCCGGCTTCATCGTTCCCGACACCTTTGAGGACCTCCCCGAGGTGCTCAAGACAGTCTATGACAAGCTCGTTGAGAACGGCACCATCAAGCCCAAGGCCGAGGTCGAGCCCCCCAACATCCCCATGGACTACCAATGGGCGTCCAAGCTCGGCCTCATCCGTAAGCCCGCCGCGTTCATCTCGACCATCTCGGACGAGCGTGGTCAGGAGCTCATGTACGCCGGTATGCGCATCTCGGACGTCTTCAAGGAGGAGATTGGTATCGGAGGTGTCATCTCGCTCCTCTGGTTCAAGCGCCGCCTGCCCGCCTACGCGTGCAAGTTCATTGAGATGGTTCTCCAGCTCACTGCCGACCACGGACCTGCCGTCTCTGGTGCCATGAACACCATCATCACCGCCCGTGCCGGCAAGGACCTCATCTCGTCGCTCGTCGCCGGTCTCCTCACCATTGGTGAGCGCTTCGGAGGTGCCCTCGACGGTGCCGCGCAGGAGTTCTCGCGTGGTGTCTCGTCGGGTCTCACTCCCCGCGAGTTTGTCGACCAGATGCGCAAGGCCAACAAGCTCATCCCCGGTATCGGCCACAAGATCAAGTCCAAGACCAACCCCGACCTCCGTGTCGTTCTCGTTGTCGACTACGTCCGCAAGCACTTCCCGTCGCACCGCACCCTCGACTTTGCCCTCGGCGTCGAGGACGTCACGACCCAGAAGTCGAACACACTCATCCTCAACGTCGACGGTGCCATTGCCGCCTCGTTCTGCGACCTGCTCTACTCGTCTGGCGCGTTCACCGACGAGGAGGCCGGCGAGTACCTCCGCAACGGTGTCCTCAACGGTCTCTTCGTCCTCGGCCGCAGCATGGGCTTCATCGGTCACTACCTTGACCAGAAGCAGCTCAAGCAGCCCCTGTACCGTGCTCCCGCCGACGACATTTTCATTTCGCTGCAGGAGCCCACTCGCACTGTGATCCAGCCCGAGTAAAGTCTTCCAAAATCAACAATCACAACAATCATAGAATAGATCCGCATCCCCCATCGACCAAACCTTCTAAGACGAGGTAATTGTACAGTTTGAAACTACATAGCAGGAAATCGGACGACTAAAAAACGATCCGCTCGTGTATATAGAAGTTAATGCATATTTCAAAGGGTATCTGTACGCAACTGGAGCATTGACCGAGCATTGAGGCGGGGAACACACGGACCTCGCGGGAGGGAGTGGGGACCGGTGTGTTGACAGTATGAACCGTCGACCGAGCGTGGTTCCAGCGTTCCAGTGCTGCCGGGCAGGAACGCAGATCAGGAGTTGACCCAAGAGGCACTGCGGAGGACAGGGATGTGACTGGGTGAGCGTGGTGCGATGCAGCCGCAAAGGTCCATGTCATGAATGGGGGCTGGCGAGCTCAAGCCTGGGGCCAGCCCTGCCAGGTATGACGAGACCTCCACCCTGGACATACCAGGATTGGCCTGGGCGCGAACTGTAGGAACGCGTCCCACCAGGCCACCAGGCGCCATCGAGGCTTGATCCAAGTCCGAGCCATCTGGCCATCTCAACACGTCACACTCACTCATCAGTCGTCACCATGTCAGACGACAAGCCCGACGCCGCACCGGCACCGGCAGCAGAGGTTTCTCCTCCCGCCGCTGTCGTCGAGGACGCCAAGCCCGCTACCGAATCGGACACGTCCGCTGCCCAAGTCGACGCCAAGACCGAAGCAGCCGAACCTGCCGCGACGACTGAGGCTCCGGCTTCACCAGCGAAACCAGCGACGCCGGACGAGTTCGTCGATGCGACTGACGCTCCGGCTGCTGACGCGCCTGCTACCGACTCTGCTACTACTACTGCTGCTGCTGTCCCCTCAACGCCTCCGAAACCGCCGACCGCGCTGCCGAGCAGGAACGGAGAGCACGCCGAGGACAAGGGCGCGGGCACGGTCGAGCTCGGCTCGCCCATTGCTGAGATCAAGGAGAAGAGGAAACCGACGGCGCTCCAGCTCGATGATGTGCATGCTCCCCCGAGGAGCTCCATTGAGGTGAGTCCTGCGTGAGAGTGGGCAGCTCGACGCCCGGCGGGCATCAGATCGTGCGTGTCAACAGCTGCGGGGTGCGACGCTCCTCCGTCAGCGCTGTACGACAAGCAGCCGCTACGTACACATGTGGTGCCATAGCCCCTCAACACGTCAACACTCCGCAGCTCTCTGTTCGTACCGATCACAGCAATGCTCGTGCCCAGCGCGGAACGTGCACTGCGCCGAGCTCTGAAGCGTCCATGCGTTTACCATTTGTTACAGAAGAAATGCCACTAACAGAGCACAGGTGTCCGCAGCGTCCGTCGCGTCGCATGCTGTCTCGCGTTCTCGTGCGTCCTCCCGCGCATCGCTGCAGAAGCGGCCGTGGACGCCATCCCTTGAGCATCCCCCCGACTCGCCCACGTCCTCGCTCATCTCGTCACTGCGCCAGCAGCTCGAGCTGCTCTCGGACCAGGCGACGCTGCTCAACTCCAAGCTCGTGGACAGTATCTCGAAGCACGCCGATCTGGAGGACACGATCTTCGGCCTGCAGTCGGAGAAGGAGCAGCAGCTGCGGCAGATCGACGAGCTGGAGAAGGCCAAGGCGCAGTGGGAGGAGAGCATGAACACCGGTCTGCTCGTCGAGCGGTCTCAGATCAGGGACGAGATGCAACGTCTGGCCGCCGGACTCGTCGAGGAGGAAAAGAGGCGAGGCACAGAGGAGGAGAGGCGGCAGCAGGTCGAGAGCGAGGTGGACCAGCTGACGGCGTCGCTGTTTGACCAGGTGAGCTTACAATTGCTTTCGAAGCTGACAGTCAGGCGAACACGATGGTCGCTTCTGAGCGCATGGCCCGCGCCCAGGCCGAGGAGCGTGAGCGCGTCACGGTCGAGAATCTCGCCGCCGCCGAGGCCGCGATCAAGGATATGCAGGCACACCTGCAGAGTCTGGAGGGAGCGGCATCAGCAGGCGCCGGACCAGTGCACCAGCCTCTGCCGCGGCGATACCTCTCGAGCCACCCGCCCTATGCCGAGTTCCTCTCTTTGTTGTCGCACCTGCGCGCCCTGAGGCCGCGCACCCAACGCGCGCGAGAACTGTACGCTGCGCCCCTCGTCCCCAATCTCCTGGCCCAGCCGTTCCTCGCCCGCGCCATCGCAGAGGACCACGAACCGACGCTCCGCCTCGATGCAGCGCCGGAACTCTCCTGGCTCTCCCGGCGCAACGTCGGATCTGCCATTATTGCGGGCGAGTTACTCATCGAGCCTGCGCCGGCGGCGTCCTTTGGACCACTGGACAGCATCAACTGCGCCATGTGCGGCACAGGCGTGTTCAGCCGCAGCGCCCAGCCCACGTCCCGCTTCAGCCTCAAGCCGTTCTTCGGCAGCAGCTCCACTGGCTCGGCGCACTCTCCGACCAGCGCGCAGGTGTACGCCTTCCGCACGACCGAGGCGGATGCCAAGGCGTACCCCCTGTGCAAGAACGGGTGGTGTCTCGAGCGCTTGCGCAGTGCGTGTGCCTTGTGGCATTTCGTGCGGACGGGTATTGTCGCGCCAGTCTGGGCGGGCGAGGACGGCACGGACGAGTCTTCCGTGTCGCTGCACCCTCCCTCCCCCTCGCCCGCGCACACCCAAACCTCCCACCACCAGCAGACCATCACAGTGACAGCGGACGATCTCCTAGGCGAGCACCCGCGGATAGGCCGCTCGGTGTCCCAGCCCGCCCCCGCCAAACCGGCCAACACGCCCCCAGCGACGGAGAAGAAGAGCGGCTGGGGCATAGGCGGGTTCAAGATGGGCTGGAGCAGTCGTCCGCAGACTCCCAGCGCGCCCAGCGTATCGAGTGAGGTTCGTAAGGAGGACGACTCGGACGGGGCGACGATGCGCACGGCCAATTCGGCAGTGCAGACGCCCACGGACGCGGATTCGACGAGAGCGATTTATGAGGGCAAGACGGCCCGCGAGGCGACAGCCGAGCAGGCCGCCGAGGCTGCTTCGGGGGTCGACACGACCGTCAAGGCGGAGGCAGAGGAGCCGGAGACGAAGTCGGAGCTTAGGGCTAAGGACCAGGAGGGCCAGCCTGCCAGCGAGAGCGCACGCAGACCCAGGTCACCTTCCCTCGCGACCACCGACTCGGAGTACTCCTTCACCACGCCCCCGAACGAGCCTAAGGAGCCCAAAGAGACCAACCCTTCGAGTCCAGCCGACGCGGCCGAGGTCGCCGACGCACTGGTCAAGGTGAACCTGGAGGCAGAGCCGAAGCCTGAGGCTGCCGAGGGCGAGGCGACCGAGACCAACACGCCCGCCGAGGCCGCCGAGGCTGCCGAGCCCACCTCCGAAGCCGACACCAAGCCGGAGGCCACCGACGCTGACGCCGAGACAAAGCCCGAGGCCACCGAGGAGAGCAAGACGGAAGGCTCGCCCCCTCCCCGGCCAGAACGCAAGCGTGCGAACGCAAGCGTGCCGCCCCACCTCCCCCCTTGCCTAAGCGCAGCGAGCGCCGCGCCGCCGGCTCCAATGCTAGCACCCCCACCGCGGGCCATTTCCCGGGCACGCCGACTGCGCCCGGCCCTCCCTCTGGACCCGGGAGTGCGACGCCGCCGAGCGTCTCCTCGGCGCCGGGGACGCCTGCTGAGCCCACTGCGGCCCCGGCCGCTCAGACTGAGGCTGAGGTCAAGGAGCCTGAGGCCGAGCAGGCTGAGGCCGAGCACGCTGGGGCCAAGCACGCTGAGGTTAAGGAGGCCGAGGTCGAAGGCCGGGGAGCCCGCCGAGGAGCCCACCGAGGAGCCCGCCGAGGAGAAGGCCGAGTGCAAGGCTGAGTCCAAGGAACCTACCGAGCCCACGGCCCCTCTCACGCCGACCACGCCCAAACTCCCCCCTCCCCCGCGGCACTTTGCCGTCACCTCCGCGCACCCGGGCGCAACAGCCACCGCAGCAGCCGAGGCAGCCACCTCGCCGCGCTCCCCGCGCTCGGCCGCTTTCGCATCCAACGAGCGTAACGAGCGTCGGGCGTCCGCCGCGCTGTCTCCCAGCACTTCGCCTCGGGCCTCGACATCTCTCTCGCGGTCCAACTCGACGACGGCGCCGAGCGCGCCGAGCCTCCCGCCACGAGTCAACGTCAGGCATGCGAGTAACCCGGCGTCTACCGGTGGAGCAGGGAAGGAGGAGAGCGGGCCGAGGGAGAAGACGTTCCTCGTCGGCGAGGAATGGGAGGTGCGGTGTTGGAAGCAGATCATACGGCTTAAGGAGGATATGTGGCGCGCGAGGGTTGGCGTTGTGGATGACCAGTAACTTAGAGATACATACAGGTTTGCGGGCGTAACGCGTAATGAAATGCATGGAGTGGCATGTCCCCTATCTCCCACAGGCCCACAGGCCCACAGGCCGGTGGAGACAGCGATCGCGGTGGTTGATCTGTTGACTGAGAATGAGGATGGAGTGAGGCGGCACCGTGGGAGATGCGGGATCTGGCGAATGTCCCCTCCAAGCTCGAGACCCGTCGTGGTCTGGACCGCAAGAACACGGACACGCCACACGTGCACACGCGCCACACGCAATGTGTAGATACGTACTACATGTACGTGTGGAATACACATACGCGGACCGCGTTGGCGCTCGAGTGTCGCTCGAGTGTCGCTCGAGTGTCGAGAGCGGAAAGTGGCCGGGGCCATTCCGCTTCCGCACCCACACCCCGCTCATGAGATGTCCCACAGCGCACCGGATACTGCACAGCGTTCCTCTCCACCCACTCATCATTTCACCTCCCACTGACGTGCGCCAGAATTGCATGAGAGGCTACAGTGTACCGGACCAAGATGAGATCAGAGGCGGGATAGCTTGACTCCGAGGAATTGTGGGCAAAGCACCCTAGAGCTTATGCGGGCTCATGCAGGCTCATGCAGGCTCATGCAGGCTCATGCAGGCTCATGCAGGCTCATGCAGGCTCATGCAGGCTCATGCAGGCTCACATGTTGCCAAACCTCGGCTGGCTGCCTTTACAGTTTCGCCTCACCCGACCTTCACCCGACCTTCACCCGACCTTCACCCCTCCCCATTTCCTGCTGTCACTCCGACACCGGAGCGTATCCCAGCTAGCCAGCGCTCGCTCTCCCCATTCCTAATCCCGTCAGTAACTTGTGGCCCAAATGTTGTCGTTAAGATCCTAGATTCATAAACATTTTACAACTTTGTAGCAAGCAAGATAACGGTGTTCTTCTGACTCTGTTCTGCTGCGTTTTTCCCAAGATGTCTAATTTTGTTCGCTGCGGCTAGTCTGCTGCACTAGGCTCACAGCCTCGCTGCGCTCGGCTGCTCGCTCGGTTTAGAGCTTGGCCCTCGCCTCGATGCCCTTGTGCGCATCACCCTTGAGGTCAAAGTAGTCCTTGATCTTGACACGGGCGACGTCGACGGCGCCGGCGTCCTCGACGGTGGAGGGGACGTCGACGGGGGCGTCGAAGCGGCCCTCGACGGCGTGGTCGAGCAGATCGCGGAGCACGCGGCGGAGCGTCTTGCCCGAGCGCGTCTTGGGGATCATGCCTGTGCCCTGGATGATGCCGCCGAGGGTGGCGATGGTGCCGACCTGCTTGCGCACGAGCTGCTGGATCTCGTCATAGATCTGCTTGTCGGGGACGACGCCCTTGGGGTGGTCTGGCACAGACAGGGTCACAAACGCGAAGGGCAGCTGGCCCTTGAGCGCGTCGGGGATGGAGACGACGCAGCCCTCGGCGACGAGCGGGTGCGAGGTGATCGCCTGCTCGATCGCGGCGGACGAGAGGCGGTGCGCCGACACGTTGAGCACGTCGTCGTTGCGCGACATGACGTGGATGTACCCGTCCTGGTCGACCATGCCTGCGTCGCCCGTGTCGAGCCACTTGCCGTTGAAGCGCTCGAGGTAGCCGCGGTAGAAGCGCTCCTCGTCCTCCCACAGCGTGCGGAACGAAGTCGGGGGAAGGGGGAGGCCGAGCACAATGTTGCCCATCACGCCCGCGGGCACGGGGTTGCCGTCGTCATCGACAATCTTCAGGTTGTAGCCGGGCATTACCTTGCCGGCCGATCCGGGCTTGATAGGCGGGATATCGGCCTGTCGGCGGGTGGTGGTGCGGTTCAGGCCCGCGTGGGGGACGAGAGCGCGCGACGTGATCGGCGATCCAGTCTCGGTCGACCACCAGTTGTCAATGACCTGCGCGCCGGGCGCGCCGTACCGGTCAAGCAGCTCCTGGTACGCCGTGATGATGGTCGGCTCGGAGCGCTCGCCGGCCAGGAAGAGGCCGTGCAGCGAGCGCAGGCCGCCGCGCTGCCCAATGTCCTTCATGAGCGAATAGTCCGGGTCCTCGCGCTTCATCGCGCGCAGAGCGGTGGGAGCGCAGTACAGCGTGTTGACCTTGTACTCGTTCACGATGCGCCAGAAGGCACCAGCGTCGGGCGTGCCAATCGGCTTGCCCTCGTATACGACGGTAGAGGCACCAGTGAGGAGGGGAGCGGACATGATGAAGGCGTGGCCGAGGACCCATCCAATGTCGGACGCGGCAAAGATGACGCTGCCGGGACCGTGGATGTTGAACACCATGGAAACGGAGAGGTGGAGACCGACGGCGTGGCCACCGCTGTCACGGACGACACCCTTGGGGGCACCGGTCGTGCCAGAGGTGTGCGAGATGTAGACTGGCTGCGTCGAGGGGACGGGGACACACTCGGGGCGGTTGCCCTCCTTGGCGGCCTGATGGGCGATCTGCTGCCACGAGCGCTCGCCGGCAGCCTTGTTGATCTCCCACTTGGGGCCGACCTCGCGCTGCCAGACAATGACGCGCGAGGGCTTGTGGTGCGCGAGCTTGATCGCGTTCGTGACAAAGTTCTGGTACGGGATGGGGGGCTTGTTGCCGCGGCCCCCGCCCGAGCCGGTCAGGATCGCAACGGGCTTGACGGCGTCGATACGCTGGGCGAGGGCGGGGGCACCGAAGCCACCAAAGACGATGCAGTGGATGGCACCGAGACGGTTGATGGCGAGGAGCGAGGTGAGCGCGGCGGGGATCATGGGAAGATAAACGAGGACGACGTCGCCCTTCTTGACACCCTCCTTCTCGAGCGCACCCGCGAGGGTCGACACCTCCTCGAGCAGGTCGCGGTACGTCACTGTCCGCTTGACGCCGGTGACGGGCGAGTCGTAGTAGATGGCCGGGATGTCGCCGTTGCCAGCGAGGACGTGACGGTCGACCATGTTGTACGTCGTCGAGATCTCTCCGTCGGGGAACCACTCCCACGTCAGGTGCTTCTTGCCCGAGGGGAGCACCTTCTCGCGCGTGACGACAGCCTTGGTCGGCTTCTTGTGCCAGTACAGCTGGTCGGCCTGGTGCAGCCAGAAGGCCTCGGGGTCCTCGAGGGACCGGCGGTGGACCTCGTCTTGGAGAACAGGGAGGGGCTGGTAGGACATGGTAGACGAGGAGCGGGAGAGGATGGTGGGGAGCAGCCGCCTTCGGTATGACACGAGCACATTTATATATCGCCTGACTGACATTTGCTTGCTTACTGCTTGCTGCTAGCTGTGTGGGGGCGCGGAGAGAGAGTAAGGGTCGGGGGGCGAGAGCGAGGGAGGCGACGGGGATCAGCCGCAGCGTGGGCGGGCGATATGCAACCTCGCTCGCGCTAGCGTAAGGACATTCGGTGTCCTGGGTGAATGCATCTCTCTCTCTCTCTCGACTAAACCTCGTCTATACAGTGACACGGCGCACTAACGGTGTCTACCCCGCGAATGCGCCAGCAGCAAGGCCCCTGTGTGCTCCCTTTCCCCGCAATCGGCCCCTTTGCACCCCCACGGCCCCATGGCCCCCGCTTCGCCCGCTGTACAGCCCAGGCAGCCAGATGTGGTAGGGTATCGTCGCACCGGGGTCGCATCGGCTAATCACGATTGCTCACGCATGCTGTTGCCGAGCTGGTGGTGGGTGTGTTCTCTGGGGTCTCCAGCACTCGACATTGCGATGGGCGGGTGACGGTGGGCGTTAGTGCGGCCATAACATCGGACATCGGCGACCAAGGGGGGAAGGAGCTAAGAGGCGGTATGCGAGGCTCAGGGGCAGCAGCAGCTCTAAGGGCGACCCCGGATGGTACACTCCCTGACCCTCGAGCTCGACACCAACCTAATCTCCCCTGGTGCATGTCTGCCGTGCTTGCCGACGTGCCGACCCCGACGCGGACATGGCAGCGCCTGTACAACATACACGTCGCTTGGTCATGCCAAACGAGACTGGTTCCCCTCCTTTGACCACCGCTGGATTCTGTACCCAGCAACCCAAACGCTCAATCGCAATCAGGTACCATTCACGCTGGCCCTTCCCCACACTCGCCAGCCGTAACCTAACACCGGTGCTGACTATTGCTGTCTGTTACAGCTGCCTGTTCCTCACAGCCGCCAAGACTCTCTCTATCCCCCACCTTCCCCGCGGCACATCGGCAACACTCACACCAGGACGTCCACGTGCACCCGCCCAGCCCCTTAGTCTGTCGGGTCCAGAGGGATCAGAGGATCCAGAGTGCACCAGAAACACCATCGGCTTACCCGCACCCAGCTGGGTTGTCTTGCCCCTTCCGGCCCGGCCGGCCATCAGTCTGACCTGGTCCCTAAGCCCCGATATTCGATATTCCCACCTCGCTGGGTCGCGCTGGGCCTCGCGACTGCTCGCTATACCCACCCCTACCTCCTATCTCGCTCTCTCGCCTCGCTAAGTCCCATTCTCCCGAGCTCGTCCCTCTCCTTCCCTCCAGGTTCATACGGCTGATAGGGTCACGCCGCTGCCGCCGCCAGTGCGCCTGCGCGTGCCATCAGACTCTGTCGCAGCTGACCGCCTCCAGACCTCGAGCGTGTAAATCACCTCGATTGCCGCGACGCAGCCCCTTGGCGCCGCCCGATCAGTGCGTCATCTCATCACCGCCTGTCCACCCTCGCTCGCTCGCGTCGCCGCTGTAGAGCTGGGGGCCGAGCGCCGAGCGTGGGGGAGTTAGCTGGCGATTGGCGTTTTTGCTCCGTGCATGCTGCTTGCTGGTGAATTGACAAAGTTGCAAGGCTCGGACTTGCACAAACGTGCGGTGCTGGCGATTGGCTCAGACAGATATTCTTGGTGCATACAGCTCGCGTGCTCGCGTGCGCGCGGCATGGCGGACAACGCCGGGTTGCCGATCGGCCATGCCGAAACCTTGTACGCTAGAAGACGTTAGAGACTCGACTTGTTCTTGTCGGCCTTGGCCAGTAGCGCTTGGACGTCGGGCCGATCCTTCTCCGTCTTCCAGGCGCCTCTTGGGATCTCGCACTCCCTGTATCGAGTCAGCATCGCGGCCGGTTAGCACGTCAGGAGTCAGGTGGGATGTGGGGGAGAGGCATGGGCCAGCGGTGGACCGGACGGAGGTGACGAGTGTGCACTGCTTCAGGTGCTCTCCGGTGCTTTCGGCGAGTCCGCTGCAGTATAGGACGGAGTAAAGGAGAGAAAGAAGTGGCGGTCGCAGATTGTCCAACGACGGATAGGAGGAATAAGACGTACTGGATAGACCTTCCGTATCTGCGCAAGTGTTAGCAGGGGTTCGTGCGGTTGTAGCCAGCTTCGCCGGTAGTTGGTCCCGGCACGTTGGGTCCTGGCTCACACCGGGGGACACAGACCGCCACGGTGAAATAAGACACTCACGATACTCCACCCAGACGCGACACGGGCCTGAGCTTCTCGGTCAGCACCTTGTAGGCGCCACTGGGCTGCTCCGGGTCGAGGACGGATTCCTTCTGCGGGATTTGTCAGTAACCGGAGTGTCGCTGGTTCAGCGCTTTGGGCCTTGACGTGTTGCCCGCAGGCAATCTCGCCAGGAGAATTGGTTGATCGCCCTTGGCCGTAGCGCTGGGACCATCTGGAGTGGAGGCACTACGGTCGTAGCCACCGTAGATCCAGAAAGGGTCGTTTCACCTATCCCTACTCCGTCTCGGAACGTGAGACACCGGTGATGATCTTCCCGGCTTCGGCCTCCACCGCGCTTATAAGTAGACTTACGACGTGAGCCTTGCGAATGCGGCCAAAGATGACAGTCTGCGTAACAACGCCCTGGTCGTTCTTGATAGTCTCGGCGCGGTCAAGTTCGCACTCGAGACTGACGCCTGCCTCGGCGACGTGAGGCACAGACACAGTCTCCGACTTGCGCTTCGTGAGACCAGTGAGGGTCCACTCGCTGACGTCCGGGGGCGCATCGACGGCAGCATAGTTGGCAGCCTCGAGCCACGCTTCGGAAATGATGCTGACGCAGAACTCGCGCGTGTCCTTGATGTTCTGCGCCGAGTCCTTCAGCCCACTCTCGGTCGTCGGCGAGTTGCTGATCGACACGATGATCGTTGGCGGGTCGTGCGCCGCCAGCATGAAGTAGCTGAACGGAGCGAGGTTCTCCGTCCCCGAAGCTGAGCGCGAGGACACGAACGCGATCGGTCGAGGGGTCACGGCAGAGATCAGGAACTGACGTCAGCTTGGATAAGGAAGGGAGAGCTTACCTTGTACCGGTCCATGCCGCGGAGCTCGTCCAGGTTGAGCGTTTTGATGGGCGCATCGGGCTTGAATGCGGCGTACGCGGGCTGCGGTCAGCTACACAACAGAGACCGCCAGCAAGAGTTTGCAAGTATCCCATGGGGTAGTTGTGGTCAGATTCAGCAACCATCACCGCCTTGAGACTATGGCGATGACCGCAGCAGAGGGAAGGCGGCCAACTCCGACTATCCACATGTCTCCTTGACCAGGACGAATGCAGCTTCGAGAAGTGTAGGCAGTGATCGACTTCCTTCCCAAATTGGAATGCAACAGGAGGGAAGACCACGAGGAAGACTCACATCATCAGTCATCCCGCTACCAAGCTTGAACGCCGGGTCCGGGCTCTGGGTGATCTCATACGGCTTCGCAGCATCCCAGGGCTTGCGAGTCTTGTTCAGTTCTGATCCCGTCAGCTTTGCCTCCGAGTAACTCAGCTCACCTGCGATAGGCGTGTGGCGAGACATTCTTCGTTTCTCGAGCTTCGAGGAAGTGGTGTGTAGATGTCGAGCACGAGCGGGGAAGGCGAGGAAGGCAGATGGGTGGGCTGCAGGGAAACCGTGGGCGCAGAGGCTGGTGGAAGACGGCTTAAGTAGAGCAAGCGAGAGTCGCGCAGAGGGGTGAGCAGACGGGATAGATGAGATAGTCTTGGTCAGACAGCCGGCTTGGCGCATATGTTTGTCAGCAACTCTCGCGCGGCTGGAAATAGATGTTGTGAAGAGGATGAAAGTGGAGGGACAGGTCGTCGAAATGTCAGAATGCCCAGATTGTCAGATCGACGCGGGATTGCGTCATGGGTGACATGCTTCCATCTGCGGTGATTTTTCGGAGAATTCGCCGCTCCAACAAGATGTATGACTGATAACGAGTCCACAGTCGCCGCGCGGGTCCGAAGGTGGACGGAGGATGACTGATAACACAGGTTCTGACTCCGAATGTGGACGGACAAGGATGCGTGCAACGTTAAGGACAAGAGCAGCAAAGCATGGCATGGCGCATTTCTGTGCAAAGCACTGAGCAGTACACCCTACAATCTCTCCTCAACCACTCCTCTCTTGCGCCTGTACTCTTCCTCTGACTCAAGTCTCCTCATCTTCTCCATGCAAAGCCATCTTCTTGCCAAAAGACCCAAAAAAAATCAGTAAAAAGGGCCTCAGATGTCGTCGCGCGCTAGACCTAGACGGGACGTCCAGTTCTCGCGCAGTACGCACGCCACACGTCGTCGACGAACCGGTCCTCGCGCATCAGCGCGTTGATCATGTCCTTCATCTGGTCCCGGCTGTTGGGTCCAGAGGGCGGCGGGGGAATCGTGTCGGCGAGAGCGTCACGAGCAACGACGGGCGGTGGGATACCGCCGGGACCAAAGAAGCCGTTCGGCGGGCCGTTGGGACCGTTGGGTCCGGGTCCAGCAGGTCCCGCGCCGTTCATGGGTGGTCCGGGAGGGAAACCGCCAGGTCCTGGAGGAGGGGGAGGGGAGGTGAACTGCGGCTGGGCGGGAGCTGTTGGCGGAGCCTGCTGCCGGGGAGCGGGGGGTTGAGGGGAGGGCTGGCCGGACGGCTGTCCAAGGATACCGCGGAGGAGGTCGTCGACTGTCTGTCCAGGCGCAAAGTTTGCACCTTGAGCTGGCGGAGGAGGCGTGCTCCGCGCCTGCTGCTGCGGGGGCTGCTGCTGAGGAGGCGTCCGTGTCGGCGTCTGGTGGTTCGGGGTCTGGTGCGTCGGGGTGTGGTGGTAGATCGCGGGGTCGGTCGGCAACGGGCTAGCTGGCTGAGGCGACGGTCCGCCTGAGCTGCCAGCCGGGACCGTTGTTAGGCCAGCGAACAATCGTGATAATCCGTCCTCCTGCTGGGGCTTGTAGGGAGCGACGGCGTGGTTCGGAGGGTGGAACGGGGCAACGGCAGTGGTGGCAGGTCGCGGGGCAGAGCTTGACGGGGCAGGGGCAGAGGAGGAGGTGGCAGGAGCAGAGCCCGGAGGCGGCTTCACCGGCTCGCCGCAAACCCGCACGATCGTGTCTCGGAACCTCTGCACGTCGTTCGAGTCCGTGAACCAGATACCGTACCGGATTTCTGATGTCAGCAGTGTTTCGCGGTCCCAAGCTGATGCGGGGAACACGCCGTTCCCAGCAGGCAAGAAGGAGGGGCTCGCCTCTGCTGCGTGTGCCCGTCCCACAGCGCCCGGACTCACTCTCTCCTCTCCGTGCAACCTGCAGCATGCTTGCGTCGATGACCGTTGCCTTCATCTCTCCGGGAACGAGCGGAATCGTGACGTTCTTCACCGCCTGACGGTTCAGCATGAAGAGCGCATACTCGGGGGCTTTCGTTCTGTTGTTAGCTAGCTGCTGGTCGATACAGCTTGTCCGCCGCCATTTTATGACAACACTGAATCACCGACGCATCAACCGCAACGCGCAAACAAATCGGTGGGTAGCGTCACCGCGCGTATGGCTTACGCGGTGACACCCGTCGCGGAGGACCGAGCACATGACCCGGCTTGTCGCGGACGGGTCACGGGGTCTGCGGCGCTGACCGCGGAGGCGTGTTGCGGAGCGCTGCTGCGCCGCGTGGGTGTCTCTCTGCGTGCCCGCATGGCTTGCTCTGCAAAGCGGGGCGCAGTGCCCTTTTGTTATGAACCGGCGGCGCAGCAGTAGCCAGCGCCCCGGCTCTCTAGAGAGTTTTGCCGCCCCCTGAGACGCCAGCTGACGGCTGCGCTGACGCTTCCGTACTCACCTCCTAATGACGAAGAGGGAGCCCTCCTGCTTCTGCTTCTCCCACTTGCCGGTGTCTCCCCAGTGGTAGATGACTGCGTAGGCTGTCGTGTCGAGAATCTCTGCGAGGGCGGGGTCGTTGCGCTGGACAGTCTTGAGGTTTGCCTGGTTGCGAACGGCTGCAAGCTCTTCCTTGGACTTTGTGTCTGACTGGCCTGCATGGCGGGGGGATGCCGGTAGCCGTGCCGGGCTGTTTGGCTGGGGTGGGCGGGGCATGGGGGTGGTGCGGAGGTGCGGGGTGGGATGGGTGGATGGTAGGGTGTGGTGAGGGAGGAGCGGAGAGTGAAGGCCAAGCACAGTGTGTAGTGCACGCGGTTGTGCGTGGCCGGGTGAGTGGAGGGAGGGAGCGGTGGCCGGTGGAGGCTGTCACAAGCGAGAGCGGCCACAGCGGACCCTGATTTCCTATCACCACTGTATCGCTGGATCGAATGGATCGTCATTTCCTAATCCGACCAATTGCTGCTCTCGTAGTCTCCGAACCCAGCCCACATGCTCACCGAGACTTACCGGCTACGGCTATGGGATCATGAATGCCTTAAGCTGTTGTCTCCCTCCATCTCATCTGCATCGCCCTCTCTCACATCTCACACTCCCAATGCTCTGCAGCCCGCTTGTACGCGGCCTGAGGGCGGCCCCCGTAACCCCCTTGAGGGCGATGAGCACATCGGCCAAGAGCGGCCTCCTCAGCAAGCAGTCGAAACCCCGTCCTCTCCCGGCCACCTTCAGCCGCGCCGACCTCGACTACATCCGCGAGCGTCTCCTTCCCCCGCCCCCCGAGTTTGACGGCCTTCCTCCGCATACCAAAGGAAGTCCAGAGCGCCCACCCCGCGAGTCGGCCGTCATCCTGCCGCTCTGCAACGTCGCTGGGCAGGCGACGCTCATTATGCAGGTGCGCGCGGCGGCGCTGAGGGTGCACGCCAGTGAAGCTGGGTGAGTATAGCCGGAGCGGAGCTAAGTACCAACGCTGGTTCATCGAAGATCGAGGTGCTGCGAACCCCATCGCTGGAAGCCGAGTGCACACTCAGCCCAGGCTTGACTGGAAGAGGGCCTGGACTTGCGGGAGCCGGTTTGGACCTGGGCTTGGAGAATAGCACCATGACTCCGAGAGAGAAGCTGACCCATAGATTCCCAGGAGGCAAGGTAGAGCCCGGAGTAAGTGTCTTCCTTCTCGCCAATCACCCCAGGCCGTCACGACGATCCCAGAAGACCGTCAGGCCGATCCCCCTAAGCTGTCTTCATTGCAGCCGAAGCTAACGACAGGACAAAGACCTGGTCGACACAGCGCTCAGAGAAAGCAGCGAGGAGCTCGCAATCGTGCCCGGCAACGTCGAGATCCTAGGCGCACTGCCAACCGAGTACTCACTCGGGAACAAAGCGCGGGTGTGGCCCATTGTCGTGAGTAGACATGGCTCATGCTGTCTCTAGTCGCGCAGTGTCCGCTGGATAGGAGAGGGTAGTCTGGAAGCTCTGTTGAGGAGTGGCAGACCTCTCGATTGAATGACCGCCTGCATGAGACAACCTTAACTGCTCCGGAGGAAGCTGACCCTCAGGGCTTCATTCACCCGCACGACGCTCTCGCCTGCGCGACCGACGACGCCCTCGGACCAGCCGATGCGCCTCTCGAGTCCATTTCCCTCTCCTCCCTCCGCCCGGACCCAGGAGAGGTCGCAGCGCTGCTCCCACTGCCGCTCTCGGCCGTCGACGACCCCACACGAAAAGTGGCGCACTACTTCCGCTCGGATTCTTCGCGGCCGTACTGGAAGATCCGCGTGGGAGATCTCCTGCACCCCCCGCCCGACGAGAGTGACGAGCACATGAAGAACCTCGAGGTATGGGGCCTCAGTGGATGGTTCTTGAGCAAGTTTGCGATCCGGATGGGATGGAGCGATGCCCCGCCCAAGGCTGAGGCGGAGGGAGATTAGTCTGCCGATCGCTGATGGCAGGAGGGAGATGGAGGAGAAGCAGAGTTGTACGGCAAGGAAGAGGGGTTGTATCGCGGAGAAGAAGCGGGGAAGTGTACCGGCAAGAATCTAGACTCTGAAGACCTTGGAAGATCCGAAGCAATATCCAACTATACTCATGCATCTTGACAAGACGCTACGCGCTACAAGCAACTGACCTTCTAAGTATACAGTATCTCTAATCTCTAAGGTCTCGGTGGCTCGCTCACATAAACATAGGCCCCGACTCGAGCACCTGACACCCGCCATCGACCTCAAGCCGCGCCTCACGGAGGAGGAAGAGGCCCAGCTCGCGCTCGGCCCAGAAACGCCTGTTGGCCGCGTCGATCGTGGCCTTGCGTGCCTCCCGCAGTGACAGGAGGCGTTGCTGCTGATGCGCCTGTTGCTGCGATTGCGTGCTGGGGGCGCCGTAGGTCACTGTAGGTGGAGAGACGACGGGTGTGGAGGAAGTGGAAGGGAGACCGAAAGTGTACAGCGTCGAGGCGTGGGACGAGTGGGCGGAGTGCGACGAGTGCGCGGAGTGTGCGAGGCGTTGCCCGTGGCGGACAGAGCTAGCCTGTCCGATATACTGCATGTGGGGGCGCGTGTCGCCGCGCACCTGCAGCTGCCCGGCTCGAGCGGCCGACAGCACCATCTCGAGCGCGCGACCCGTGTGCCAGCTCCTCTCCCCCGCAACCTCCCCCGCATCCTCGCGCTCCTCCACGTCCGCCTCCACCTCCACGTCCGCCTCCACGTCCGCCTCGCCGTCCGTGTCAACTCCGACTCCCCGGGCCTGCCTCTCCAAACGCCTCGCCGCCTGGATCACTTCTTCCTGGATGCGGCTGCTCCGGTCCGCCTCCATCGCCTCGCGCGCCACTTGCGCCGCGTATGCGTACGTGTGATCATACGCTGTCCTGCTCGGCATGGGGTTGTGCCGCCACCATGTCTCGAGCTCGGCGCGTTCGGCTGCCGTCTGTGCCTCGCGGGCGGCGAGGGCGCGCTCGATGAGGATGCGGCGCTGGCGGGCGGATTCGCTTTCGCGAGGGGTTTCGCTTTCCGAGTCCGAGTCCGAGTCGGCGTCGGAGTCGTTAGCTCCGTGGGACTGGGCGGCCTCGGCGGTGGAATCGAGGTTGGAGATAGAGCCGGAAGCGGAAGAGGCGGCGGCACGATGGGCCTGGATAGCCTCCGAAGCGAGCCTCACCTCCCTCGTCCATTCACCTCCTGTTGAGGCGTGGCCAGAGAGGGTGGGCCAGTTCCAAAAAAGATGGGAGGAAGCTGAGCTAGAGGGTCGCAGCGAGGCGCGGTACATTGCCAGGTCGAGTGCCATGGCGGTGAGGCGGGGATCGCGGCCTTCACACTCGCTCTCCTCGCCCTCGTCATCGTCCTCTGACTCGTCGACTTCGGTGGACTCTTCGTACCGCGCGTCGCCCTCGGAGACTTCCGAGGAGGAGGCGTCGGATACCTCGGCTGAAAAGGTTTCGGAGCCTGCAGCGTCGTTGGCTTCGTAGAGGAGGGTGGGGACCTCGGTCCGCAGAATGGAGGCGGGGACGTCGGCGCCGGAGTCGACGGGGGTGGAGGAGAGGGGGCGTCGGTTTGCGTTTGGCATGGCGGAGAGGGAGGTGGGGCTGGGAGTCAGCAAGGAATGGATTTCGTTGTGTAAACGTACTGGACTGTGGTCCCGAGTTGTCTCACGGGACGGCCCATGTTGACAAGGAACAAATGACGAAGATGTAGAATGGCGTGGTCCAAGCAACGAGGGTGTCAGTGATGTACTGTGATGAGAAGATGAAGGTGAAGAAACGCAGTCGGCGTATGTTTATACCCACCCAGCGCGGTAGTTGTGTTCGATGGGATCAACTTTCAGAGAGGTGGACCAGTTAGTGCGCGTTAGCGTTGTCGGTGGCGATTCCGGCGATTGATAAGGAGCCGAGGGAGTTGGTGGATGGCTGTGCTGACCCTAGCACGGGTTCGTGTGGGAGCGGTTCTCAGCAGGGGTCAGGCGTGCGTGGTTGGAAGCGTAGTGACATCCCTGGCGAACAATGGAAGCACAGTTAGAATATGGCTCAGCACCGAGGCAAAAAGCAGCTCTTGTGCTTTTGTCGGAAGTAGATTCAAACTCAACAATCCCTTTCTCAAGCACAAGGGTATCATTGTATGCAACTGAGCAGGTGAAGGCCTCCAGACGATCTGTGGAGATTACAACGACTGACTCCGTTGATCATATGCTGCTGATCGGTCATCTTCTTATCGTTCCGCCACTATCCCTCCAGTGACCGAACCGTTATGACGTCGGTGCCTTGTTTCAGACCCAAGTCGATATCAGTCAGCAAAACATCGACTCCAACCGATGCACTGTGACTTGCTCTGCATTCCGTTGCTCATCATCGCTCTCCGCCATTCCTTGCGCTTGACATCGCCACTCACCCCACACACCGAGAGCAGGAAGGACGAACGCAATATGCCACACTCAACGCACACCTCGCGCTCCTCCCACTCCCACTCGCATTCGGGCTCGGGCTCGAATCACCTCCAGATCAATTGTAACTGTGGTCTGATCACGCTCCGCTTCAGGCCACACGGTGGCACGGCCATCTGTCGTGAGTATTCTTCACAAAGTCTTCGTAGATTCGAGTGCTCGCGGCGCTGGCAGGGCTGCAGGCCTCCAACGACCCGCGGGTAAAAGTTAGTAAGTCCATGGACGATCGCCGCGGGGCTGAAATTGTGCCCACGCCTTTCTGTCGAAGGTGTGAGGGAGAAAGCTAACAGGCAGACTGCATCGACTGCCGCAAGTTCACTGGATCAGTGTGAGTCCTCCCTTTGGATGGATTGGGGGTCGAACTGATGTAAGGTCATCCGAGTTCGTGCGCGCGCACGACCTGACCGTCTCGGGCGAAGTGCGCAAGTGGGCAACGACGTCTGACGCGGGACGCGAAGTGGAGCGCTTCTTCTGTCCCATCTGTGGATCGTGAGTGGCTCTTCATTCGGCACATCATAACAGCTCCTGGTCGTGTCCAGTCTCAAGTGATCAATGGTTGCATTCATGTGCCTCGTGGCAGTCTCGTGCAGCTAGGGAGGTCGGTGGCCGCCGCTGACCTGCGACCTTGCGATCTTGCGATCTGCAGGTGGGGAGGCTCGGAAGAGTCGGGACACTCGGGACACTCGGGACACTCGGGACACTCGGGACACTCGGCAACTTGCTGACCGGATATCTACGTGGTTGACTTGCATCCGAGCCTTCCCCGGCGCGCCCGGCGGCGTCTTGCGATTCCGCGCCCACATTGCATGAGATGAGCGCCGACGGGCATCTGCGACGCGGATCTGTCCCGTCCAGAGGCTTCTCCACCGCTCAGCGCCGAACACTGGCCTTCTCTTCCCCCACATACCGAGAGCCGTGAGATGACGAGAAGAGGTGTTGACCGCAGGTCACTCTACGACACATACCACTCCACGCCTCAAGGCGAGGATTATGTGCACGCCGGCCTCCTTGCGCCGGGCACAGTGCCGCCGCCCGAGAGCGAGGTCTATGCTCGAAGCAGGGAGCCTTGGGTGCAGAAGTACGCGAGAGAGTCGGCCGGGAACGACTAATCAATTCCGCCATGCGAATGGCTCAAGAATCGTTCAGTAGTATTAGGAAAAGGGACAGAATGTAACACAGAAGTACATGTGGGCTCAATTTCTTTTGCATATACTTCTTCGGATGACTTAGTAATAACCACAGAGAGGGGGCATACGTTTACTACTACTGATTGACAAGGGGGTGGGGATGGAATGATGGGGTCATTTTTAGGTTATGTCTTTACAATCTGAGTGGACTGGAAGCCTGCGCCGTGATTATCGGCCGCACAACGCTCGCCGCGCGCCGCTCGCTGCGCTCGGCACAGCTTAAAGCTTGTGGCCACGACCTCCGAGGGCCGCCTCGGCCTTGCGGACGCGCGCCTCGCGGTCCTGGAGGTACGCGAGCCTCTCCTTGATCTCGACCTTGCCCTGCTGCTGGAGGTGGACCTCGTCGGGGCCGTCGGCGTAGCGGAGCGTGCGCACGCCCGCGTACATCTTGGCGAGGGGCTTGTCCTGCGAGATGCCCTCGGCGCCGTGGACCTGCATCGCGCGGTCGATGACCTGGAGCGCAACGGTGGGCACGGTGAACTTGGCGAGACCAATCTCCTTGAGCGCGCCCTTGGCCTTACGCTGGTCGACGGCCTTGGCGGCCGCCAGCGTGAGGAGACGCGCCTGGTCAATGTCCGCACGCGAACGGGCAATGTCGGCCAGAATCGTGCCGTGCTCGCGCAGCTCCTTGCCGAAGGTCTTGCGGGCGGGGTTGCAGACGCGGAGAAGGAGGAGGTCGAGCGCGCGAGTCGCAACACCGATCGTGCGCATGCAGTGGTGCAGACGGCCGGGGCCGAGACGGGCCTGGAGAATCTCGAAGCCACGGCCAATCATCTTCTCACCACCGCAGGTCTCGGAGGGGTCGAGGATGACATTGTTGTAGACAACCTCCATGTGACCCTCGGGCGCGTCGTCGTAGCCGAACACCTGCATCGGGCGGACAATCTCGACACCGGGCGTCTTGGGGTCGACGAGGAAGATGGTGTGGCGCTTGTACTTGTCCGGGTTCTTGGGGTCGGTGACGGCGACAACAACGTGGACGGAGCAGCGGGGGTCGCCGGCGCCAGAGATCCACCACTTGTGGCCCTTGAGGACGAGCTTGCCGTCGGCGCGCTTCGTGACGGTCGTGTTGCGCAGGTTGGAGGCGTCAGACGACGCAATGCCGTACTCGGTCATGGCGAAGGCGGAGCGGATCTCGCCGTTGACAAGACGCTTCAGGTACTTGTCCTTCTGGGCGTCCGTGCCGAAACGGGCGATGACCTCCATGTTGCCAGTGTCGGGGGCGGAGCAGTTCATGGCCTCGGGGCACAGGTGCGAGTGGCCCGAGATCTCGGCGAGAACAGCGTACTCGAGGTTGGTCAGGCCCTTGCCGGAGCCCTGGGCGAGGTGCTGGAACTCGCCGCCAGAGAGCCAGAGGTTCCAGAGACCGACCTTCTTGGCCTTCTCCTTGAGGGTCTCGAGAACGGGGGGGATCGACTTCCAGCGCTTGGCCGGGTCGGTCGAGAGCTGCTGGTGGAAGATGGGCTCGGCGGGCATGACATCGTCCTGAGAAACGTCAGCGGCGTCATCAGCCTTGTGCTCACCTCGAGGAAGCTGATGAGGGTCTTGATGGTGTCCTTGCCCTGCTGGGAGAAGTGAGGCTCAATCTGCAAGTCAGTTTCGGTCAAGCGGTTTCTTGACGCACGAGAGCCCACGCCGAAGGGGCAATGTACTGGAAGAGCCTGGGGTCGACGGACATGGTGGTGTAAGGAGTGTTTCGGGTGGGGAGGATGTGGGGTATGAAGGAAACGGCGCGATGCCTTATGGTGTTGTTATAGCAGCGAGTTTATCGATGGCGTGGTGGAAAGTGGGCAGCGGCCTGTGGTCGCAGAGAGTCGGCGTCCCTGCGGGTGCGGTGGGTGGTAAGGTAGCCGGGCCGGGTGGATGAAACCTCAGTGTGCGGTGGAGGGATTGGCGTCCATACGCTCCATACGCGGCGGAGCAAGCCGAGCACCGCTGAGGCCGGGAACAATTCCACCATCAACCGGTTCCAAGAAAGCCGCAATAGCAGGTCCGCGCTGTACCGTCCCCCTCAATCTCTCTGTCATCTTTTATTCAACATGCTGACAATAGATACTCGCACGTTCACCAAAGGCGTACAGGGCTCAGAGTGCAGGGCCTGCGGGCACATCTGGAGCATGCGAGCGTGCCCCCCCGGCAGCAATGTTACTCGTCCGGCTGGGTCCATATGCGTTCGCACGGTGCCGCTCCAGTCCGGTCCCCCACAAACGGCACCGTCGGCCATCCCCGGTATCGTAAGCCACCCTCAACACAATTGTCAACGGCCCCCGCCGCCTCCACAACCACTTTCTAATCACTCGACTTTTCCATATCGACACGGCATTCCGAGGAACACGCTACTATCACGCTAGGCCCACACGAGCCTTCACGTGACTTCTTTCACGTGATCGGAGGATCTCTGGCAGGGCTTGGCGTGGATTACGCAGTGGGCCAGGTCAGATTTGCCTCCGCCCCAACGATCTGGCTTTCCCCTCATCACCACCGTGGACAGCGCAGTGGATCTACTGTAGATAGGAGCTGGCAGGAGTCATGCTGGGATAGGCGAATCGCGGACGTGACAATGGCAAATGGGCACAGACGACACGGATGCGTTTCGCTCGAGTAGTGACGAAAGTGACACGCTGGCAGAGAGGTTTACCTGCAGTGACGGAGCAGACCGGGTGCAAGCGGGCCAGCTGGTTGTTTACCTCGCTGGTGATACTTGCAATCACGTTTCAAGGGGCTTGAATGGATTTGCCTCACGGCAACCCAAATGGGGCAAGCGATCTGTGCAAGCGCGCTAACGAGCAGTAACGAGTTGCACGACAGTTCGGAGGCGCTATACTCAACAGAACGTCAATGCCGGGTATGCCTAGCGATGCAGACGAGTTATCTTATCAGCACCGGTCCCCCGTTGCATTGGAGCCGGACAAAAGTTGGGAGAGCAGCGTGTGGTGGGGTGTCGACGGCAACTGCATTAAGCGCGGCAGTTGCAGCGGCACTGGGCGGAGGAGCAAGTGAGGGACGACGCCACGTGATAATCCGCACTAGGCAGACTCGGGATTCGTGGCGCACAACTTGATCCGCCCCACAAAATCTGAAAGCCGAGGCGAGATCCTGTTGACACCTTCCGAAAGCCACCAGCCATCAGAGCTCGTGGACCTGCTGATTTTCGCTGAGGATGTCGGGCGGCTCCGCTGCATGCTCGGAGCAAGGTCAAGACACGAGGTACCCATGACGCGCCTGATCTCGCTGTGGAGCAGATATGGTTCAGTGATGGAAGCTCACGGTGCAATTCACCGTGGCCCACGGGCACGTGCCGAGGTCCGCCTAACAGCCGAACGCGAAATAACGATCGACAAGCGAGTGGTACTAGCTCCTTGTGCCGCAAGCCGCACCGGCGCTAACCCCGTGCCGCTGATCGCGGACTTACCAGAGTGCCTGTGACGATGGATGAGGTCCGAGTCCGAGTCCGGCACGCGGCGGTGGGTGCGCAGTGGACGGGTGGCGGGTAGGTGGTGCGTGCGTGCAGATTTTCTCGCAACGATTAGATAACCCTCGCCAGCACCGGCGGTGGCTTGGGAGGCACATGAATTGCATGGCCAGGTTGCCAGGTTGTGCAGTCCGGGGTCGAAGCATGTCACGAGTGCAGGCATACCGATAGGTCATCTTAGGCCAGAGTCACAGCGTTCCAGTGTCATCCGTCAGCCAAACGCGAGGCGAGTTACGTGACGTCGATCAGCTAAGAGCGGACGTCGCCATGTCGCCATATCAACGACGCGTCGTCGCGATCGCGGAGTCTCATTGGCACACTGGCATTGGAACCCACGGGGCTTCCCAGGCCTACTCCATACGCGAGATTGCCTGACATGGCCCTACATGGGAGGCGTGATGGGAAGGACGCGCCGGAGTGCGACGGAGACGGCGGTGGCCAGTCAGATTGTTTCTGATTGCACTGCTCGCCTCAGCGCTCCCCAATCGGGGCCAAGTGACGTCCATTCTTAGATCCTAGGCGAGGACCGCAGCCATGACAGCCAAGCCTTTGGCCAACCCAGGAACCAGCGAAAAGTCAGTTCCTAATCGGAGAAAGCCTGACGATTAGCGAAAGCCACGTGGTGGATTAACCTTGAAGGCACAAGTGTAACGGAGGGATTAGGAATTACTTTACCCGCATTAAGCCGAAGGGTCCAGTGCCGCTGTAGGAATTCTGGTGGTCTTCCCCAAAAGTTGGTACATGGGCTGGTGGGCCTGGCGTGGGTAGCCATACCACCACGATACATAAAAGCACACTGCTCCGCGACCATCTCCCAATCTTATCTTCACTCACTCTCGCTATCTCGACATTCCCTACAGGCAAGATCCTCTCCCTTTGACTAGGAGCAGAACGACAACCTGCCTTGAACGCGACTGAGCCGCGACCTCTACCCCGCAACCCCACCACCTCGGTTACCGCCACATCTCTCATCCCCATCGCAACCCTCGCCACCTTTCCACTTCTCTCTTCCGCGCGTCTAGCTTCGATTGCAACACCATGTCCGCTGTCGCCGCTGACAAGAAGGCGCCCGTCGCCGCCGCTGAGATGGAGCTCAACCCCGAGCTCGAGACCTTTGTCGTTCCCGACAACTACGTTCAGCGTACTGTCGAGAACATGAAGTGGCTCCCGCCCGTCACTGCCAAGAACCTCTTCCAGAACATCCAGTGGATTTCGTTCCTGGCTCTGACCATCCCCCCCGCGCTTGCCATCTACGGTCTCTTCACGACCCCCTGGCAGCTCAAGACCGCTATCTGGGCGTGAGTATTTCGCATCTAAGGGTTGTGGCACCCCACGAAATCGCGTCATCTAGCCGACGGCAAGTGGCGGCGTTTGAGTGGCACAACCCCCGCGATTGCCCCCACTGATTACAACGGATGCTAACCTTCGCAGTGTCGTCTATTACTTCATCACTGGCCTCGGTATCACCGCCGGCTACCACCGTCTCTGGGCCCACCGTGCTTACAACGCTTCGCTCCCGCTCCAGTACTTCCTCGCCTGCGCGGGAGCTGGTTCCGTCCAGGGCTCGATCCGCTGGTGGTCTCGCGGCCACCGCGCGCACCACCGCTACACCGACACCAAGCTTGACCCCTACTCGGCTCACGAGGGCTTCTGGTGGGCCCACATCGGCTGGATGCTCATCAAGCCCCGTGGCAAGATCGGTGTCGCCGACATCTCGGACCTGACCAAGAACCCCGTCGTCCGCTGGCAGCACAAGAACTACCTCTCGCTCATGGTCTTCTTCGGCCTCGGCTTCCCGACTCTTGTCGCCGGCCTCGGCTGGGGTGACTGGTGGGGAGGTCTCTTCTTTGCTGCCGCCGCTCGTCTCGTCTTCGTCCACCACTCGACCTTCTGCGTCAACTCGCTTGCCCACTGGCTCGGTGAGACTCCCTTCGACAACAAGCACACCCCCAAGGACCACTTCATCACTGCGCTCTGCACTGTCGGCGAGGGCTACCACAACTTCCACCACCAGTTCCCCATGGACTTCCGCAACGCCATCAAGTGGTACCAGTACGACCCCACCAAGTGGTTCATCTGGACCTCTTCCAAGCTTGGCCTTGCTTCGCACCTGAAGACCTTCCCCGACAACGAGATCAAGAAGGGCCAGTACACCATGAAGCTGCAGCTTCTCGAGGAGCAGTCCAAGGAGATCAAGTGGCCCAAGCACTCGAACGACCTTCCCGTCATCTCGTGGGAGGACTTCCAGGCCGAGTCCAAGGACCGCTCGCTCGTTGCCATCCACGGTTTCATCCACGACGTCTCGAGCTTCATCGAGGACCACCCCGGTGGTGCCCACCTCGTCAAGCGCTCCATCGGCACTGACGCGACCACTGCTTTCTTCGGTGGAGTCTACGACCACTCGAACGCCGCCCACAACCTCCTCGCCATGATGCGTGTCGGTGTCCTCGAGGGCGGTATGGAGGTCGAGCACCTCAAGCTTCAGCGCGTTGCCTCGTCCGACTCGCTTGCCTCCGACGGCGCCTCGTCCGCCTCGTCCGTCTCGGTTCAGTCCATCATGTCCGAAGTCGAGACCCTCGACAAGCGCCACCCCACTTGGCAGCCCGCTGCCCAGGTCGCGAACCCCTACACGCTCCACGTGCCCCCCTCGGAGAAGATCCAGGTCACGAAGAGCGCCGCCGAGCTCCGCCCCGGTCTCCTCCAGCGCCTGTCGACGCGCTCCAACGTCGCCTCGCCTTCTCTCACTCGTGCCGCCTCCTTCGAGTCCCAGGGTATCCCTGCCTAAGCAAACTGTTTCTCTCTGTTTCCTTAAGCAAAAGAAAACACTCGAAAAACATCTTCTCTTGTTTTAGATTTCTTTCTCCTTGGGCTTTCTCGACGATTCAAATACATAACGACACGAATTAAAAGGCGTCTGCAGCTTAACAACCCCCTCCACTCCCCCCTCAACAACTACATGTCCGTTAGCATTTCCCCCACATCCACTCCATCATCTCAGCATTCCTCCCGGCCACTGGCGCGGCAGCACATAAAATCCACTAGATAGCGTATCCTCTTTCTTTTTGTATCAACTGTCCTTTATGCAGGTGTGAATACGAAATTGTTCCTTTGTGCATGCAATCACCCCTCTTGTGTATAAAAAATCGAAGCGAGCTCTATCTCTTGACTACGGTTTGAGTAGCCAACCTGCTTTCGCCCAATCTGGGCACGACGCACAGACCTCTTCACTTTGTCTTGATTGGAAAAAGTGTGAGAGATAATCACTTGGGCGTCATCGTGGAGCACACAGGGAACGAAGGCACTCAGTGCTTCATGCCAGGTCCCAGATACGGTTCATCGATGCCTGACGGCGTCGCTCCGTGTCCCCCGATGACGACTGACGACGGCAACGCTTGATGAGGGGCGAGGTTGAAAGTGCCACGCGACGTTGGACAAACGGAGAGAAGACGGCTGTCCGCGTTTCCACCTCCACTCCACTTGAGCGCATTTGCCACCGTGCACATTGGAAACGCGTGCTAAGCACACCAGTCTACTGACGTAAGGCGACCTTTGGACAACGGGTGAACCGAAGTCCACAACACTTCGATCGCAACTTGTCATACCTCCTCACTCACTCGTATCTCGCCAGATTCCCACCTCCACCCCCCACTGCCCCAGAATGTGGAACCCCGACGCGGGCAAGCACGGCTCCGTCGATCTCTCCACTGCCTCTGCGTCCTCCTCCTCGGGCGTCCTCGCCACCGTCCGCGCCAAGCGACTAGCACGCGAGCAGGAGCGGCGGCAGGAGCTGGCCGCACTCGCCATTCAAAGGGTATGGCGCGGCCGCTCGAGTGCTCGCCAGACTCGCGCCCAGCTCCTCGCCCATCTACAAGATAAGCCGATCGGAATCGAGGACACGGGCAAGGTACTCGTACTCCTTAGCGGAGATGGGGATAGAGACGGGTTTGGCGCGATTGCGACGAAGTGGGCTACCAGCGCTTTGGATAAAGATCGTGAGCTAAGTTGGAGAGGAAAGAAGCTGACGAACAGCATTAGGGCGGCCAGCCTTTGTCGCCCAGCTCGGGGATGACGAGTTTGCGTACCGGTTTGCGTTGCTGCTCCGGCGACTGTTGGGCTTTATCGCAAAACAGCCAAGGTACGTGTAGCCTGCAGTGTATCGCAGCTTTGAGATCTTTGTCCCAGCTGACCCCAGAACCGTGCTCTCGGCGCAGCTACTGGGCAAGCTCGTCGACCTCATCGCCCCACCAGTATACGCTGGTCTGGAAGCTGAGCGACGGCAGGCTTTCGTCGCGACGTTGGGCGGCGATTGGGTCAAGACTGGTGTCGGCGCGCTGCGCGAGTTCATCGCTGCGGGCCAGCGTCTGCCGAAGAAGAAACACCCGCTCTCCACCCCTATCGTGTCCGTTATCATGGCACCGATCGCGATCGCGCCGCCCGCACAGGACTCGCCCTTAGTCGCCTCGCTCCTGCAGGACTTGATGACGCTGCCGTCACTACCATTTTCGCTCCCATTGCCGGCACTCACGACGCTCTTGCGCAGCCTACCACTATTCCAAGTTCTGCTGCCCGCCGCCGCCGCCGATCCGGCACTCCTTGATGCCGGAGGGCTCAGCACCGAGCTGGCCAAGACGCACTTCCTCTCAAACCTCGCCACGTTCGGTATCACGGGAGGCATGCTGCAGCGACAAGGCGCGCAGGGGATGCGGGACTGGATCGCAGTCGTGGGGACAATGTTCTCGACGCTCGGCGAGGGCTGGGGCCGCTGGGTCGCGACGAGCGGGAGCGAGGTTGAGCCCATGGTCGTGGACGACAGCGACAGCGACGACGAGGACGAGAACGGCAAGCGCGTAGCGCGCAAGCCGGTGCGGGAACCACTGCCCTCCAACGTTGCCGCGCGGCTATACTCGTTCGCCTCGCCTGCGCACCTCGGCACGCTGGTTGCCGCGGCCATGCAGGGCGACAGCAAGACGCTGGTGGACTTCTCGTTCTTCGTGCTCGGGCTCCTTAATGCCTTCCGAGGCTCGGCGAGGTGGGAAGCCACCCTCGACGCGGTGATGGAAGGCAAGCGGGGAGCGCGTATGACCAAGCTGCTGTGGCGTGAAGGCGTACGCGGCAAGTGGGGCAGCGGGCGGAAGGACTGGGAGACGTTCTCGAGCAGTGAGTGTAGCTGAGTCACCCCGCGTTTAGCTGACCGTCAGACCCGAACCGCGCTATGCTCATGCTCCTCTCGCACATTTACTGCCACTACCTGCTCCTGACGCCTGACGACGAGTTCTTCTCCAACGACACGAACGCCCTCACGCTCGACGAGGTGCTCGACCTTAGTACGATCTGGCGCGACCTCGCGTACTGGGGTTTCATGGAGGGAGTGTCCTCCGGTGAAAGCCCGAGCCGCGGCCCGGGGACGGAGGAGGTGCGCTCCCTGTTCACACGCGGCGTGACGCGCGTGGCAGAGAGAAAGTGAGTTGGTCCATGAGTATTTGGAACTGACAAGCAGTGCGCGGAGAAAGTTTGCCCCGCACAACTTCTGGGTCATGCGCGAGCTGAACAGTGACATCAACTCCTTCGTGAACGCGGTGCGCTACGAGGAGGCCTCTCTGCAGGGCGCCTCTGCTCCGCGCGCACTGCGCCAGCGCGAACTGGCCTACATCGCCCCGCGCCTCGGCCTGCTGAACAATCTGCCCATGGCCGTGCCCTTCGAGACGCGCGTCGACGTGTTCCGACAATTCGTGCGTGCGGACCAAATGCGCACGCGCGGCGACAACCCCTTCCACTCTAGCCGGGTGCAGGCGCAGATCCGGCGCACGTCTGTCGCGCACGACGGGTTTAGGCAGCTCAACCGCCCCGGCGCGCTGAGGGGGATGGTGCAGATCCAGTTTGTGAACGAGCACGGGCTCCCCGAAGCCGGTATCGATGGCGGGGGCTTGTTCAAGGAGTTTCTCACGTGTCTCGTCAAGGAGGCGTTTGACGTTGAGCGCGGGCTGTGGCTCGCCAACGATGAAAATGAACTCTACCCCAATCCGCACGGGTATGCGACCGAACCACACCAGTTGGAGTGGTACACTTTCGTAAGTCCAGCTACTAGGGGAGCATGTAGCTGACAGCAGCTCGGGCGCGTCATCGGCAAGGCGCTGTACGAGGACATTCTCGTCGACGTGTCCTTTGCGGGATTCTTCCGTAAGCTAATGATGTCTCGCTGTAGCTAACGCCCAGTGGCCAAGTGGCTCGGCCGGCAGTCGTATCTCGACGACCTCTCCTCGCTCGACGCGGAGCTGTACCGGGGCCTAATCAGCGTGAAGAACTACCCGAAGCCGGAGGAGCTGTCTCTGTCATTCACAGTGACCGAGGACGATTTCGGCGTGGCGCGCTCCGTCGATCTCGTCCCCGGGGGGAGCGAGATCCCCGTCACGGCCGAGAATCGGGCGGAATACATCCAGCTCATGTGCCAGTACAAGCTCGGGCGGCAGTTTGCAGCCCAGAGCCGCGCCTTCTTCAGTGGTCTGGCCGAGATGATTGATCCCCGGTGGCTAAGGATATTCGACCAGGCCGAGCTCGCGCAGCTCCTCGGCGGCGAGCACGCCGACATTGATCTGGCCGACTTGAAGCGGCACACGCACTTCAGTGGCTTTGCGCCGGATTCCTCGACGCCGACCGCGTTCTGGCGAGTGTTGGAGAGTCTGTCACAGGAACAGAGGGGGAAACTCGTGAAATTTGTCACGTCATGCTCTCGCCCGCCACTGCTTGGGTTCAAGTACCTGAACCCCGAGTTTGCGGTCAGGAATGCGGGTAGTGATACGCAGAGATTGCCTACGGCCAGTTCGTGTGCGAATCTGCTGAAACTGCCTGACTACAAGGATGAACGACTGCTGAGGGAGAAACTCCTCCAGGCCATTGAGTCGGGTGCCGGGTTCGACATGAGCTAAGCTGCTCCGCGCAGATAGTGGAGAGAGAAGGAGAGGATGGCGCGTAGACCACGTTAGACATCTGTTTCATAGCGTCCCGTTCGTGTATGCATTAGTCTTAGCCTCGCATGTGCTGGCGTCAAGAGTGGTTTCCACCGTATACGTACAACCTACTAATCCCCAACAACTTCAGAAACTACAATACAAGAGAAGATCTACTGACCATCCTTCCGCTCGACTTGCGTCTGTGTCTGCGGCGCGACCTGCGCCTGCGCCAGCTCCGACACGTGATTGACCTGCACCTGAGCCGCCTCGAACTCTTCCTCGTCCTCGGGCTCCGTAATCCTGCAAACAGCAGGCAGGGCGAACAACAGTGCGCCAGCGATGACGCCCCAGTTGGCAGCAAACTGGCGCATGGGCGCGACATGGCTCGCCGTGAGTCTGAACGCGACCGCGCCGCCGACGCACTGCAAGCTTTTATACACGCCGACGAACCTTGCCGCGTCCCGGGGCCGGTCGCACATGGCCCCGAGGAGCCAGTACGCGAGCCCCTGCCAGGCCGCGTCGAGCGCCCCGTAGGTTATGTACAGGACGCAGGGGCCTGCGAACGTCCGCGCATCCGAAAAGTCGATGAAGCGCAGCTTCTGCCGGCGGTGCGCCTCCGCCTCAAACCAGCGCTGGTACGCTAGCCCGCCGCCCATGGCCACATTGCCCAGGATGAAGACGGCACACCAACCTAGCAGCGCGCGCCCGCGCCGCGACACGGGTGGCAGGTCGAGCAGTAAGCCGATCAGGACGCCGCCCAGCATCTGCGCGCCCCAGTACAGCGCTGAATTGAGGGATCGAGAGCGCAGCGTGAATGAGCCGCCGTTCACGATGTTTTGCTGGTACGAGTAGAAAAAGTTTGCCCCGAAGCAGAGCGGGAGGAGGAAGAGGAGACGCGGCTCGTGCCGCAGCTTGGCTATCTGGGCCAGCTCGCGCCGTGCCGTCGAGGCGAAGACGGCGTAGCAGTGCCGCAGGCGCGAGGTCACTGTAGGCGGGGAAAGGGAGGAGAGGGAGGAGGGGTGGGAGACATGGGAGGCCGGGAGGGGCGCGGCGCGGCTGCCGTCGGTCCGTATCACGAGGTGGGGTGGGAGGAGGAACGCGGACAGACACCACCCAAACACCATGATCACCATGAAGGCGATATATGTCCCGTCGCTGACTGTACCGGCGTGGCGGCGGTTGTAGCTGGGAATTAGCTTGCGCTGGCAAACGCTGGAGCTGCTTGCTGCGGCCAACTCACTTCAGTCCCAGGCTGATGAAGCTTCCGATCGCTCCGCCAAGGTTGAACACGACCCAGAAACCCGCGATGCTTCGCCCCTTCTGTCCCGCAAGCGGATAGCTGAGCATGACCGCGCCCTGCGTGACCCAGAGCAGCGTCGCGCCGAGTCCAAGCACTGCTCCAGAGACAATCACGAATGCGCCGTCCTTGGCACACCCGTGGGAGTAGGCGAGCAGGCTCGCCGTGTACAGCGGATACGTCCAAGCGCCGAGGGCCATGCACCGGTTTCCGAGAAGGTCATACATGGGCTGACCGACCAGCAAGCCCGTGGCTGCGCCAACAGACAGAAGGGCGACGCTGCTGTTCGCGCCGACGGTCGGGTCGAGCTGTCCGCTGCCGCCCAGCCCCTGGATAGCATTGTACATGCCCGGCAGGCAGAAGCAGCAGAAGCTGACGAGCCATAGCTGCGTCCACGCCCTGTTGCGGTAGGGCACGCCTGCGCTCGAGGACGGGGCGCGCACGCTCGGCGCACTCGGCGCGACGGAGCGCACCTCGTCCTCTTGCAGGGAATGCTTGCTCAGGGACATGGCGCCCGCCCGGAGGGGCCAGAAGGGCGAGAGGAAGGATTGAATGCTGTCACTGCTGTCACCGGGGCACTGTCTGTGGTCGTGTGGTTGCTGTGGAGGTAAAGTCGAGCTGCTGTGGTCGTCGTCGGGAGCGCGAGAACATGGCCGCTACTGGGGCATTGCGGAGCCGAGGCGGCGTCGGTATCGTTATCTCGCAGCCGCGGCGATCTCAAGCGACTGATCGTCGGGGCGTTCGCGGGGCACTCTGGAGCCAGGAGCAGGCGTTCGCAGCGAGGTTCAGTGGCGTCGCTCGTGGAAAGAAGGTGTGGGTCTGGTCGAGACGAGAGTATGTTCCGTCGGAAAGGCCGACAGTCGAGTTCCCAGCTCTCGGATACGGTGTTCGAGTCTTGTCTCGGCGTCTGCGTGTATGCGCCTCGTCGGGGGCGTTGTTCGTGGCGTTGATGCGACGAGTTTTCGGTTGGAGTGTCCCTCGCGAGAGTTGGACGAGACGATGCGACGACGAAAGGTGGGGTTAGGAGGACGAAGTGGACGAAGTGCTGTGCTGATGCGCCAAGCAAGGGAGTGAGGGGAGAGGGGAGAACGGGCCGAGACTCGTGAATGGGCGAAAATTGCCGCGTCCCTCAGTCTGTGCTCTCTCCCTCCCCGCCGATCACTTGACCACCACCTTCGTGTCACGGCGCGCATCTGGAGTCCCCACGGGTCCGCTGCATTCCTCTCAACGAGCATAGCAGTGCGTCAGGCGCCTGCTGCGCACTTTTACCGACGCACGAGGTGCACACGACCGTGTGCTCGGCACTGGTCGCAGCCCCTCACTAGCGACTGGGACAAGTTGCCGTCGGTGGGACCGGTGACTTTCAGTCACGGGTCCGGACCCTAAGACCCCAGGTTCACTTGACGTTGGACCTAGCACGTGGAGGATGCCGGCGTACCTCTGCATCGACGGGGGTGGGACAAAGACGAGTGCGTGGATCGCGATCCGTGACGAGGCCGGGACGCGCATGGCGCGAGGCGTGGCGGGGTCGGGAAACTTGTGAGTGAGGGCGCGGACGTAGCGAGCGGCCGGGTGGACGACGATGAGTGGTAAGCTACGGCTAACCTAAGGACGTTCGGCGTTGATGTCGTTCTTGCGTCGACGAGCGCGGCCGTGTCGGCTGCCGCGGCGGAACTCAACAGTGAGAGGGGAGGCGAGTGGCCCCCTTTCGAAGCAGTCTGGGCGGGCTATGCGGGCTGCGGGCGAGTCTCGGACCGCGAGCTGCTGTATCCCGACCTCGCGCCACTGTTTCCCCACGCCTCACTCCGACTCACAGGCGACGGCGACCTGCTCTGTGCGCCCATGGAGGGGCTGGGTGCGTCTCTGATCTGCGGCACGGGGGCGCTCGCACAACTCTGGTGCGTCCCGCCTCATGGTGAGCCGGTGCGCCTCCTCAGATCAGGTGGCTGGGGACCCGTCCTCGACGACCGCGGCAGCGCCTGGTCATTGGGCAAGGCGGCCGTGTGCTCTGTGCTGTTCTACGCCGCGAACGAGATGCCCCTCCTGTCATGGCAGGAGCAGCTGCTCAGACGCCTGGGAACGGACGCCGAGGAGTTGATCCGCACGACGAGCGCGCTGGACACAGGACTTTCGCACGCCGACGCCGACTCAAAGCGCAAGACGACCATTGCGGGGTTTAGTGATCTGGTCGTCGCGGCCGCAGAGCAGGGGGATCAGGAAGCGGCCCGCATTCTGCGCCGGATAGCGGGGGAGGTGTGCGAGATCCTAGAGCCAGTGAGGGCGAAGCTGGACACTGTTCTGGAGCAGGAGGCACAGGAGATGGACGACGAGGGAAGACAAAGGGATGGAGGAGAAAGGAAGGAGGCAACACTAGTCGTCGCTGGCAGCTTGGGTCTGAACGCGACATTCTGGTCCTTCGTCGAGGAACAGTTCAGAGCCCGTGGGTGGGTCTGGTCGCGCATCGCTGTCGCCGACCCAGCACGGGTGGGGCTGGAGCACCTGCTCCGAAACGCTAGCACCTCAGGTCGCAGTGTGAAAGAGCGCGTAAGCGGCCCCCCTCCCCGGCTCACTTCAAGCGTTCAGCAGTTGTAGCAGCGTCCTGTAGCAGTACAGCAGTATGTACGTATGAGTATCTCACACTCCCATGTGCACATGTGTCCAGGCGACCGAGCGACCGGTGTGCCCATGTGCTCCGTCAAAGGAGGCCAGGACACGGTCAGCTGGTCGTTTTTAGCTGGCTGACGTAGGACATTCTGTGAGATGAAACGGTGACATCCTGGACATATCCGAGGGCATGTGGGAGCGTACGGGCGTTCTCTCCAGGAACTATCATCGCTGAGTCTGCCGAGCTCGAGCTGCCGACGTGTGTCGAGTGTGGACGCAAGGCTTAGTACGGAGGGAAACACGGCGCAAAGAGATTCCGAGAACCGAGGGGAACGAAGGGAACGAGGGGGACCATGTGCTCTCCGATCGCCAGTGGTGCAAGTGAGGGGCAGTCACCGTTGCATTGTTGCTTGGAGCTGCGTGGCTGCGAGGCTGCGACAAACTGACGCTAGTCGTCTCGTCAATGTAGTAAAGGACGCAAGGACGGAGGGACACCACGCGGTGCACTATCTGCCGCCTCTGACACACTGACACATCGACATATCAGCATAGTGTGGCGCACCAGCCCTCGTTGCCCAGAAATACAACTAAAGTTGGGTCTAAATCGACCTAAACTTGGAGTACTGCGCCAGGTCTGCGCCAGTCTCACTCCCAAGCTCGCATCTCGCCGAGTGTGCCGAGACCGAACTGGGGCAAAACCCACACGTAACCTCTTTGCCCAATTGCGAAACTGGCCTCGCTTCAGGCGGTTCACATTCCAAATGTGCACCACGCGCTCCACAGTCGCCGGCATGGCACAGACTATGCACGGGCCTCGCCGAGGACTCTTGACGTACAATGAGTATAGGTTAGTCGCCGGCATATCCGGCCCGCCTGTGCCGTCTGTGCCGCATGTGCCGCTGGTTTCAGTCCCCCTGCCAAACCTCTTTGCGAACAACGGAAAACGGACACTGGCAACGGCTTTGGCCGATAGCACGAGACGAACGTATGCGCAGAACGCAAAGACGGGACAAGGCGAGGAGAAGGGGAGAAGGACGAGTCTATGTCTATCATGCATGTGTGGGTATGCGTATGGGTATGCCAGAGATAATACACTAGTCGTTACAAAGCTCCACCATTGTCCTTGCTTCAAAGGTTGGCGAGATCCTCCTCGAGCGCGTGCTTCAGTATGCCTCCCGCGGCCCTCAGCCTCCTCTCTGCCTCCTCCCTTCCGCAACCCCAGCGAGCAGCGACCATGGCGGCCTTGACAGACCCGCTTTCGTCGATTAACCGATCGACGGCCTCGTCGTTGCCCAAGTCCACGCCGAGCCTTTCCCGCTTGCCGTATGGCTCCAGCACCGTGCGGACGATATGGCGTGCGCGCGCAACGAGCTTGGCGTTGCTCCGGCGCACGTCGACCATGAGGTTACCGTGTGTCTTGCCACAGCGCAGCTGCACGCCCGTCGAGAGCATGTTGAGGATCATCTTGGTAGCCGTGCCGGCCTTCATGCGGGTCGAGCCCGTGATGACCTCGGCACCGACGGGACACTCCACACTGAGCTCGGCCACCTCGGCGAGCTTTGAGGGGGAGACACAGGCGACAGAAGCCGTCAGACAGCCCTGCGCCCGCGCCGCCTCGAGCGCCCCGAGGACGTACGGCGTCCGCCCCGACGCGGCGAGGCCGATCACTGTATCCCGCGCTGGGTCGAGCATGAGGTCCGCAATGTCTGAGGCGCCGAGGGAGGGCGAGTCCTCGGCCCCTTCGACAGAGTACTGGATCGCGCGCGGGCCGCCAGCAATGAGACCGAGCCATTGTCCGTAAGGCGCGGAAAAGGTTGGCGGGCTGGGCGTCAGCAAGGGGAAGGGAAGGGTGGGGCTCGCTGCGCTCGCTGATCGCACACTCACATCTCGGAAGCGTCGAGAATGCCTAGACGCCCGCTCGTGCCGGCGCCGACGTACACGACGCGCCCGCCGCGCGCCACCCGAGGGTGTACGGCGTCCACGAGCGCTGCGACAGAGGGGATACACCGCTGCACGGCGAGGGCGACAGTCATGTCCTGCGCGTTGATCATTTCTGAGTTGTCAGCCTTGTCTTCCCAGTCTGCAGTCTCTCTCGCACACCTCGTGCCCCTGTGGGGCACTCGGGACGCTCGAGACAACCACGTACCCATCATCTCCACCGTGGACACGACGTCAATATCGGCCGTCCCCTCATTCCTCGCCTCAGTCTGCAGCCCCGCGATGCGGTCAATGTCGGACGCCGGCGTCATGGGTATTGTCATGGGTGGAGAGTTGCTGAGATTCTTCGATGTGTCTCCCAGAGTGAAAGAGTCGTTGGGGACAGGTGTGCCGCCGGTGGTTGCACGGTGCCGTTGCGGGGTAGAGAAAGTCACCGGTGACGGGTAGGAGGGTCGGACGGACTGAGCGGGTGTGGGGGATGTGGGGTCGGTGGAGTGAAAGTTAGCGAGGGGTTGGCTGAGGTGAGCCACTAGCAGACTAGCTGGTCAATGTCGAAGTATCGAGGCTGGTAGTGAGATGTAGGACAAGAGGGGAAGAATAGATCGGAGGAGAGAGGATAAGATAATTATCGAGCAGTCCCCACCCGCGGTAGAGCGCTCAGTGCCGCCAGATACCTGCCTACGGCGGAGATAGACCCTCGAGGGTGTGTCCCCATGTGTCGCCGTACCTCTGTCTGCCCGTGCCTTGGCCAGAACGTCATGCACCAGGAGGTGAAGCGCGCGGTAGACGACGCGGGGAGCTTGACGCCGCGCAGAGGGTGCAGAGGGGTTGCAGAGGGCCGAGGAGGGGAGGCGGGGGAGACGAGGAGGCGGACAGGCAAAGGGCCCAACCCGCTCCAGTGGTTTTTGCTGCCGAGCTCGCCGGGCTCGGCTTATTCCCCGACCCCCTAAGCACCATTCATCGCTCAAAGCGCCTGAACCAAGCGCAAAACTCGTCGCAGTCGGCATACCGGGCCGAACGAAGGCTACGCAGCAGCAGCGTACATGTGTATGCGGTAGGGCTCATGTAGGGCATGTATGTGAGGGCTTACATGAAAGTCTGGTGGGAGGCAAAAGGAGGTACAGTTTAATCACCGCCGGATTTCGGTGCCGCCGGCGACGCCGCGTTGATTGCGCACAGTTTCTCGTTTGAGAGGTTGCCATGGTCATTCCATGATCGATACGAAAAATGGGAGTGATGACGAAGCAGAAAGGGAGACTGCGCCGATTGCATCACTGGCAGCACCTCTAGCGCGTATGCGTACCGATGCCAAGTTCTGACACAGCCGTATCCGCGACACTGGCCCGGATAGCCTCGGCTGGCATCACCCCCTAGTCCTCACATCATCATCTCACCTCATCGCGATCACCACATCTCTCCGACGGACAGAATACAACTTTGCATTGTTCTACCTGACTTCACTGCTGCCTGACACTGCCCCAATGGTCCAAATCCCTCGGTGGGGGTGCACCCTGCCACACCTCCTGGTGCATGACCGCCCCAGGAGGGGGCATGGGCACGCCACCATCGAGTCCCAGCACGCCCGAGATGTCGGCCCAGAAACTGTCCGAGCCAGTGTACGCCATACTCATGTCTATGTCCGTGAACACGGGGAGGGGAGGGGGCGGCGGTGCGCCCGCGTCGGCTGCACTGCGCTCTAGACGCTCGCTCAGGCGCTGCAGTAGCTTGCTGCCCGAGGTTTGGAACATGGGCGAGAGGTGCACGAATTGCTCGTGGCAGGTGCGCACGAGCGGGTCTGGATGTCAGCTTGTCCACCAGAGCAGTGAGAGAGACCCTCGTGACGGGAGGGGTGGGGAAATGTGAGGAGTAAGCTTTCGGTGCTCGGCACAGCTGTCGGTCCGCCTTACACCGAGTGTTGAATTGCGCGGTTGATAGTGCCCGGCTGTCCTCGGTCTAAGGCACCACCATGAAAGTCGCTCGCATCGCTCGGAATTCCGGAATCCGAGCGGGCCGCCAAGCCGCCAGCAGGTATTCGGAATACTTGTTTTGCCACCCGTGCTACCCAATGTAGCAGGATGGAACGGGGACAATGATGAATGGAGGAAGTGTGACAAGAAGAGTGCAGTGTTGGGAGGGAGGACTTACCTTCTGGGGGCAGCGAGATCGCGGCGATCAACGCCGTGTGCAGGAAGAGCTTCGGCCAGAGGTGCAGGGAGCCTGCCCACTTGCCAGCAGCCAGGTTGAGGAGGTCGCTCGCGCTCTCGTGCAGGCGGTGTGTATCCGGTTGCGCGCACTGGTTCAAGTATCCGTCCACGACAACGAGGGCGACGTGGTAGTACAGGCTGATCAAGTCCAGGAGGAACTCGCGCCGGTGGCCGACGGGGAGCTTCGCGTTCTCCGCGTCTGTCCGTTAGCTAATCCGCTGGGACACACAAGTAGCAGAGGGCGACTCATGGAAAGGGAGGGAAGTGGACGCACGTTGTATCTCGTAGAGCCACTTGGGCGCCCAGCGCTCCAGGTCGTGACGGCAGTTACGCAGCACGGCGACCTCGGCATATGTCAGTGGGCTCGGGCCCGCCTTGCCCGTGAGGGCGGTCATGACGATGGACCTTGCAGTAGTGAGGCTGCGGTTGACGACGCCGAGTGCGTCGAAGAGCTCGTTAAGCGCATGCAGGAGGAGGTGGCTCGTCCGTCTGGCCGGCACACCGCGCGGCGGGCGGTCAGGCATGATCGGAATGGACAGGTGCAGGATCCCGTGCGAGACAGAGGTCATCTCGAGGAAGTCCCACACCCGCCTGTCGCGCTGGTTGCTCTGATTCGGCGTCGCGGTCTCGACAAACCCGCCATAGATGAGGCCGGCAGTGATCTCGTCTGCTTTCCAGAAGAAGGAGCGCGCGATGCCGAGACCGACGACGTCGTCCCACGTCTTCGGGACTGTGATGTAGAGCAGCCGGATGAGGGAGCGCTTGAAGAGCTCCTCCCACCGATCAGCCGGCGTGGACAGGCGGTCGCTGAACCGCTTCGCTGCGGCCGTGACCACCGCAGAGAAGAGGAGCGGAGATGGCGTAGGCTGCTCCGTCGACGCCGTAAAGCCGAAGAAGATAGCGAGCGAGTCGTAGAACCTGTACCCGTCAGTTACACTAATCTGTCGCGCGCAACTCACGACTCCCAGAGGATCGTCGCGTCGTCGATAGACACGTCGAGCGGATCGGGGCGCTGCAGTTCGTTAAGGGCAGGCTGGAGGATCTCGCGGAGACCATGGAGGTGGCTAGGAAGGACGAAGCGGGACGCGGACTCGCGCCGCATGTGCCCGTGTCCGTGATCGTGGATGGGGCTGCTCGAGCGGTGCCGCTTGCGAATGTGGGGATCGTCATGGTACTCCCTCGCCTCTCGCGCGTCGCGGCGTTCGCGTTCGCGCTCGCGTGCGTGCTCGCGATGCGCGTGGGTGTGAGAGTGGGTGTGCTCGTGCTTCATCTCGTCGAACCGGGGAGGGACACCGCTCTCAACCTGCCGCTGCAGCTCTGCGTTCGCCGCACGCACCGCTGCAATCTCCTGTTGCAGGTTCTGCAAGCGCATCTCGACGCTCTGCTGCCAGCGCAGGTCGTCGACGAGGATGGCTGCGTTTGCGCGCGGACGCACCACGCACTCGACTCCGTCGTCGCGGCATCTGGCGTTAGCTACTGGCCCACTGCTCGTCCTGGGGACCCCGGCGAGAAAGAGAGGGCGTGAGCCTCGGGCCAAGCGAGACAGAGGAGCCCGCACGACCCAGCGAACCTATCGACTCTCCGGAATCGGGATGGCCAGGTCCAGCGCGGGGCTGCGGGGTAGAAGGGGGGGCCGATGGACGGGGCATCGAATGACTCACCTTGTGCAGGGCTTGTCTGGGCCTCCGTCGCACTGTGGGGCGTCAGTGATGCGATATGAGTGTGTTCTCGACGTACCTTTAGTTTCTGCCTGCGGCAGTGGAGGCAGGCGCTGGTGCGTTTAGGTTTGGGCTGACCTGGGATGCCAGGTGGGTGGGCGGAGGAGTGCGCCACATCAGCGGTCGCACCTGATGGGCCAGGGGGTGCTGAGGGCCCAGCTGGAGCAGAGGGTGCGGAGGGAGCAGAGGGTGTGGCCGAGGGAGCCGAGTGATCGGATCTAGGCATTGTTGTTGAGGATGGATGAGATAATGGGATCTTGTCAGGCTTGGAGTCGTCGGCCAAAACAGCGAGAAACGAGCTGCGACGAGTCCCAAACGTGTGCTTTGCTGCGGGGTCTCTTGTCCACTCTGCGGGATCTGCGGGGGAAGCGAGGGGGGGTACAGTGGAAAAGGTCACCGCCGAGTCACTCGGGCTGCTCGAGTCACGTGCATCGCACTTTTGTACTCCTCTGCTCTCCCGCCCTCAAACACTCAACCTTCAGCGTCGGATGCTATATTTAACCCTATAAACGGCCCTCGTCGGCGAAACTCATCCCCCCCCCCACTCCCAGTCACCGCTGACCATGATACAACGCATGCATTCCATGGTCGCGACCAACTACTGCTCGAGAACAACGCGACCGAGCACCTCTGCGTCCTCCTCACTCAGTGCCCTCCGCATCAGAGATGTAAAGTTGTCCCCCGGCGTGATCTTGCCCAACACAACCTCGGGCCCACTCTCCAGAGCCGAGACACGCGCCTTCCTCCCGCCCACGCACAGGTACCCGAGCAGCGCAAACAAGACCCCCTCCTTGGCCTCGGCCGGCACCCTCGCTTCGTCAAGCGTTCTCACCCGCGCACACGGGAATGCCTGACTCAGCTCAGCCATTAGCACCGGGTTGCGTGCTCCCCCACCACATACCAGGAGGTCTGCTATGGGCCCATGGGTGCTCTCAACGTGGGACTGGAGAGAGCGTATGATGGACAAGGCCGTGAGACGGGTGACGGTCGCGACTATGGCGTCGTCGGACAACCCACGAGCGCGCAGGTCGGACACGATGCCCTGGCCCATGGACTCGGAGAAGACCTCGCGGCCGGTCGTCTTGGGCGGTCTTCGATGCAGGTAATCGCACTGCTCCAGCCACTCTTGCACGTAGTCCTCGTCGATGCTGTCCGCTCCAGCCAGAGCTCTGCGTCCGTCCGTGTCACACTGCTCCCGACCGTCACTCAGCGTCCGCACCGCACAGTCGATGAGCACGTTCCCCGGCCCCGTGTCGTAGGCGAACCATCCCCCCTCGGCGCCCTCGGCCCCCTCGGGCGGAACGACTGAGGCATTAGCCATCCCGCCAATGTTCTGGCACACTACGAGCCGGTCACTCCGCAAAAGCGCCGACTCCAGGATACCGCTGAGCGGGGCGCCTTGCCTCCCCACCGCGAGCTCGGCGGCACGAAAGTCGCTCGCGACGGTTCTGGCGTCAGCTCAACGCTCACTGCCGGGGAAGCAACTCACACACCAGTCCTCTGTGCAATGACGGCACTCTCACCCATCTGCAGCGTCGCTGCCCTTCTCTCTCCACTGGCGTACCCGCCCTTTCCGCAAGCGACCGGATGATGCCATAGTGTTTGCCCGTGGCTCGCGATGAGGTCTACTTTGCTCATATCCACACCCGACTCGAGCGCTGCAGTAGCGAACACGTCGCCCAGCTCAAAGTTCAGGTCGCAGACCTCCTCCAGTGTCGTTGGAGCATCCTTCTTGCACAGTGCCAGGATGCGTGAACGCAGGGAAGATGGGACTGGATGCTCGCTGTAATGTCCCAGCTTGATCGAGACGTCTGACCGATTGAGGGCCGAGATACGCACAAGTGCGACGTCCACGCCTGCCGTCAGTGAGCGAGTGTCAGTAGCGCAAATGGGCGTGACGCACCATCGACAGATGTCCCGCAGTTCAGCCCGAGCACGTTGAGCGTCGCCATGGTGTCGAGGCCATTTGAGGTCTGAGGCTGACACAGATGTGACAATGCCAAGAACCGGGCGATCGATCCAAGGCCCAGCCAGGTCCTGGGTCCTCGCTATAGCGGGCAGATTGCCGGGAAGGACGCCAGTGGAGGCCGCAGCCCGCATGGTCCGGCCTTTGTCCTTGATAAAGCTAGGAGCTAGAGCACCGCGTCCACATGTACCCCTTGCAATCCGCTGGGGAATGCGATGGGATAGGACAGCGTGGACTGCGGAGGGATCGACACCGAGGCTCCGAGGTGGATCTTCCAGGCACACCACGTACTCCAAGGAACACACACTGTCATTCCAGCTCGACCAGCTCCATTCCAGCTTCTCTGTACTCGTACTCCTGTAAACGGCGCTAGCCACCCTCCCTCTCCTGCGTGAGTCCGTAGAGAAAAGCCTCAGTCCGACACGGAGAACGCGGGCCAGGGTTGTTCCGCCGTCAAGATCCGGAGGTTGTCCGGAGGCTTGCCGACTGTGACGAGCTCCTCTCGCGCCAGCCGCACAATCATCATATCGATGCAGAGGCTCAGTTTCTGTTCGCGCACGGGCACACGCGCACGAGGGAAAGGGGATACGCCGGCACAGCATGAGTCTCGGAGCAGTCGTGGGTCAGAACTACCGGCGGACCGGCGGGGGACGCCGCGCCGAGATCCGTTCCACTCGACCCCAACTCTCATTGGTACTCCGTCTAGGGTTCGATATCTGCTTATCCACTATTCTAGATCTGCAGTGCGGCCCCGACGAACGAGCATTCGAACAGCGCATGCAGCACACACAGGGCACGCAGCGCACGTAGTATGGTCAGAGCGATGGCTCTGACGGCCCGGCCCACGTACTGAGCCTGGCCCGCGTCACATCAGGGCCGAACGGGCGCCAAGACTTATCGCAATATCCATAAAATCTTGATTCCCTTGGGTCACTCCGCGTACGCCGCGTACCTGCGTACCGTGCTGCGTGCCGCGCCGTGGACATGCCGAGGGTCTCCAGCCAGGTCCTCGATCGCAACCTCCACTGGAACCGCGTTCCGCGCGATATCTGTCCACCATGCACATGCCCACTTCCTTTCCTCTTTACTTCATACTGATTACCAGGAAAATTGACAAGCATGCCGCGTCCATCGCCGTTCCCGCGGCTATCCTAAGACTACAGTACCCGCTGTACGATCCGCGCATTGGGGTCGCTGTACGCAGCGCTCGCCCTGCCCTCTACTCTGCGTAAACTGGGGGAGCGTGGGGGATTATGGGCAGACCCAGCACACTCCGGGTCTTGCTGTGGGGCGAGCGGCCCCAGTGCCGGGCAGAGAGGAAGCTGCTGTTCAAGCTGGACCTGGTCATTCTCGTGAGTCCGAGTTCGATGGTACCCCCTTCCCTCGCCGTCAGCATCGTCTGCAACTCACTCGCACAATTTCGCTTGCGCCCGCTGTGCTCTGTTGCTGAAGCGCTCGCTCGCTCCGCTGGCTCCGCTCGCTCACGCCAGACCTACTCTTGTGTCTCGTTCTGGGTCAATTACCTCGACCGTGGCACTCTCCAACGCCTACGTGACGGGCATGAAGGAGGACCTGCACCTGCACGGGCACCAGTTCAATGTCGTCAACACGTGTCTGACTGTGGGATGTGAGTCAAGTTGGCGCGCGACAGCCGGCCCACGCTCTCCTCTCCCAGCCAGCACGGCAGGAGGTGGCAGCTTTTGCTGAGTGCTGACAGCAGACATCATCGGACAGGTCCCGCACGCGCTCGCGATCCAGGCCGTCCCGCCCCGCCTCTGGTTTCCGTCCATGGTCCTCCTCTGGGGCCTGCTGACGATGATAACCGCCGCCGCACGGACGTTCGCGCATCTCTGCGCGATACGGTTCTTCATGGGTCTCGTCGAGGCCAGCACATACTCTGGCACGCAGTACGTGATTGGGGCCTGGTACCGGCCCGAGGAGATGGGGAAGCGCACGGGTCTCTTCGCCGCGAGCGGGATGGCGGGCACCATGTTCTCGGGCGCGCTCATGGCCGCTATCAACTGCACGCTGGACGGGCGGAGGGGGTTGCCCGGGTGGAAGTGGCTCTGGATCATTCTCGGGTGCATGACTGTGCCCTTTGGGCTGGTGGGGTATGTCGTCTTCCCCGACTTGCCCGGGACGACGAGGGCGTTCTGGCTCAGCGAGAGCGAGAGACGACTCGCTGTCGAGAGGTTGCCGAAACCGCCGGAGAGGAGCGAGGGGCACAGGCTCGGCATGGATCTCGCAAGGAGAGTGCTGCTCAGGCCGGAATTGTGAGTCCACCACCACACCCACTGCGCACTGCTGACACTTGCTAGCTACACCCTGTCCCTGTTCTGGGTCATTGGCGGCGCACTCGAGGCCTTCAGCACGCAGTCCTGCATGCTGCTGTGGATGAAGGCTGTGGGCCGCTTCACCCGCGCACAGAACAACACGTACCCTCTCGGCGTCACTGCCGTCGGCATCGTCGCGACGCTCCTGACTTCGGTCGGCATAGACGCGAGCGGGAAACACATGGTGTGGGGTTTTGCGGCATGTGCGCTCCAGATCGCGGCGTGCGGGATGCTCATCGCGCCGCGGCTGAGGGATGGGGCAGTGTTCGCGGCGTACTGTGCGTGGACCCCGGTTGGTAAGGGTGTATAGTGCTGACCGACAGACTTGGCGGGCACAGCATACATGATCCAACCCGTGTGCTTCACGTGGGCGAACAAGATCCTCCTCCGGACCGGAGACGAGGCAGCGAGGGCTGTGACGCTGTATGCGATGAATGGCGCCTGCTCAGTTCTGTGAGTCCTCTTTCCTACGGCAGTGCTGATGCCAGGTTCGCCTTCTGGGGTATCGTCCTGTATCCCGTGCCAGACGCGGAGACCTTGTTTCGCAAAGGCACGATCGCCATGTTTGTCGTCAGCGGTCTGCTTGCCCTCTGGATCGTCGTCGTGTGGTACCTCGAGAAATGGGTGGTGCGGCGAGTCCCGCCGCCGAAGGAGGAGCCAGCGATCGAAATCGAGATCCCTGGGAAGGATTCCGATCTGTCGATTACCAAGGTGTAGAGTCATCAGTGACGATGATCATCACTCGCATGCGTGGTTGGCGGCACAGCAACCAGGAGGCTTGGGACACCTGGCCATATTATCAGTCATCAGAGAAGGTATTGGAACCGTCCATTGCACTTAGAACTCGCATTTGTACACTAGGGATCAGGGCATGCATGTAGACATCTGTATGTATATTGCATAGCGACTGCCTGTGCATCGGCCCTATCGGTCCATTATGTGACTGAGTCATGCACGAGTCGTTGTCAGCGAGGAATGGGATGGTAACTGCCCGCGCATGCGCTGAGCAAGCCAAGATCTCCCCCTCACCCAACTCGGTGAATACCCGAACCTATCGACCGAATGTAGCCGGTGTCTTCTCCCGGGTACAAATACCCCGAACTCAAAGCCATGATGACATCCTGATCTCATCCCAACCTTCTCATCACACTCACACACCCATCACCATGAGCTCCGCGTTCATCAAGCAGCTCGGCCTCAAGTATCCCCTGATCCAGGCGCCCATGGCGGGCGTGACCACGCCTGCGCTCGCGGCCGCCGTCTCCAACGCCGGAGCGCTGGGCTCTCTCGGCCTGGGGGCCGGCAACGCCGCCGCGGCACGCAAGGCGATTCAGGAGACACGCGCTCTGACGAGCAAGCCGTTCAACGTCAACTTTTTCGTACACGTCGATCCCTCCCCGAACCCGGCCCAGGATGCCAAGTGGATCGCCGCGCTCGAGCCCGAACTCACCCGCCTGGGCGGCACGCCGCCCAAGAACCTGAAGACGATCTACGCCTCCTTCGCCTCGGACAGTGACGTGCTCGACGTCGTGCTCGAGGAGAAGCCGCCGGTCGTCAGCTTCCACTTCGGTCTTCCGCCCTCGGGCACGATCAAGAAGCTGAAAGAGAAGGGCATCGTGCTCCTCGCGTCTGCGACTAGTGTCGACGAGGCCAAGGCGATTGAAAAGGCGGGATGCGACGCCATCGTCGCCCAGGGCTGGGAGGCAGGAGGACACAGGGGTATCTTTGACCCGACCGGGGCCGACGAGCGTCTCTCGACCCTCGACCTGCTGTCCAAGCTGAAAGCGGCCGTCAAGCTCCCCCTCATCGCGGCGGGAGGCATCATGACGGGCCAAGAGGCGCAGAAGTTTATCGACGCCGGCGCCGCCGCCGTCCAGATGGGCACCGCCTTTGTGCCTTGTCCCGAATCCAGCGCCGATGCAGACTACAAGGCTCTCCTCCTCTCTGCTCCGCAGACGCACATGGTTGACGTCATTTCGGGCCGGCCCGCGCGCTCCCTCGAGAACAAGTGGACAGCCCTCCAGGGAAAGCACGACGGCAGCGTTGCAGACTACCCCAACGCGTACGATCTCGGCAAGCAGGTCGTCGCCGCGGCCAAGAAGAAGGGAGAGAAGGGATGGGGTGTCTGCTGGTCGGGCACGGGACACAAGAAGTCGAGGGAGATGCCCGCTGCGGAGCTCGTTGAGACAATTGCCAAGGAGGCGGGATGGGCGTAGACTGGTAACTGGACTGAGCGCTGCTGACGGTACGTCGCGACCGTCCACCTCCGCTTGCCAAGACGGGAGCTGCTCCAGGGTAGCGACTGGAACGCCAGCCGCGGCGACATATACCAACACGAGCCGATGCATCACTACATGACAACATACTGACTGGGAAGGGCACGTTTAGGCCTACCGACTGACGAAGCAGCCTTACGAAGAGTAAGGGGGTGGTGCGTCCATGAGCGCCTCCGGTCCATCATCCTCATGTGACAGCCCGTGACGCGGAAGAAACTCCCAAACCACCCCCGCCTCATACCCTTTGCCCGTCACCATCTCCATCGCAAACGCGACAATCTCCATACGGAGCTCCGTAACTTCCCTGGGACTTTCAGGAGAAGCATTCACAATCCTAGCGGCGCGGAAGGCATAGTCGTCGAGGACGGGGATGGAGCGCCATCCCAACGGCTCGGGGGGGAAGCGCACCGTCTCAGCGTCGAGTTTGCCGGGATAAGCAACCCAGAAGCCGGGGTGCAAGTCGTCCTCCTCCTTCCGGCTCAGGTAGGCGAGATAGCGCGCAAAATACTTGATGCCCCAGCGCATGCGCTGTGCGGCCTCCTCAGCGCGCGCTTGCAGGGCGAGGATGCGGGGTCGCGTGCTGGGCTCGAACCGGATCATGGGGCCGGAGGCGACCGCGTCGCCCGTGAAGGGCAGTAAGGCGAGGGCGTCCAGCCCAGCTGCGGCCGTTACTAGTGCTTCCAGGTCGGCCTCGAGGGTTGTGAATGCCTTGACGAGTTCCTCGCGAGTGCACGTCGTTGTCTCCGTTAGGAGAGCCCCGCAGCTGCTGCACTTCCCGTCGTCCCTTGCCTCGTACGAGAAGGAGGTGAAGAAGTACGGCTTCACCTTGAAAATGCCCCGTTTGACGGAGCCCGGTGGAAGCAAAACGTGGGCCACCGTCATCGCCGCTACGTACTTTGGCGGCGCGGTCATGCGGTAGGGGACGTGTGCGGACGGTGCAACCTTCGCACAGAAGGCGATCGCCTGCTGCCAGTCCCTTGAACGCTTGATGCTGGGTGGAGTGGTTCTGATGTCGAGCTTGTCGCCGGGGGTGGAGCCTTTGTTGTCTCGCATACTGTTGGAGGGCGATGGGGCGGCTTGAGAAAGTGCTGCCTCTCTATCTTATACATGGCAAGAGCAAGCTAGCTAGGCTGTGCATGCGTGTGATAATCGTGATGGCTAGCGCCGAGGTTGTAAAGGTTTACCGACGTTGAGAAAGCAAGCTGCGGGTGGCAGAGCTTGGATTCTTCAACCCCAAACGGGAGCCGTGACTGCGCTTGTGCTCAGCAGAGTATGGTCTACTGACCAGCGCGAAGACTGTACTGCATGTCTAGAACGTGACATGACACTCATAAGTTTCATCAAGCTACTGTACAACTAGGAATACAACACTACTCGCTGCTGGCGCTGTCATAGGAGCTGCGGGGCGAGCCCCAGCCAGAACTCGCCCTCGAGCTCGCGCGCGAACTCGACTCGGCGCTCGAACATCCCGAGCAGCTTGCACAGGCATCCTCATAGCTGGGCGGAGCATAGGGTGGGGGCGGCGGCTCGAATCGGCCCGGAGTAGAGTACGCAGCCCCGCGCATCTTGGGCAGGGCCTCGAGGGAGAGTTCCGGATCAAGCCCCTTGAACTCGAGCATGTCCCACATGAGACTCTCAATGTCGGTGTACGCATCCTCGACCTCGGGGATGCGCTCGCCTTGCTTGGCATTGATGACCTTGGCGGCGCGGAAGGCGTAGTCGTCAATCTTTCCCCCGGGGGCGCGATGCGTGAGTGAGCAGCCAGGGAAGCGGACTGCGCGACTGGACGTGTCGAGTCCCGTCCGTGGCCAGCGGGAGGGCAGGCGACCCGCATCCTCCATCTCGGACAGGGCCTCGAGGTAGTCCCCGAACAGGTATGTGCCCCAGAAGAGACGGTACTGCGTGCTCTGCCAAACCGCCCTCAAGCGCGATATGGAGTCGCCGAACCGCTCCTCGAACTCGGCCTCGCGACCCGCTGGCGGCGAGGTGGGGACGTGGTACAGCACGTCCATCCCGAAGGCCCAGAAGCGGTGCCAGTCCTGCACGAGCCGGCCGAAGGCGGCAGTCAGCTCGGAGCGCGTGCAGCGTTGTTGCCGAATCGCGCGCATAGGCGATGCACGAGGCGACGTTGTTGTTGGCGTGCTTGTGGCTGACGCAACCGGGGCAAGCACGGACGCATCGGGGGTACTGAGCGCGGGCGGGGGCGCAGCCACAGGGGTCGACGCCGAGGTTGAGGGGGCGGATGTTGACGTTGAGGGTGCTGCGGGAGACTCGATGTACCCGGCATCCTCGTACACGAATGATGTCAGATACACTGGCGCGCGGGGACGGAACGCGTCCAGCAGACGCCGCGCGGCGCCCTGGCTGCTGCTGCTGGGCGCGGAGAGGTAGTATGCGACCGTGTCTGGGTCCGACGCCGTGCGGAGGGCAGATGTTGAAGGCGCGGCGGCAGGGTCCGTTACTCCGGATACAGGGTCGGCACGCGAACCGGAGGCACGAGCGGGGGTGGTTGAAGTGGAGGCGGAACGTGAGTGGCAAGAGGAGGGAGAAGGAGAGGAGGTGGAGGCCGCCGAAGTGGGGGCAGTGGTCGAGTTGGAACGAGAGTGGGAGTGCAGCGACAAGCTGAGCGAGTGGTGATGCCGGCGCACGACGTGTGCGCTCTCCACGGCAGAGTCGACGAAGGGCGACGGCTTCAGCACAAAGTCGGCGGGGTAGTGCCAGTGCGGGTACGCGTCGGGGTACTTCACTTTTGGCCGCGGGCGGGCTGCTGGTCCAGCAGCGAGGGCATTCATTGTTGTTGTGTTGGCGACGGGCGGCTCTGCCGGCTAGTTGTCGTCGGAGTCGTGTATGTCGGGGGAGAGGAATGGCTATGTCTAGCTCTGTGGTGGTGGCAAGTTGGGGGCTGGGCGACATCTCGCAGCGTAGTTCTTATGTATCGCAAGCTCGCCGCGTAGTTTCCCCGGAACGAGTGGTGCACTCCCTGGTTAACCTGAACTGCGGCGCCAACGCACATGCGCTGCTCCTCCTCGCGTCGCATTCCTGACGAAACGGACACACGAGATACCCACGAACCATACGATCCGATCTGACCGTTTATCGGTCCTCAGGTTCGCGACAGTAGCTTAGTCAGGTCACTTTGCCCTTGTTTTGGCCTTTAGTGCTTAGTCACGGACCCTGCCGCCGCATGCCCTTGGCATCATCTCCGTCTGCGTTCGACTCGCTCGCCAGATCTGCACCATCGCATACGTCGAATCGCCGCACTTTAGCTCAGTCAGCATAGAATGGTTGCCAAGTCGGAGGGGTCTGCATGCAAACCTCCCCCCGCGCCCTCCGCGGCCCGGGTCCAGAGCGGGAGCCTGTGCGAACGCCGCAAGCCGCAGGCCGACCGGCCGATCCAGAAGAGAGCACTCTGAGCTGCGCCAGCTGGGCCTTGCGTCGGCGCCTCCCTCGTTTCGTGCCAACTTGTAACACTTGGCGCGATCACATGGCCCGTGCTCCATGTTCTGCCGTAGTGCGGGCGTTACTATATTCCGCTACAGACTTTTCCCTAATACTGCAACGCCGAGTAATTCCAGGCACGGTCAGGCACAGCC